GCACAAAAACTGCACTCAATCTATCATTTGAGCAGGCAACTTCACACACGTTGTTTGGGTAGGTTGTGGGAAGCATTATCTCCTTCAGCTACTGTATAACGTGACAAAAAACAATCAAACATAAACAGCAGACGGCTGACTGTTTTCTTTCACATGCATTTCTTCTTTCCTAAACATACAAGGACACACACGGATACCATATCACTGTCACTCCCGATCCTCCTGGACACACAGGAGTGCACAAACTGACACAACAATACATTATTTAATTACAGAGAGAAAACGATTAACCTTATTTGGGATTTTTGAAGTTTTATTGTCTTTGTTTGTCCTGATATCTCTCGAAAGGGTCTCCATTTGGTATTCTGCCCTCATTGTGTCCTTGTAGTTATTTAAAGTATCGAACACTTCTTGGAAAGTTTTAACAAGAACATGAGGCGGCTGTGGTTTGGCTGTAGCTCTGGTAAATTAGGCTGGTTGTAAAACAGTAAAAGGACCAAAGATATGCACCATAAACTTTGTATTTCACTAATATTTATCTAAAAGGAAGCAGGGGTTAGCACTTGACCATCACCACCACAATGTTCCTGGTAGTCGTACCTCCATCTTGGTTGTGCAACAAACAGAGTTTCAACTCCAAGATCCTTCTATTTCTTTTTTTAACTCACAGTTAGACACTGTTTACCGTTGAAGTCATTACATTGCACTAGCCTCTGCACACATTATACCCTTGGGGGAAGCTTTTTGCTAGCAGGTGAAAAGCGATACGCTGCAGAGACCCACCCACCAACAGCAGAATTATTAGTGACAACGTGTGCCAGTTAAAGTCCCAATTGGGGAGGAAAAAGGATAAAAATGTGGAAACAAGACTTCAGTATCTTAGGTTAGCGATGTTAACATGCTACCATCTTGGTTTAGCATGTTATCATGCCAATCCAAAAGTTCAAGGGGGTGAAAAGAAATCCAAAATATGACTTTTTTTGGGCAACTTTATAAAACATGAATGTAGTTGTGTAAGCAAATGTCCAAATCCCAAAATGGAAAACCGAATACCTTCCCAATGAGAGAATATCCAAATACTTGAATATTCGGGTCCAGCCCTAATGCTAACATTTGCTAATTAACACTAAACACCTAAAGTACAGCTAAGTCACCTTGAAGAGAATGTCTGTACAAAGATTTCACGGTAATCCATCCTATAGTTGTTGAAATATTTCTGCCAGCAGGGATACAAATATTTAAAAAGAGGATTTCCACACTGGATCACATGTGGTAGAAAACTACTACTGTTGTGCCTCTGGCCATATCCTAATCATTGACGTCACAGCAGGTTTTTCCCATCATCTGTCCAATCAAAAACACCTGCTATAAAATGACTAATTGGGGTGTGAACCATATTGTTTGATTTTCAACCAACTGTTTGCAGACATACAGAGTAACTGCTGTTTTACTTTTAGGGTTAAACTGGAAATCTTAGTTGCTGTTGTTGAGGCCAGACAATGAAATTTAAGAAACACACACTGGAGAGTTGAGGCAAGTAGCTTCTACTTACACATACTTAACATGTGTGAACTTGGCCAAGAGCCTCACCAGATACAGGGTACAGATCTTAAACCAATTTTATTTTATTGTTTTCCTTCATTTACACATTGCACAACTTGTGTCCTGTATAATCATCCAACACGAATACACACTGAATAAATTAAGTAGTTCCATTTGGGAATGATTTTATCTAAACTTTTAACTTTAGTTTTGGAATAAACTAGTTCATAAAGTAGCAGGAAGGCTTTAAACTGAACACATTTGGATTTATATGTTACATTAACAATCTGGTGATTTTAGTATTGAATACTCTGAATATTTTAAATGCAATAAATAGCAAGAGTCGGGGCTACCTAAACACACAAGTTACATACAGACCGTGAGCCAGGTAAGAGTCCGAAACACCTTAGGCCAGACTGCAACATGCTTGACCGTAACTTGGCCACATTTCTCGAATAACTATTATCATAATTTACACCCGACCGGCTGACAGCCAGGTGTGTGACCGCATTTGACAGTAGTCAAAAAGGCCAAAAAGCAAGAGTGACATGTAACTCAAGACAGTTTAATAATGGGTGTACGAAAGAGTCTGTCCGGTAGCTGTAGAGGAACGTAAGAGCATGACAGAAGTGCAAGTTTTACTGTATGTATGCCCGTGGGAGTATGTGAATAGTATGTGAATGTGTGTTTGTGTCTCTCTTTACGAGGAGGGTTATTTACGAATAAATTCTTATTTACAAGGACCGCCAGGTGTGAGATGCTACAGGGTTCACACCCTGACCTAGTTTGACCTCAGATGACTCTAAAGGTCTGGAGGTCACATTAGTCACTCCAGTAATGACCTTCACAGACAGAGTGAGGCTTGGTCCAGAATGTGTGCGTTACTACCTAATATACATAGTTGGATAATACTTCTGCTAGCAACCTCAACAACTTCTGTCTGCTTTTTGTTTTTCAAATCTTATCTCTTAAAGGTTCAGCGCGTAACATTTAGAGGATATGTTGGCAAGAAATGGAATATAATATTCATAGGTGTGTTTTTGTTACCTTAGAGTGAGCCCTTTTTATCTACAGTTTACAGTGTATCTCAAGTTTGTTTCAGTTGGTTTCAATCTGCAATCTCACCACTAAATCCTTTAGAGGACCGGTGTGGCTTGGTTTGTCCGATCTGGGCTATTGTAGAAACATGGCGGCTCAACGTGGCGAACTCTATATATAATAGGCTCATTCTGAGGTAACAAAAACATAATGAGTTTTGTATTCAGGTGATTATACACTAATTAAAACATAGTTATGCACATTTTATTCTATTTCTGCCATATTCTGTAAATAAATGTAACCCACTGGAACTTTTAGTACATCACTGAGACTAGATCAAATAAACTATAATAAGTATCCGGCAGGCAAGTTTTCTTTTCATCTTCAGTACAAAGCCAGGTTGTTATTAATGACTTAAAGGCAATTGGGGCAAGTAAATACTTTTCGGCTTTCTCAGCATCTTCTCAGACAGAGCAGGGGGAGGCAACATGGTGGAGTCGCTGCCAAGTCACCTGCCCGCCGACTCTTCTGCAGTGAATTGCTGATGCAGTCCTGCATGAAGCCAGTGGATGTTGACTCGCAAATAAAAGAGTCATTAAACGAGAAAAACAACGGATGTAATGAAGTTAAGATGAAGGATGTGTGGGATGTGTGGTTCAGCCTTGAGTGCTCAGAACGGGTTGAGAACTGTTGATGTTGTTGGGCCTGTAAAGACAATGACGAAATCATATGTGACTGATTAAACAACCTCACCTCAAGGTCCATTTAATAGCTTTTTCTGGAACATTTGATCACATCACATGATCTTTATCAGCAGATCTCGTCTTGAGTTGTTGAGCCTTGTTTCCCAAGGTCGAGAATGAACTTTGAAGCACAACTTTTTACAGGCATAGTCTGACATTTTGGGACCTCACTGCGACAACAAGACTCCAGGATGTCACTGCACCTGGCCAAGACACCACAACGTGTCGAGATTAAACAAACAAGATATAACATGTTAATTAGAGAGGTTTAGAGTGCTGGTAGGTAGACACAACGAGGCTAGCTGTTTCCCCAGTTCCAGTCCTTGTGCTGAGCCAACTGGCTGCTGGCTCGACGAGAGTGGCGACGATCTTCTCCTCTAACTTTCGGCAAAGAAAGTGATTAAGCGTTTTTCTCCTAAACTATTCCTTTAAGGGAACATAAACGAGAACTCCTTAAAAGTGCAAAAAAAATTAAAAAACATTAAGTTAAAAAATCTACAATTCGATGATAACTTGCAACTGCTACTGAAGATCATGTGATTACGAGTGAAGGCTCCAGAACTCCAGTAAGCGTGATATTGGGGGGGGCAAAACAAATAAACTTGACATGAAAGTACCAAAACCTAAAAAAATTATTTTTCAGTTTAATAATAAAGACTAACCTTGCTCATCGGATCTGTCTTGATGCTTAGGGTCCAGGTTAAACAGGATAAAGCAGGTTAGCTCTAAGTATTTCTGCATGGTTCCTCAAGGTGCTGCATTTAGTTTCTCACCTTATAAGGGCCTACTGCTTAGATTTTAAGTGTTTTTTATGGTAAGAAAACCCAGCATATTCCCTCTTCAAACTACTCAAACACACTTGCATTTATGCTGATAAAAACATCAATGACACCAGGCTGTAACTGACCCCCCTCAACTGGTTCCAGTGCAGCTCCAGGGGCTGCTGTATGTAACCAAGCATTCCCAGTACAGTTCAGGCACAGCTCACTTTAATTTGCCTCAGTCTGTTCTCCATTACCCAGCTGTACAGGTTAAATATCCTGCATGCTGCTGTATGAGAGCAGAGACTGATGCAGCAGGTATGGCAGAACAAGTCTAGACATATAGGCCTATGCCTTTCGACTGTCTAGCAAATGTGCAGTGGGCTCAAGGAGCCCAGATCAGGGTAGTTCAGTTCAATAAGCTTTAGGCCTGCATGACCTGGCATGACAAAATCATCCGTCAAAGTGGAGACCAAAGGTGATTTTTTTTCTGGAAGTCACTATGAGACATTTATGTCTGTGTGTGTGTGTACGTGTATGTGTGTGTGTGTGTGTGTGTGTGTGTGTGTGTGTGTTTAGCAGGGTTGGGGGGGGGTTTACTAATTGACCATAAAAAATCAAGTTCACATCAACAGACCAAAAAACTGTCTAGGTTGTGTGTTTGGGAGAAGTTTAGGGTGACATGAACTAAACTTAAACTTGGCTCTTGAGGCCCTGAAAGCAGGTGTTGACAACTGATGTGACACAGTCATAGGAGGAGAGGAAGAGGAGCAGAGGAGAGGAAGAGGAGAGGAGAGGAGGAGAGGAAGCTTTGGCTAACTTTTTACAGCAGATAAAATAGAATCAAATCAATTAAGTTGAAATAATAATTTGCACAAAGATGAACCAATAAACAGTCCTGGACATTTCTACCTACCTGCCCTCGAGGTGCCAAACATCGTGATGAGCAGCAACAGCAGCCATGCCTCGCGCACTGAGCTCCATCGATCCATCATATTGCATCTGAAGCTATCGATCCAGCGGGCCAGTAAACTCCCTCGCGGCTGCTCCTCGCGCTCCTCCGCGGTACACCTGCAGTCAGAGCTTCGACGGCGTAGGTGTCGCTGCCTCGCGCCCGTGCGTCACAACGCCACGCGCTCCACCAAGCTGGCAATCAAGAGCGCGCGCACGCATGCAGGCCTATCTGACTGATGATCAGTGATAATCAGCAGCCCATGTGTTCCCGTCTTTACTGCTGTTTTTCCTCCTGGATGGACGGATGAAGAAGGGAGACCAGCGGGGGGAGAAAAAAAAAAGGAAGGTCTTTCCTCCTTCACCCGCTGAGAACTTTCCTCACTTTCTCTTCCCTCCTCCCCCTCACCTCCTCCCTCTCTCCCTCTCTCTCTCTCTCTCTCTCTCTCTCTCTCTCTCCGGGGTGAACCCTCCCTCCCTCACTCACTCTCCTGGTTGAGGCTCGTGGGGGCTGTACAGGAACATAATTACACCGCGTGTCATTATTAGCATCATTATTGTCTGAGTGATTTAAGGGGCTATGTGGTGTCTCTATCTGTCCCTCTCTCTCTCTCTCTCTCTCTCTCTCTCTCTCTCTCTCCGTGCGCACATTTTGGCACACGCGCACATCATAAGGTTGTCACGCACATATGGACGAGCACATAATCAGTTTCAGAGTTTGAAATATAAACCTGCCACCGAAGTTTCTCTAAAACTTGTGCCTCATTTAATTTTCTGTTCTCTCTCTCTCTCTCTCTCTCTCTCTCTCTCTACAGACACACACACGCGCACACACACACACACACACACACACACACACACACACAAAGCATGCTAGGACAGGACAACGGTGCTGCCCAACTAATAAAAATATGCTGCTGCAGATTCCAAATTCCAGTGCCTGTCTGTCTTTGCCCACCCCACACACTCTTCAAACACACCACACACACACACACACACACACAGAGAGAGAGAGAGAGAGAGAGAGAGAGAGAGAGAGAGATACACCATATTACTCCAATAGGCACAATAAACACCAAAATGTGCTTCCTGCCTTCTACTTCAGTGGTTTATCATTCTTTATCTCTAATGTGGGAACGTCTAAAGAACCTGCAGGTCACTGGGAGGCATCAGCAACCTTTTTTAAGAGAAGTTTATAGGGTGAAAAAGGCTGACAGGATCAGAGCTCAGTGCATGCACACACATGCATACATGCACTTGAATACCTATATGAGCCCCAGGTCTCTCCTGTCCTGCTTCAGCTTCCATTTACATTAGTCTTTATTGTCTTAGAAGACATTTGTATAGCATACCAGACTTAAAAGGAGAGCAGCAGTATACATAATCGTATAATCAAATCCAAATGTGTTTATATAGTACAGTAGTATATATTGTATACATTAAAATGCATCAAAACACACTTGATATTAGAGCAAATAAAAATAAATTGTGTTCTTAATAAATTAAGGGAAATACATTTAATATAAGGAATGTCTGAATGACAAAGAAAAGTGACAAAAACAGCACTGTCAATAAACTGTTTTTTAAATACATTTTACTGTACTGATGCCTGATAATGTGCACATAAAGGAGAGCATTAGATTCAAAGTGTAGATTTTCAACAGTGTAGTTTCATGTGAGTCTTATGAAGGAATAACTGTTTGTCTTGGTGCCATTTGGTGCTTTTAGTCTGTATTTTTGTGAATATGCTGGAGAGAAACTGTCTAGCATTATGGAGACTTTTGGCACATCTTTCAGCTGGTTATATGTAGATTATATGTCTTAAAATGAAGCTACTGTTAATGTACCGTGCAATAATCATTAGAGGTTCTGTTTTGGAAACAGTGGTGTTTTGGTAACACAAGTAAATTGCACCCAGGCACACACACATATACATACTGGCTTTGCCTTTTGAAGAAGAAAATAGATTCCAGGCATATTTTCAAATGCCCTACCTCCTGCTTCAAAAAGGTTGTCTTAGACTTATGACTGGCAGCTGCGCTTCACTTCAAGTGTGTGTGTGTGTGTGTGTGTGTGTGTGTGTGTGTGTGTGTGTGAGAGAGAGAGAGAGAGAGAGAGAGAGAGAGAGAGAGAGAGAGAGAGAGAGAGAGAGAGAGATTTTATTGTTATATATTCTACTGGTTATAATTATAACTTTTCTGACACTCACAGATATCTTCTTGGGCTTGAAAATAACAGTGTAAAATTAAAGTCTATCAAAGGTCTATTAAAAATGTAAATTTTTGGTCAAATAATGAATAAAGAACAAATAATTATGTGTGAGATTGTGAGTATATATATGTGTGTGTATGTGTATATGTGTATGTGTATTGATATAAGTATATATCTATATGTATGTACATGTTGGCATGGGTGTGTTTGTTTATATATATGTATGTATAATATGTATTTTGTGCTATATTGCACTATGATGTTATAACAATGCTTTAGTTACAACAGGCTGGTGGTATTGTAATTCTGTTCCTTTATGTGTGTGTGTGTGTGTGTGTGTGTGTGTGTGTGTGTGTGTGCCCTTTGATATTGTCTAATAATAATTTAAATATAATTAAATAAAAAAAAAACATCCACAAGCATCATCATGCATAACGCAGCCAGATTTTTGTTGGCTTTGAATAACAGAAGCGACTCCATTCATAGAGTTAGAGTGCGTTTGAATAATATTCATATTGACCACTGGGCGGCGCCAGATCTCTTTACCGAGCAGAGGCTGAACTTGGTCCTTTATCAGTTTGTTCTTCACACTGTCAGGTACACTGTGGCTCAGAAACTCAATGTCACTGTCAGGACTGGAGTTTTATCAAGTTTAATATATTGTCCCGACATGGATTTAATAAAATAATGAAGTTGTAAATGACAACCACAGCACCGAGCTGGACAACCGACCAGGCCCCGGTTAGATAATCTCAGTCTGTCCATGTGACTCTCTCCCCCTCTCTCTCTCTCTCTGTGTGTGTGTGTGTGTGTGTGTGTGTGTGTGTGTGTGTGTGTGTGTTTGTGTGTCTTATCCTCTTACAGTGGCTCTCACCTCAAAATCAGCGCTCATCCTGCAGAGCTGCTTGTGTGCTGGTGTCAGAGCGGAGAGGCAGCGGGGTCACCATGGCGAGTCCCGGGCAGAAAGTGGTGCTGATCACCGGCTGCTCCTCCGGTATCGGCCTGAGGATGGCCGTGATGCTGGCCCAAGATGAACAGAAGCGCTATCACGGTAGGTGCACTGTGGATGTGTGTGTGGAGAAAGAGAGAGATTATATTATATTATACTATATTATATTATATATTTAATTTCAATTTATTTATATTGTTTTCTAGGCATAACATGTAACAGGCTACATTTACGTTGCTGCCAGAGTACATAGACAAGGAAAAAAGTTTTATATCAAACAAATACATTGTTTAATAAAACAATACAACAGCTACTAATAGAAATAACTTTATTTGCATGGTGCATTTTACATTATTTGTTAAATCCTTCATAAATGTCACAACCACCCCTCTACTTCTCCTGCACTGTTTACACATAAGATGCTTAGGCCTACATCATGACAGAGTGCACATAAGAGTATTACACAATCCACATGATTATGTAGATTAAAGCCGCTGTCTCTGTTTCTCTCAATGCACAACAGATGAGTGTTTTCCACCTAAAGCTGACTGCTGTTTGCTTTGGTTTAAATAAAAAACAAAAAAATAAATAAAATCTGAACCACATGAGAGTAAATGAGGATCCAATTTAGATGTAACAACTGAGAATCAATAACACAGCTGTCTGGCCCAAGAGAATGAGCTGGAATACATTAATAAACGACAAACTCAAGGTTCTCCTCTCTGCTGAACCCTGCAAAAGGAAACTCCACAGCCTTCAGTATTTCCTCTCCATACAGGGGAGGTCAGAGGTCACAGTTAACTTTCTTCAGATTCTTTAGAGGCAGAACTTTTTGTGGTCCAGATGCTAAAAAATAAAATAAACCTCATAACCTCATATTACAGGCCACATAGGGTGGAACCTGGACATTAGAGCAGCAGCAATTAGTCGATAAATTGATTAGTTGTCAACTATTAAACTAACTGCCAGCTGTTTGATAATCAATTTATCATTTTGAATCATTTTTTTAAAGAAAAAATGTCAAAATTCTCGATTTCAGCCTCTCTTTTGTGAATGCTTTCAGGTTGTTTTTGTCCTCTATGACAGTAAACTTACTATCTTTTGGTTGTGGACAAAATAAGACATTTAAGGACGTCACCTTGAGCTTTGGGAAACTGAAATCAACATTTTTTACAATCGTCTGACACTTTATGGACCAAAAAACTGATTGATTAATTGAGAAAATGATCAACAGATTATGAAAACAATCACTTTTCTGAACAGTTACTTTCAATATGTGTCATTTTCAAAGGATAACATCCTACATAAATCATAATCAAAAAAGGTTTGCCATACATTTTTATAGTCATTTCAGCGCAGCCACAGTATGAACCAAAGATACTCTGACTGTTGCATCTCTTCTCTCAGCTATAAAGTGTGACTGCATGGGAATTAGCCTAGATGGCAAATTGTGTTGTAGACTACTGCAATCAGTTAATTGGGTTGTGACATTCATACAAAAATATCTAAATTGTCTAATCATGTATACATTACATTTCTTCTACTGTTCCCAGTGTCCATTGGTTCCTATTGCATTTTCATACTGTAATAATGTCAGTTACATTATTGTATATGAGTCACAGCAGTGCAGAGCTTTTAAACCAATCTGCACAGATATTATTATTATTAATTATTATTACCAAGCGATGATAATATAAAATGGACAAAACTGCATGCAAACTTGAAAGACTTTTTCACATATGGAAATTAATGTGAAACAATGTCTGCAGAATGGCCAGAAGACATTTAAAGTACAGATAATTTTTAATCTAAGAAGCTAAAACATTACATTTAGTTTTCTAGATTAAGGGCAATCTCCCAGCTCACCCAGCCTCATGTCTCTGATCCCAACTTAACCTTAGGTCACTCTTACATGTAACTCCAGACCATAACTAAGGCTTCACTACAGCCTTGCTTAGGCTAATTATTGCTCGCTGAGCTCCATTGTGGACTGTGAGGGCTATTCCTGGAATAGGCAGGTGACGTGAGCTCCGAGGCAAGACGCTAATGCTGATATGTAAACTGACTGTTGTAACAGGGCTGTTTATGAGAACAGTGTCTATATTAGGGCTACTTATGGTTATCTTTACTACTATAAGTATCTTTAGCACCGTCTTTACGGTTGTCCTTATCGTAGCCAGTTATTCAGAAAGTAAATTCATGAAAAAAACAGCCCAGAGGTTGAGTCAGGAAAGGGATGTGAACACAGTTTCCTTTGTGTGTTTGTACTTTAGCCTCCATTCTCACCTATAATCCCATGTCTCTTTGACAACATTTTTTGTTGCAACGCCCTCTCAGTTCTTCATGACCTTTACTCCTTTGTTTCCGTTCACTCACTATGACAGGAAATGTGCACAAAGACAAGGTCAGTCACGATGGAAATTCTCTCCTAAAAACTAAAACTAAAAATATACGTAAATGCACGTAAACAGAACATGTATTCAAAATAATTAAAAAGAACATTTTGTACATGACAAGTAATTAAAAAATAACGTGTTACACACATATCAAGACTCAAGTCTACTCAGCATGTTTTTATGTGTTAATCTTGTGTGAGTCTATATGCAGTCTGAGCCAATGAACTCGGTTTGACTCTGCACGTAGTATTATTGTCTTTTTGTAACCTCACTTACCTGGGCAGGTTGCCTATTCACATGCCTATTTACAGCAGCAGCCTGAAGGCGTAGTGCTTGTGTTGCAGGTAGGATGGGAATATCACATCCATTCACAAACTCATAATTGGAAGCTGCCCATGGAACTGAAAGGAGCGTAATTATATGCAGGGCTATTGGCAAACAGCAGTGGAAAAAAAAAGAATACCTCCATACAAGGCTAAATTGCATGACGAAGATCGAAATGGGTTTGAATACGTTTGCGGTTTGAAGTTAGTGTGGAGGTGCAACTCTTTTCATTGAAGTTGACAGTGGAAAAACCAGAAGTTGGCACTAGATGAAAAGTCAGGGGATCAACAAAGTTATTACATGTAATAATGTGGAGAACGTGTGTGTGAGTGTCTTTTCTAAATCTTTTCCAATCCATCCCATAGTTACTGTGATATAATTTAAAACCACCATAAAATCAGACTCATGGGTGGGCCAAGAGGAAAAGTCAGAGAATCACCAAAGTCAGTAGGCTTCATCCTCTGGAGACCATGAATGCCGATACATGTTTTCATGGCAGTCCATCATATAGTTGTGGAGATATTTAAGTCTGGACTAGCGTGTGGTGGACGAGCCAAATGACTGACCAACAGACCGATAACATTGACTGGTTTAAAGTACTGTATAAAGACTGAAAACATATTTTGTCTGTTCATATATCTTAAGTTAAATACCTGGGTTAGGTCCTGGACAGTGAAATATGAACACCTCAGCATCCTAAATGAAAGATAAAAACAACTGTCAGGGGATATGTTGTCACTAATTAATTGTATCCTGGTTTATATAAAGAGGTCTTTTGTGTGATTTTTATATTTTATGCACCAATGCACCGAGACAAATTCCTTGTACGTGCAAAAACTAACTTGGCAATAAACCTAATTCTGATTCAAATATGAGGAAACCAAGTGAGTTACAGACACTGTTGGAACAGACTTTGGGACTTTGGCTCTCTATAAAGCTTTATCCGACTCCATTTACATATAGTATTAGTCCAGCATGGAATAGTTTTCCTTCATTTAAATTCACATCAGTTTGTCTTTACAGATATAAAACATGTCACCAAAGCAAATCACAACAAAAATAAAGACGAATAAATTAAACACATTCAACAATCTCTTCCACACTCTCTCTCAGTTTTGTCTGTTTTTCCTTCTTTCCACCCGTTCACAGTCATAGCAACGATGCGTGATCTGAAACGTAAAGATAAGCTGGTGGAAGCTGCCGGGGATGCGTATGGGAAAACTCTTTCTCTGGCTGTGCTGGACGTCTGCGATGCTGAGTCCGTCAAACAGTGCATCGACGGCATCAAAGATCGCCATGTGGATGTCCTCAGTGAGTATGCATCCTCAGTGCTGAACCATGCATTGCTACACTGTCCCAAACTTCAACCATTACTCAATGTCGTCCTTCTTTGCTTTCTTTCCCTTCTCCTCCGTGACCAGTAAATAATGCAGGCATTGGCCTTGTGGGTCCACTGGAGAGCATCCCCATCGAAGAGATGAAGAAAGTGTTTGAGACCAATTTCTTCGGGGTGATCCGCATGATCAAGGAGGTGATGCCTGATATGAAGCGAAGGAAAGGAGGACACATCATCGTGGTCAGCAGCGTAATGGGACTGCAAGGTGAGCAGACAGACGTGAGACTGGATGAGCGAAGGGAGCGGAGGCGGGGCGGGGGCGTTAAATGGTACAGTGAGAACTGACAGGTCTGTTAGCTTCAGTCTGATGTATGAGTGGGTTGTTGATGGATGAATGGAAGAGTGGGTGGAGAACTGCAGGGAGACTGTTCAAATACTACTTTATGTCTTGACAAGCAGGGATGTGTCTACAAAACAACAAACACAAAGAGGTGATCTATTGAACTGTTCATGTCTGAAAATGTTAATATTTACTGTGTTTCTGTAGGTGTGGTGTTTAATGACGTGTACGCAGCGTCCAAGTTTGCTATGGAGGGATTCTGTGAGAGCTTGGCTGTGCAGCTCTTCAAGTTTAATGTCACGTGAGTGTCACAGATACTGCATCCATCATTATTAACAAACAAACAATAACACGGATACAAATAGTCTGACAGGCTGCAAACGATAATCAGTGTCATTACTGATGAATACATTGATTATGTTCTGAGTAATTGTGTGGGTTTTGACTGAATAAGAGTCTACAGACATGTTCGGCCTGTACTTAGCCCATATCTCAACTAAATGCTAATGTCAGCATGCTAACATGTTGATGCACATTAGGAAGAATGTTTACTATATAAGTTTAGCGAGCCAGCATGCTAACAGTTGCTAATTAGCACTAAACAGTGTATGTTCTCATAAGTGTTGAAGCATAACTCAGTATCGGACAAATACTAATTTTGGCCCGATGAAAGTAGGGTTGTAAAAAAATATTGAGAAATATCGTATTGCTATATTTTATGTTGTTATATTGTATCGATTATCAAAAACATTACTGATTTTTGTGGTTGAACCCCCAGAACACTAGATATCAGTGTTAACTGAGGGATATGATGCTGAATGTTACAGCGACTTTGATAAATACAAATGCAGATCTCACTGTTCTGGTTGCATAAAAACTTTTTTTAACTCATATTTTATGCATATGGTATGTGTTCTTTATCCTATGACAATGTATTTATTCTTTTTAAATCACATTATATCCCCTAGCTTTATCACAATATATGTATCGTATTGTACAGATGAAACGTACTGGATGAAACATTATTGGTAGCTGTATCCTACAAAAAAAAAAAGATTTAAAACTATACATTTTTTACTCCCCACTGTTTTTACCCTGTATGGATTCTTTAAAAGCACTGCCCACACCTCCTTTGGGACACCAGTACTATGTTGATTTTTCTGTCAGACTTCTTCTATGAAAAGTTATGTGGTAATTAAGTTATTGTAGGTAATTGTGGTAATAATACTCCAGGAAGCACAAAAGATAATAGTAGAGCAGAAAACCTAAAAAATATGGTGTCTTCCTACTTTCAAAGCAGTCTGTCAGGTCAACACTGATATAATCCTTAAAACCTTTGTGTCAAAATTCATGGCAACGCTCTAAAAAAATTATTTTAATTTAGGCAAACTCTTCCTCCATCTAACCATGCTCTGTTGTTGAATTCCAGTCGTCTAATGCCCCCCCTGCTGTGTGTCTCTCTTCAGATTGTCGCTGATTGAGCCGGGCCCGGTTCACACTGAATTTGAGGCAAAGATGATTCAGGATGTGAAGGAGAAGGAGTATCCCGGAGTCGATCCTGAGACGGTGCATTACTTCAAGAACGTCTATCTTCCTTCCTCTGTTGACATCTTCCAGGTACTGGGACAAACGCCTGATGACATCGCCAGAGTAAGTTCTCGAGCATCTGTCCGTCTGCATCAGTGATTAATCCTGTAAGCCTGATTGCAAATCTTCTATCTTTTCTGTCACTCCCTGCAGTGCACCAAGAAAGTGATCGAAGCAAGCAGGCCTCGTTTCCGTAATCTGACCAACCCCCGGTACTCGCCCATCGTAGCTCTGAAATACGCTGATGAAACTGGAGACCTGTCAGTCCATGCCTTCTACCACATGCTCTTTACCATGGGTCCTGTAATGCACGTCTGCATGACTGCCCTGAAGTATCTCACCTGTGGATGTCTGAGGAGCAGGACGGTCTCACCAAACTAGAAACTTATATCTTAAGCACAAATATGAATAATACAAACATTCTGCGTATGTATGTAGACCACAATAAAGATCACCCTCGGCTTAGGAAGTCAGAGGAAGAAACAAATACATACATACGTTGACGGCTTCAAAGAGTTTATCTTTTGTGACCTGCCATATTTCCTGCTGCAAATTGTAATGAATATATTATATGAACATATATGAACAGTATATATTTTCTCTTCTCTGTATAAGTGTTGTAGCTTTATGAATGTACAGATACGATACCTGTTGAGTCCAGTTGAGTTGATACACTACAGATTTTAACATTCGTTAGCCTACCCAGAGTGCCAAATGAGTAGGGTTCACCTCATTTTATTATTTTATCTCAATCAGTCCCACAAAACTTCACATTGTTTTTAACTCTAATTGGTTCAGAAAAAAATCGTCCTACACCAAGTTGATTTGCAGCCTGTGTATTTGGATGTATTTGCATTTATGTACATATTTTTCCAATTCTATTAATGTATTGGAACTATTTTGGCATTAAAAAATTGTTATTTATACCATCCATGAGTTGTGTTAGTGCAAATGGGGTTGCATACACATTACTCATCATTATGGTTAAGTCTTAGCTAATGAATATAATTTACTGATCCTTCTCGACTGTTTAGAAAAGACTCTTTAAAGGCAGTTTGTTTCTATCAAGTGACATTTCATCAAAGCTAAGCCATTGACTGCCTATTCAGAAATACCTAATCTGCATTGTTGTGATATCATAAGGGAATTCAGACAAACAAGTGTTTGATTTAAACAAATAAAGAAAATTGCCATTATATTTGTTTAATAGTATTTGTAACATGGACTAGTAAAAACTCTCAGTGATAAACATCTGGTTTTACTGAAACCACATCTGCAAACGATTTAAGAGATTTCTGTAAAAAACAAACACTTTCCACAGTTCTTTATCCATGTGAGCATCCATGAGCAAAGTTAGATTAGTGGGGTTTTTTTTCAAAATAAATATTAATATTTTACTCATAGCAAATTGTGAACAATTATGGGGAGAAATGCCTCGGCTCTCATAACCTACGGAAGACCTAAAGGGCCATGCATTCATACATTTTATTTCCTCCGTTTTCCCGTGATAACGAGTTAATTAATTCGAGATCTCGAGATAATGACTGTGATATGATAACTGCAGTCAAATCAGCCGCACCTGAATTTACAGCGTATTCACTTCTGGTTTTCAAAATAAAGGTATTAAGAACAGTAAGTTATAATTCGAACCTACATTTAAAATAAAATATGTTACATTAAAGTGTTTCATGCCCCCATGATTAATAAAAAACATGTTTAATATCAAGCATTTCTAATGCAACAATGTGGAGAAATGCCAAAACAAATGTTCCATATTTGTATCTCCAAGTGGCATATTTTCATATATTTGAGGTACAGTAAAAGCAGGTACAAATGTGGAAACTTATTGTTGAATTTCTCCAAATCGGTGGAGTAAAAATGCTTGATATTAAGTATGCTTGTATTCTTATATGTGTAGAAGTCAAATATACCATCCATAGCCAGGAATTGTTGAGCAATATGTTTTTACTGTACCTCAAATATATGAAAATATGCCATTGTAACATAAATAAATGTAACATAATAAATGGAAGTATTTTGTGGCGAATATGAAAATTAACTTTAAAAAAAAAAAAATCCCAATATTTACCTCCTCTATCCGTCCGATCGATTTATCGGACATCTACCGCGCATGCCTGCTTGAGGCAGTCGCGGGAAATTGAAAGTAAATCGATCGTCGCCTCATCGAACATCAAAACAAACTTCACAGGGACACACACAGCCGCGTGAGTCTTCCCACAGACATCAACAACAGCGATGGGAAAACTTCCAGCTAAGAACATAACGAAAGGATGTTTACCAACTATACCGTTCGCTTTAAAGCTATACTAAGATAACCTTCAACTGAACGTCACATTAGCGGTGACCTGAGCTACATGTAGTCTCTGGTTGTGTGTGTGTGTGTGTGTGTGTGTGTGTGTGTGTGTGTGTGTGTGTGTGTGTGTGTGTGTGTGTGTTGGGGCTCAGTGAGCAGGATGGAGGAGCAGCTGAGGACTACACTGCACTGTGATGATAAGGAGAAGGTACATTGTAAATTTGTCTGCGCACTTAATCTCTATTTACCGAGCTGTGGGAACTAGGGCTGCACAATATGGTAAAAACATTACATTGCCATTATTTTTTGATAGATGTTGCCTTTGTGATATGATTTGCGATTAGTGTGGGAATAACATATATATTTCTCACTTAAGGAACTAACTAAATGACATTTTTGGGGGGGTCTGTATCAAACAAACATGCTGTCTTAAATCTGGAGAACAAGATTGACTGTACAGGCCAGGGCATCTCTTCACAACTACAATACTTCATTGTAATGCTGTTCCTTTCACACATTTCTTCAGCTTCTGTGATTTGCGTATTGCTCTTTGTTGTGCAGCCCCAACATGAACCTTTATTGTTAATGTCTTTTGACTGCTTGCTTATATATGAACACGTTATCCACCCAGCTTCGCAGGAAGTTGGCACTCTTACAAAGGGAGTACCTCAGGACAGCCCAGAGACTACAGGTAAGAGTCACTCTTTCACTTCTATAAGCCCAGTGAAGAACAGATCTGTCTCTCTCACACACACACACACACACACACCACATGTTGATTTGCTCACAGCGTGCTGAGCGGTCAGAAGCAGTGCGGAGACATGTGAGGAGTAGGATTACCCAGCAGAACCACGAGAACCAGAGAAATCCAGAGATCACATCTGACCCCTGTCTCACCCCATCTGCACTGACACTAAACGCCATCAGTGGCTCAGCCTCAGGTGTACCTCAGTGCCAGGGACCCACTGGAGGTGAGTCTGTCCTTATCATCTGCAAAATACAGATAGTTCCTCTCTCTCACAGTACGTAACCGCAGTGACAATGAGATAGGAATGTTTCTGGGGTTTCTTTGCCACACGTGTCGGTGTAAATAGAGTCATCTGCAATCTGGTCAGTGTATGTCAGAGATGGATTTTTACCTGCTGTTGTCATTCAGTATGCTTCCTAATTAGTGCACAATGATTACTATAAAGTTATTGTTTTTGTTAGTGTGTACATATGCATATATATATATATATATATATATACCCAAAACAGATTATACTGTCATTACTCTGAGAAGTACAATGTATACAATGTTTTGCATATAATAACTACTATTTATAATAGTTATAATATATTGTTTTATGTTTTACCAGGTCCAGAAGATTCTGAGAACTCCAGGCGGAGCCAGGTAATCAGGTTCCTGCTCCCTTCTGATGCTGCTTGCCCACAAACCCCAGATTCCAGCCATGACGCGGCTAGAGGTCACAGACCCAGTCCTGCCCTGCGCCTCAGGTCTCGAAGCAGCCGCCTACGCTGGGAGAAGAGGAGCGCTGAGGCTGGCAGGAGCACAGACAACAGCGAGGAAGGACAGGAGCAGAGTGAAAGGGTGGAGACTGCTGGAGGAGAAGGAAGTGAAGAGACAGTCAAAACAGAGGGAACGGAGGTTGTGAATGAAAGTGAAGAGCTCTTTTCTGGCACAGAATCCGAGTCTCCTTCTCTGCTGCTTACACACTGGAACACTTGTGGACAAACTGAAACAGGAGATATGGCTATAAACCCTGGAGGCAGGGGACAGAAGGATGATATTGCACGAAATGGACGACAAAAAGGGACAGAGGAAGCAGAGGAAAGTGAGAATAGTGGAGGACAGAGGGATGGGAGTCTGTGTGAAGACGGCAGTAATAAAGACACTGAACAAAATGCAGCAGAGCTGATAGAAAGTGAAAACAGTCCTGATAATACAGTTGAAATAACAGAAGAAAAAAGTGAGATTAATACAGGAGAACATGATGTAAAGGGAGTGGGTCTCCTAGACTCCTGTACTCTAGTGGAGGGACTACTGTTCCCAGTAGAGTACTACGTCAGAACCACAAGACGTATGACATCTTCACAGAGCCAGCCTGACATGCAGGCCGTCATACTCTCCCAGCTGAGCACGGGACGTCCTCGCAGGAGCCGGGGCCGGGGCCGCGGCCGCGGCCGTGGCAGAGCACTGAACAGGCATATGGACAACCATGGACGTTCAGAGAAACGCACTGAGGCAGGTTTCTCCTCGCTGACGACTGCATCTGCATCTGTAGGACCTCGTATGGAATCGCAGACTGCTGACACGTCCGCTGACCTCAACTGTCAGATCTCCAGTGAGTTCTCAGATCAAATCTCAGCCTGTCAGATCGACACGGGTGCTTGTTTTTCTCCTACGGTCATTGCTGCTCGTCCAGCAAGAGGTAGGAAGAGGAGAAGAGGCAGGGGCAGAGGGAGACCTCAGACTTCTCGCTCTGTTGGTTTAGACACCCATGAACTCGGCCTCGGACGAACCTCAGATGATCCCCAGCCCACCAGCTCCCCAGTATCTTCCTCCACATCTCTGCAAGGAGCTGATGGACCAAAGCCCTGCCTCACTCCGGTAGAAGTTGTTCCAGTGCCAGACGACCCCCAGCCCGCGCCCACCCACAGCACAGCCCCACAGCCTTCCTCTGGAGCTAATGGGGCTCAGTCTAACTCTGCCTCTGGACATCAGGTCTATCCCATCTTTCTGAAGAGCAGCAGCAGGACTAACGGAGCCACACAAATCAGTAAGTTTGTCTTGCTAAGATTAAATATAACCTGAATTATAGCTTTAGATACAGTTAAATGTTATTATTTAAATATAGTTAAAGGCTGGCTTCAGTTTAAAGTTCATTTCTTTACCTCTGAAGAGACTATAAAGACTCATTTATCTACTATCAATACATGATGTATCCTGTGGCTCTGCTCCCTAGAACTCTATTGTTGTCCAAAAGCTACTAAAAACCCAAACAACGACTGTTGTGCTTATATATGTGTATGTATATATATATATATATATATATATATATATTCAGGATCAGTATGGCAATGGTATTCTCTCTGCTCATTAATTCAGTTTAATCAAATTGTCATTGTTACTTGGCTACAACAAAGCATGGTCTCCTCATTCCAAGTTGCAAGTTGCTATGGCTGTATCTAACAGTTATTTTCATTATTAATCAATATACCAGTTATTTTATCCATTTACTGATTAATCGCTTGGTCAATAAAATGTCGTAATATAGTGAAAAAGTCCAAAAACAGTCCAGAACTCAATGATATTCAGTTTACTATTGTAGAAGACTAAGGAAACTGACAAGTATTCAAACTGAAGAAACAATCACAATTTATCATTGTGGCTGTACAACCTGCTAAGAGTAATTCAAAAGTGTCCAATAAATAACTTTAAAAGTTTTGTTCAATTAAGCAAGATAATCTAAAGGTTACACAGTTTTATACACAACATACACAAACAAACTGTACATGCACACATAGTAATACATCATGCATAGTAATATGGTGTGGCTAGTGGCGACTGTAGCAGAGTTCAACTGAACAACGGCCGTTTGAAAAAGGCTCTTTCTGAGCCTTGATGTACAGGCTCTTAGACAGCTGGAGCGTCTTCCTGCTTTCTCAAACTAAGAAAACAATGAAAATGAAATATACCTTCACTTTGTGTCCTGCAGGTGCAGCGCGCTGGCAGTCTCTCCTCTTGCCTTCTACTCCACCTGCCCAAACTTCTCTGCTTCCTCTACCATCTCTGCCTCCCGGCCCGCTGGTCAACAACCTGATGAACTTTGACATCCCACAAGATTTCCATCTGCCCGATGACCAGTTTGCTTCCCTAAAGCTGCACAAGCTTCGCCAAGTCACTGTGGAATCAGGAGTTGAACATTTTACATCGCCGTCTTACAACACGCGCAGGAGCATGCGGCGCTCTGGGACTTGCTACAGCGGCAGTGACCCAGTGATGCCTCTTCCACTCCCGCTCAGCCTCACGCCCACGATAGCAAGTTCACCCCATCCCGCTGAAGCAAAACAAGCTGCTACACAGTCTGTAGAGCTCCACGACTTGTCAAAAGAACACAAGCTTACAGGTAAATTGACAAGCCAGTCTTCAACTGAAGTGTCATCTGACCAAGAAAACCCTGGAGAGCAGCAGACTGATAACCTTCATCCAGAGTGTCAGACTCACGCCACCTCAACAGAATCTGTGTCAGTGGTTCAAGATTGTGCTGCTGACTGTGCAGATCAACGTAAAGAGAAAGATAATGTGATTCTGAATACTTACAGCCAGAGTTGTGTCTCAGACAGCAACACACACAGATCTATTGACCGATCTGTCAAACCACTGCCTCACATCAAGTTTGCAGACAGACCTGCAGGCAAAGTGAATGATTATGTCATCAACCACTCAGATGAGCTTGAAATGCAAGAGATTTCTCTCATTTCATCAGAAGACCAGACAGATTGTGCTGGTGTAGTCCATCCTTTGGAGGATCAGAGGTCCGCAAACCACCAAACAGAAGACAAAGCCATCATCAAGACGCTTTCCTTTGACTGCCCCGAGGAGCCTGTTGGCAACTGCACTGCTGTACAGGCGTGTGATAACAGTGAAGCTCCAGAGTCTCCTGTGCAGCATCTGAATGTGAAATCTCCTGCCAAAGAGTCCAAGGAATCCTCTGAACCCACCACAAGTCCTTCCAGAGAAAATAAAAGTCAGGACAAGTGTTTACCGCACCACAGTGTCCACTCCCAGCTCCTGTTGAGCCCTCCTCCGGCATCAGCACCCTGCCCCTTCACAACCCCGCACCTGCGCTCCTCTGCCATCACCTCCAGCCCCACACTACCCTCACTGGGAACCACCCCCCACCCTGTCTCTGCCGCCCTCCCGCTGACGTCCTCTCCCTCCGCCCCAGATCTCATCCTGCCTCCCCCTCATAGCCCGTCCACCCAGGCCCTCTCCCCACCAGCTCTCTCTCCCTGTCCATCCCTCGCTTTGCTCCCTCCTAGCCAGCCCTCCACCCCTCAAGCCGGTCAGATCCAGGCTTCACATGAGCTGCCCCAGAGGGTTGAACCTGCTACCTGCCCGACTGTCTCTAGCATCCGGTCACAGGGCTCAGGTGTGCAGGTGGGCCTGAGAACAGAGGAGACAGTGGAGGAACACGTGATGAGATGCACACACACATTGAAGGTAAAACTCGTCATACAGATAAGAAGTATTGAATTCAAAGCAGAGTTTTTAATTAAAGTCAGCAACTGAACTGTGTGTGTATCTGAGTGAATTACTGTGTGTGTGTGTGTGTGTGTGTGTGTGTGTGTGTGTGTGTGTGTGTGTGTGTGTGTGTGTGTGTGTGTGTGTGTGTTTTCAGGCTCCAGCGGGAGGATGTCTGGTGGATGCATGCTGTCTTCCCGGATCCACAGGTGGTTTGTGGGTAGCAGCAGCAGGAAAATGGGCAGTGTGTCTGTGGAGTCAGACGTCAGCTTCTGATTGGAAGTTAATACACACCTGGGCCTTCAATGAAGTGAGTGTGTGGGTCTGTATGTGTAAAAGCATGCCTGCGTATCGGAGTAATTGATTGTTTTTTTTTTCATTTATGTCAAATGTCACATTTGCTAGTTCCAGCTTTTCAAATATGAGGAAAATTACCCAGTGCAGCTTTAATTGTGAATCATATCACACAATCACAATATCTGTCAAATAGACTCAGTATTTACGGTTTCAGAAATTAACACTCTTTCAACACTTTCTTATATGGCTTACTATAATTCGGTTTCATTTTTACATTTTTATGACTTCTGTGTGTTCACAGCCGGTGATCAGTGTGTTTCCTGTCCCGGATGCTGCTGGGCTGATGTGTGTGACTCTGGGTCAGTTAGAAATCAGAGAAGTGAGGTGAATACAACACGCTCAATCAGACTTTGTGACCTGTAATTGAACATTTTTGTCCTATTGTCTGTCCAAGAATTAAGCCTAGTGCTAAACTGAAGAGATCTGTCAGTGGACATGTGTCTCCAAATGTTTAGAAATGTAGAAATGAAACTTAACTGTGTGTATGTGCACAGGATGTTGTCGTGCGCCAGCCTTTTACAAGTGCTGCTCTGTGAGGGGGTTGTCCAGGCTGTTGTGGCCGTGTCCAAGTCCAGAGTGGTTACATCCTCCCACTCAGCGTCCGGTTCCACCCTGCAGGTGTTTGCACTGTCAGACAGTGGCAGGTAACACAGAGTCAGCAGTCACAGAGATTTTCCTCTTTCATTGCACACATATCTCAGTGTCTCATCTCTCTCTTAGCACGTTGAGCTCTCAGCCTCTCATGTCTCCTGGCGTTTGTGTCGGGGCCCTCGCTCCGGTGGACGGACTTCCAGATGCTCTGATCGGCACAGATGAGGGAGGACGCCTCTTCATCTGGTAAGCAAGATTGTGACAGAGAGATTTTTCAAGTCATTGCCATGCTAACCTCACATCGAAAGGTCCTTCAAATATTAGATCATGTTGAAACCTTTTGGAGTGAACCTCCATACTTGGACTATTGTTTAAGTGTTTAAGGATTTTAAGAACAGAGGTCCTTTAACTGACCTTCATGCACAAATATGAAACGCTGTCCTTAACTCTTCAAGGTCCAGTAGTGTGTAACACTTAGGAAGATCTAAGCAAGATGTATAATCACCTGAAAATAAGTTTGTTGTAAGTTGTTTTTGTTACCTTAGAATGAGCCGTTTTTATCTACAGACGCAGTGGGTTGCCCTCCGTGTTGAACAGCCCTGTTTCTACAGTAGCCTAGAACGAACACATCAAACACTGGCTCTAGATAGGGCTGTTCACAATTTTCGTGTGCAGCTGCTCTGCTAGGTGACACTAAATCCTACACACTGGTCCTCTAAATGCTAAACATATTAGCACTCTGCATTTTCCTACGATTTTATAGAAATGTTAGAATAATGTCCATATTTGGCTCTCTCTATATGCACTGCTGCTGTTTACAGTTGAATGTATCTTCTGTGTTTGTGTCTTACAGGAATTTAAAGACTGGGCAGCTGCTGCGGAAGATCGTCCTCCGAGATGATTTATCACACACGGCCTGTCTCCGAGGATACTCCTACTGTGTAAGTCTGTCTGCTTTGTATGAAAGGTCAATGCCTGATCTCATAAAAATGTCCTTGTCCACCACAACTGTCTCTGTCTTCAGATGATTTTAACCCTGTGTGTTTTTCTGTGTGTGCACAGGGAGTGTTATTTGTCCTGCTGCAGCATCAGTTGCTCAGCTCCCTGGAAGAAGAAGAAAGAGAGGCCACGGCAAAAGATCAAATGTTTGTGGAGGAGGAGGAGGAGGAGGAAAGGAAGAAGACCGCTCTGTTGTCTTTGGTCGCCGTGAACCCTCTGAGTGGAAAATCTGTAAAGGCCACTCAGCTGTATCCACCCAAAGCGTGGTCTGGCAGGTGAGATGAGGGCTTACGGACGACGGAGCATGTATTTGTTTGTCATGTCGCTAACACATCTGCCTCTGTGTTCTGCAGGCTGTGTGAAGCTGATGTTAACAGCTCCAGCGTGGTGGGCCTGAGTCAGAGCGGCTGTGTGTGTGTGTGGGAGCTCGGGCGTCAAGGGGCCTCGAGGATGGTGTGGGCTCCCGAGAGCGAAGGCTGGCAGCTGGCTCGATGGGGCGGAGGAGGTACGCTGGTGACTGGACATCACAACGGAGACGTTACTTTACACTGCTACAGTACGAGTCAGACTCCACTCCACCACTAGCATTAAAGACTCTTGGATTGCTTTTATCAAATAAAAAAAGTCTTTCTGTCACTGTATTAATGATTACACAAAGATTTTAACACGGCTTCAGTTGAGAGGCGCCTTTTAAATATACTTGAATGTCACATTTGTTCATTCTGGCTGATCCAGAAGGCATTGCAGGGACTGTCTCTGTAACCTCCAGCACAACGATCTATACTGTAAACTCCTCAACAAGACTGAACCGGTAAAGGTGGAGTGCTTCTAAATTTTATCCTCCAGCCTTTGAAAATGCCCACACTCATATTTTTAGAGCACCAGTATCACAAACTGAGACCTCGTTGTGTAACAATGTCCACTCGATGCGGATTTCCACTTTTTAGGCCACTTTAGCCTGAAAACCAACTTTGTGTTTTATTACTGCTGCTGTTTTGACTGTTCCTTACTGTGCTTACTTGAATATATTCTTTATATGTGTTATATTTAAAGAAAAAGAAGTGTTGCCAATGTTTGTTTTTATAGTTTACATTAAACATTTGTGAATTTGTCTGTTTGTTATAATTTTTTGTCTACTTTTATATTGTTAAGATGGACCAAAACCATCTTAGACGCACTGTATTTCCATTTAAGAAGGTGAACGGTTAGATATCCCTTCCAGATAATTCTATAAGAGTAAATGTACTCTTGCTCTGTTGCATTATCTGTAACCCGTACGTACAAAGCGTGAATGCATTGTGTAGGTCTGCATAAGACTGGTGTTTGAGGCAAAGATTACAAGTTTGATCAAAGTAGAACAATTATTTATTCTGCCAGTGTTTGTTTTATGTCAAATATATAAGAGCATCACCACACACTGTATATAGTATCTAACTACTATTCTCAATACTAAATTCACTTTTCAGTACTCAGTCTGTTGTCATGTCTTTGGATAATGATTTATGCAAAAGAAGAAAATCTTCAATACCAAATGACAAGTTCTAATTATGTTTATTTGCTTTATAATTTAGGTCATATGTTTATGAGAAATAAGTAATAATAACTTTTGATAATGTTAAAATCAGTTTATCCTGAGACATGCCTGAAGTGTTTAGGTTGTATTACTGCATTTTGGGTGTTAAGAAATAACAGAATAAAGGTTGAACAGAGAGAATTGAGAACTTATTGTAAAATACTGTAAATTAAACTGTCGTTGCTATTTGTGTCCACCAGGAGGCGCCAAAATATTCTGATTTATTCTTCCTGGGTAAGAGCTTTGAGTTTCCCCTTAGCTTTCTGCCAGTTGACATTATCAAAGACAGCACGGTAGGGTAAATTAACCCTGGCACTTTTATAATAGTTATTTCACACCAAGAAATCTTCTCTTGCTAAAACATGTTTTTGTAAAATTCCCTCCATGGCTCCTCAATCTCCTGAGGTTGTTCATCTGGTGTATAAAATGGTTGGGGTATTTCCAATATGCAAGAAAGATGATCTATCTTCTGAAGTTAAATACTGACTTTCTAGGTTCTGTTTTTATAGTCAGTTCCTCCAAATGATGCTATTAAGACAGTTTAACTTTACTTCAACACTATCTGTGTATTATATATCAGTGGAGGGAAGTGAAAACCCTTTTGTAATTTGAGCGAACCAACCCTTTGAAAGTGTGCAAAATCAACATCAGTTCCACCATTATTAGGGTCACGTGCACTACAGGATTTAAGGTCAGTATGAAACAAAAATCCATGTGGAGCTAATCTGGATAGACTATACATTTCATGAAGTTTGCCCAGTTATGACACTGCAAGTGTTTTAACATGTCAAAGACTTGTCAGGCACTGTTACTCAGAACGGTAATCAAACACAGGTCTTACTTTTTGTGAGCAGATAAGTCTTCTTACTTTTATTTCTTATGAGCACCAACATGAAATTAATATGAAACCACTGCAGTTTGTCTTGTTTAAGAGAATCTTTATTTTAACTTGAGTAAAATTAAACCATCTTTACAACATGTTTGCATATTGAGCAGTATGTACAAGTTTGTACATCTTGTTGAAAAAGACAAGACATCTAAAATAGACTTAAAAAGTGTAAAATGTAACTACAGGAAGAATGTACATGATGAAGACATATTAACATGGTCCATTTCTCTACATACAACACAGATAAAAATAGACAAACTAGAGAAGCAGACCAGAGAAGCTTTTTTCCCCCATCCATACAGCCAGTCTCGAGTGTTCACCCCCACCACACAGTCGTCCCCTCAGCTTCAGGTAAATACAAACAAGCAGAGAGAGAATCTTGGAGGAATGTTTCAACTTCAACGTAATGAATTTGAACACGGGGAACCCTTAACATTCATCTTTTCCTCCTAGACTCATTTCATTGTACAGAGTCGACTCGCCTGCTGCGCTGTCAAGTGATCCAGCCATCTTAGATTACTTCAGCGGGAGTGCGTTTGTCAAGAGTAAGCTTCATCAAGAAAGTTAAAGAGAGTTTCTATTAACAGCAGGAAAAGAAGATAAAATCAGTGGCTGAGAGACTGAAATTCACCATTCATGTACAACATAGGAGATTCATTTTCATGGTACATCTCAAAGCCTCGAAAAGGTGAAAATTCATCACACTGTGACCCTTCAATAAAATATAGGAGGAATTTAAGGGTCTGTCCGGACCTCAGAGGCTGGCAGACAGGAAGAAGTGGCCAGTGATTAAAGACAGAGTGATTAAAGAAGTGGTGTAAGGGAGGGAGGAAGGGGGGGGGGTCTAATGTGCGGCAGGGGTAGGCTTGCTGTCCAGCAGTTTCTCCACCATGAGCTTGGCGTAGCGGATGCGGCTGGCCAGCTCCTTACTGCAGCCGAACTCCTCCAGCAGAGACAGCTTGTAGGTGCGGAAGTCTCGCTTCTCGTCGATGTAGGTCACTGCACCCATCAGCGGACACAGGATCAGCTTGGTGTGGTCCTGGTGAAGAGGGAAAACACAGGTTCAGGATTTGTGCACAGGGTGTCGTGAGAGCAGCAGCTAAAGTACGACCATTAAAAAGAGCCTGGTGGTGACGTGGAGACGCGTCTAACCTGGAAGAAGTTAATCTGAACGGTGCCGTTGGTGAGGTGCAGGACGATGGCGCTCTTGGTTCTGAACCAGAGGGAGAGGTAAGGCAGCCGGGCCAGCTCGTCTCCTTCCCGCCGTGCAATGTTGGCGCCGGCCTTCAGCAGGTGCTCGCTCATGTAGTTGCGGAAATACTTCAGCAACGTTATCTGCAAGAGGAAAACAGAACAAGCACATAAGAATCTATACCACGATACGAAGAAAATGAGATTCCCCCTACAAAAGTTTCACTTTGTCTGCAAAATGTTAACTGAAGGCTCAAGAAGTAAATGTAGAGTCAACCACTGACCTTCTTGTTGAGAGTAGCGGGGAAAGATCGCACGCTGAGGTAGGATTCAGCCGCCGCCTTGTCGATGTACTGCAGACTGTCTCCATCAGCGTACATAATCAGGCGTGTGTAATCGTTGAACAGCACACCCACGCTGTTGTCACAGAGCTGGTAGCCTGAAAGACACAGTAAAAACTTAATAAAAGGATCTCCTAACTTAAATTTGTTGTCCTTTAGCCAAGACAGTCACGTCCTGAGAGGGGCACTTTTCAAGTATTAAACTCGTCGGCTCTCTCTGGTGGACAGAGTATGTAATTGCACCGCCATTCTTAACCAACTCAAACATTCCTCTGGCATTCACTGCAGCAGTTTCTTGTTTCTGGCAGACATTTTGACACGTCACAGCAGAACAAGCGCAGATGTTGCAACATTAATGATAGCTGCATACATTTGATTACTTGGACACCTATAACGGAACAGGTTTAATGTCACCAGTTACACAGGTGCTTTTCTATCTGCTATTCCAAGTCAAAATGTCTGCTGTGAAAAAGGTATTTTGATTGACTTTGGCCAATAATTGGATTTGTTTCAAGTGCAACATCTGATGGATGAAACTACAACTGTTTCGCCAACTAACTCCAGGGTCAGTGCCTGGTTAAAAAAGGAAGTTTTTCCTTGCTGCTGTTGCCAAGTGCTTGCTCATGGTGGAAACTGTAAATCATTTTTATGTTTTAAAAAAAAAAAAAAAAAAAAAAAAAAGGAGTGCAGTCTAGACATGCTCCATTTGCAAAGTGTCCTGGGCTAACACTTGAATTTATTTAGTGTGATATACATAAACCTGAATTGAATAAAGTTAAAGATTTGCCTTGTTCCATAATGACCAAAATGATAAAAGATTCCTGTTCAATGAGACTTGAATGACCAAAATAGATTTAGAAGGGTTATTAGCCTCGCTGACAGATGGACAATCGGTCTAATTCTTACCTAATCCATATTTGTCAGAGTAGTCCACCCATTTGCTGATCCAGAAGATTGGAATACATGCAGGATCCTCTGCCTCCTCTGGAAATACAAAAACAGAACTAATTATTGTATGCGCAGACACAAAGATTATCCAAACCTCTAAAGTGTGCAGCATTGAAACTTAAAGCATTTACTAGTGTCTGCACTCACCTTGGCAGACGACAGCCTTCTCTGAGGGCTTGGCAGCAATGATACTGTTGAGCTGCTGCAGCATATCTTTCAGGTGGTTTTCTGATGGCTCAGGCTCCCTACACAGAACACACAAGAAAACAATTAAACAAGAGTGCTTGAAGATGAGTGTCTGGTTAAGTTAAATCTCCCAAAAACCACCACTCCATTTCCACGTGGAGCATGACATGGATAAGTTACAAATACTAACGTAGATGGAAAACCATTTTCTTAAGGTGGTGGTGACGGTGTTACACTTGGAATTTAAAATTTCCTACAATTAATAACAGCCCAACAAACATTTCTCACCTCTGCACAGGCTCGTCCTTCATGTCCACCTTCTCTGTCCCTCCTGGAAAGAAACATGACATTAACACTCTCAGACAAAATTATTATCTGGATACACTCAAATGGCCTGCTTATATCCTGTAAAACCTAAATATTTCAGTATCATTTTAATAGTCTGTTGACTAAAGGCCTCTTTGGTCAACTGTAGTAGACTGTAAGTAGACTGTCAGTCAGGATCATTACCCTTGTTGTTGATGGCAGTCAAGGGGCGTCTCTGCTCCATAGCTGTGGAGGGGGCGATAGAGAACCGTGGGGGCACAGTGAGGCACGTAGTGGGTAGACGCGTCGGGATGTAGCCGGATGTGAAGTACTCATCAGCTTGCAGCTCGCCGATGGTAGGCCGTTGGGCGGGGTCAGCGTGCAGCATCCGCTTGATGAGAGAGGCCGCGAGCGGGTTGATGTGCTGCAGAGAGTTGTTGTAAATTCAGGTTACATAAAGGAGGAAATTACGATAAATATACAGATGCTATATATATTTTTTTTTAAAAAACATGTCTAGCTTACCCAGGGGACGGTGTAGTTGTTTTTCTTGATGCGGTTGTAGGTCTCCTTCAGACAGGAGGTCTCGAATGGGGGCTTACCCACCAACAAAGTGTACCTGAGAGAATACAGACAGGGAGGTTTAGCTGAGTTGGGCTGAAACGTGGAATAGTGCTGTTTTTTTCCTGCATTTTAAGAATTAAATCTACATCCCGGGTGTTCAGACTTACAATATACATCCAAGCGACCAGACGTCCACCTCATAGCTGTGGCCTTTCTTGCAAAGCACTTCAGGTGCAATGTAGTTGGGCGTTCCACACAAGGTCTTCTTCCTCTCGCCATCAAACTCGATCTTAGTGGCCAGACCAAAGTCGCCTGGGGGAAAACACAGACAGAACAAGCTTTTGTAAAGCAGCAGACTAAAAAGGTGTTAGTTTCTGTGTAAAGCTGCAGGGTACATTAATGTCCTTAAATGTTTTGTCCTCATGGCAGATTTCCCCACCAGCCAGTGGAAAACACTCATCCAGGAAGTATGACACATCTTATTCTGGGTGTGCCTTATGCTTTTCTATGGGACCAACAGGTGTAACTGGTGTTTATTACACCCGTCTCGAGTATGATCAGAGAACTGTAGTCAAAATTAAAATCTTCTGCAATCTAACGGAGCAAACATTTACCTATCTTGACCTCCATGTCATCATTGAGGAAGATGTTGCCCAGTTTCAGGTCTCTGTGGATGACTCTGTTGTTGTGCAGGTACTGGACACCCTTGAGCAGTTGTGTCATGTAGTAGCGGGCCTCTGGCTCAGTCACAGCTTTACGACGCTTGTGCAGCTCCAACAAAGACTGAAAAGAGGGGGGGAAAAAAGGGAAAATTGGTTGGATTCAAGACAAATAAGACTATAATGAGACACTTAAGACCAAGTCTGTAACTCAGTGACTTCTGTAACTCTTGAAAAGGCCACTTTGGCAGTAATGCAACATTAGGACGGGTGTAAGGGGATAATGGTTCAGTTAAAACCCAAAAAGTGAATATTTGGGAGGTTTCCAGCATATTTCAGACATTTTTTTGGTAATAATAACTACTGACTCAAACGTACACATTTAAAAAGGATTATTTTAAGCGACCACGTTCAAAGATTATTGGACTTTGGCATGCACTTTAAGCCGACTCCACTGGGACTGGCAGGACAACGCAAGAGACCGCCGTGACAACCGTTGGCCCCGAGTGTGTTCACGGGAGAGAAAGCTTGCACGTCTCCCCTCCCTCCCCTCTCCTCCCCTCCGTCCCCCCCCTAAGCACACTCACCCTTCTCCTGCAGATTTCCAGGACAACGAAGACAAAATCGTCGTCTTCGAAAAACCCGTGAAAGCCGACGACGTTGGCGTGGTCGAGACTCTTGTGAATGGCGATTTCCGAGGTCATCTTCTCCCTCTGGTGCTGCTTCAGGATCAGCGACTTCGGGACGATTTTTCCGGCGAAAACCTGCTTCGTCTCCATGTCTGTGATTTCGTAGCATTTGGCGAAACCACCTTTCCCGAGGAATCGTCCCCTGGCGTATCTCCTCGTGGTGCGTGGGTCCACCAGAACATCTGGGATCTCTTTGAGGGGAGCCGATTTCGGGTCGACATGTGCCGACGGAACCGCCGGCTTCGCGATACCTGCGCTCATTTTCTATTTTTCGGATGAAAGTGCTCTTCGGCGTCTTTAAAAGAAAACGTTTTTTAAAAAAAAAAAACCCCTCTTCAGTAGTAGAGGTATCGATGATGGTTGCAAGGGTCCAAACTATTGTCAACCCTACTTCAACCGACGTTAGTTTAACTGGAAGCTAGCTTGCCATACACTTGGGAATTCAAATCAAAACTAGCGTTAACTAACCTTTTAAACGCGAAACGTATTCAAATATTTACTTCAACGATTAAAAAAAAAAAGTGTTACTGCATGCGGATATTAATATTAAAAGAGAAGACAGTCCTGAAATAAGTCGCCAGGCTCGTCCCTCGGTGGTTGCAGCGTTACCCCGTTCTGCCTTTTAACAACAGTCTCCGCTACAAGTTTAAAATGCTGCCTCGGTCGTTATGGCGCTCTCTGATTGGTCCGCTCGATTTGAATTCCGAGACGGATGCCGCAAAGCATCGTGGGAAGATCGGTGCAAAAATAGCCAATCAGCGAGCGAGGGAGTCGCGTTCCGTGCTCTGATTGGCCGAACGCCGGTTTTTCGGTCGCTCGTCGTTTCCCAAAACAGAGTGCTGACGGGAAATGTAGTCAGCAGAAGTGGGATTTAATCAAACAGTCGTTGAACACAATTTTATGTTGTAGATTTACTGATTATGGGGATTATTTAAAATTCTCTACACAAGTAAAAGTCGCGATAGCGCCGTGGAAACCCCTGTATACCTAAAGAAAAGGTTCCATATTTAACATTTTAAAGTAGTAAACATTTAATTTACAAAATGTACTGAACAGTTCAAAGTGAAAGTAGGTTAAACTCTTTTAAAAGTAGTGCAGTAGAATTTTGACATGTACTTGACTAACCCCCAACAGCAGTATATAAAGTAAATTAGCTGACCTCAACTAACTACAACATTAAAAATGCTGCTTATACATTATTAACATCAGTCTGATTCAAACATATAGACTCATATGTAATAATACAACACTGACAGGCTCATTCTGCCACTTTTACTACAGTTTGCTGATGTTGCTTTATGTTATTTCACTTAATTAATCTTTTGAATGCAGGGCTTTTAATTAAAGTTACTTCTATCTACCGCCACTGGCTTAACAAATACAGGGTTAAGACTTTTTTGAATATGAAGCTTATAGGTGTTGGTTTGTTTTCTTGTCAGAAAGGGGCAGTATTTCACAGAATACAGCGTGAAAGGCACAAGGTTATCTTGCATACATACAGTAGCTTACTGCCACCGCTACTATCTATTTACTCTAATAAGCCTTGTGGGCATTCTGTTTCTACTTTAATTAGCATTTAGACTTTCAGTATTGCCGGCTACTACTGCCACTCCTACTCATTCTGATCATAATAATCATCTTCAGTACCTTAATTAGTGTAAACTACCAAACAGTGTGCCCCAAACAGCTTTATGAATATCTATTAAACAGATAATGCTGTAGGGCTGAGCCAATACATGCCACATCTTAAGTAGGCTACAGGCCAAAGGCACTGTATATGATTTATGTAGTTGTGCTTGTATTTTTCTTTAATTTTAGATTTTTCAACTTCATTTGGGACTTTTGTGTCCTTTTTATTGGCCTTTTCCTGATTTAAATGACAGATAAAACAGTGCAGAAACTCCAACTTGCTTGCATACTCTACCTTCTCTAACTTCAAAAGGCAAATAAAGTCACTTGAATTTGAACTTGATTTTATTTGTTTTATTTGTCTTCTTTATTGCAGCAGGTATACTGTACCTCTCATTCTTTTCATTTAGATCACTCCATTTGGAGATGTATATATTTACAATGTGTAAGCCTGCAGGAACATCCTAGAAAACTGATTACATTATGGTGTATCTTGTTTCATCATTACTGGAAATATCTCCCAGCACAAGATTTCAGGGGCCTCATCTTTTTTTATAACCCCTCTTTATTACTCTCCTTATGGATATTTTTCATGTTTTCAGTAGCAGATTATAGACCTGACATGGGGATAAGAAGAAGATAAGAGGAGAATAAGTGGATGAGGAGAGGACAGATGAATGAAAAGACCATGAGATGCAAAGGATTTGTTTACTCTCTGTGTTCCACTTGACAGTGTGTGCTTTTGTGTGTGTTATCCAACAACAGCGTGATGTTGCTTCATGCAAATGGAGGAGCTGTTTTTGTGAAGCCCTGTTTGATCTAAATATTCCATTCACTGAGGATGACAATGGCTGCTGACGATGAAGACAGAAAAATTCAAGCTGGTGGCTGAGGATTTATTTATTTACACAATATGACAATTTAAAAATGGGATTTCTGTAATATTTTGTGTCTACTTGGAGGAATTAGTTTGGAGTCAAAGAATAATATCTTTTAAGTGGTTGACAGTGCAGTGAGGGGACCAAACTCCTGAAGGCACCATAGCAAGTTTACCAACAGTTAAAGGATCTCTCTGCTTGCTTTTTTACTGTAAATATCAAACTTTTTGTATCTCATGTGATTCCCCAAAATACAGCTACAAATACTGGACTCACCCACTACACTGAGCTATAGTTAGCTACGTTGAACATCAAGGTTTTTATATATATATATATATATATATATATATATATATAATATATATGATATGATCACTATCAGTACCCTGTAAAAATAATGTGCAGTGTTATAGATTATATTAAGTTGTATTTACAGTTAATTATATAACACAGACAGGGGTCTTTTTGTGTATAGCACCGTTGATACTTCTTAACATGTTCTCAAGTAAAATCTACTACTTGTAATTGAGTATCTTACACTTTGGCATTTATCTTTTTATCTCTTTGGTTGGACATAAAGTAAACTCATTAAGTGTAGTTATTACGACTGAAAATGTATGAAACAGCAGACTCAAATCACAAAAAAATATTTTATTGACATAAGATAAAAAAAAATGTAGCTTGCTAACAGAAAAATCTTCAACACATATAAATGCTTCCCATAAAAGCCGATCAGGGATCCCATTAAACTATACTGCTGAGACTTTCGGAGACAGTCACGTTTCATACAGTTCATAAAGAACCTTCCGTCCAACTTTTCCACCTCTGGACCAACCAGGTAGAGTACTGTGATGACCAGCAACACCTGAGCACGCGCAGTCCAGCTGCAGAGTCCACCCATCAGGCAGAGAATAAAGTTCCTACGACAGGACACAGCTGTTGTTCTTCTTCAGCGGGGGTCTTTTCTTCACAGCGGGTCCGGGCACGGTGTCTCTGCGCCTCCACACCGCAGGGCTCAGCCGGTGCGGCAGGTTCACCTGTTGCAGCAGCGCGCTAAACACTCCGACCGTGTTCCCACCGGTGCGCGCGGACGCCTCCACGAAGTTGGCGTCCCACTCACCCTCCACCGTGGCCATGACATCTGCCGCCAGCAGCACCCGACCCTCGGTCTCGGTCAGGTCCGCCTTGCAGCCAACCACGGTGATGGGCGCGCCCTTGCCGCCCCGCAGCTCCAGAATCTCGTCGCGGAGCCGCCGCACCTCCTCGAGGGACCCGGGGTCGTCCACCGCGTACACGAGGGCGAATGCGTCGCTGTGTCGGATGGAGAGCTCCCGCATGGCCGGGAAAGGGTAGCTGCCGCTCGTGTCCAAGATCTCCAGACGCATCTTCCCCGCAGACCCCGCGGTGTCGTACTCCAGCACGTGAAGCTCCTCGACCGTGCGCGTGTATTTGTGTTGGAAGCGGTCGTGGAGGAAACGGTGGATGAGCGCGCTCTTACCGACCCCCGCTGCCCCGAGGAACACCAGCCGGACCGTGTTGGGTCGCCCTGATAGAGACATGCTGAGCTGGTGTGTGTGTGTGTGTGTGTGTGTGTGTGTGTGTGTGTGTGTGTGTGTGTGTGTGGACCCCGGAGCGAACAGCCGTCCCGTCCGAGAATGTGAGACTACTGGCGGACTTTCTGCTCCCTCCGGTGATGCCAGCGGCTCTGGTCTCCTCTTTAAAGCGTCTACTGGTATTTATAGGCTGGCCACCGCTGCTCTCCACCAATAAGCTCCCTCCCTCTGTCTCACACGAGGTGAAGCACGATTCAAAGCAGGTCCAAGTTGAAATTTTAATTCCAGCGACGATGCAGCAGCACTCTGACATTTATGGCAACATGGAAACATAAATTAATGTGTTTTTACTGGTATTTACAATCATCAGTCATGTTAGAGGGAGTCATACTGACCACAGGAGCCACTCTTGTTTACAGGCCTGTGAGTCATTGAACTTCAACCACCACAACAGAAACCATATAGGAACAAGTCATGTTAAAGTATCAGTATCAGTGTTACATTATCACGTTATTTTCAATGGCTGGGCAGTTTAACATAGGGCAAGTACGACCTATGTTTTTTACCTTTTACCTTTCGCAGGTTTCATGACAACCGCAGTTTCTCCTACACACTTCAGAGCCCTTTCTGGTCCTTTAATACATCGTGACCAGAGCTTTGTTTTGCATTTTTGTGGTTCATTTCCCTCATTGGTTTTGCTCTTGCTCCATTACCAACACATGGTTTTTGTTATTGTGTTCCTGGGAACTCACATCCTGAAGTCTGGCAGTCATAAAGAGATGGTCATTCATGCACACACAACCAAGATACAGACATGTGTACTCATATTTACACCGGCTATGAGTCATGGAAGGTTTCTCTTTAATGATCTCCCACAAAGATCCACTGTTGTGGTACATACACACACATTGTGTAAATATATATATATATATATACCTATTGTACACACAAAAGCTGCACACTCCCTGTTATTAAAAATTAAGTTTGAGTAGTAACTCAGGAGTAGGTGATCTTGTTCAGCAGCCTAATGTTTGCTGTCTGAGTAGACACACGGATTTCTTGAGAAGTACTTGTGGTAAGGTCAAACAGCACAACAGATGGTGTAGCAAGAGTCAAATTTGTATGAGACCATCAATACGGTTCTAAGAATCTGCTGATTGTTTTCTAGCGAAGCTTTTCATCATCAGGATATCGAACAAAACTCTCCCTTTCTGTCTCTTGCTGACTCACACTGTCTGGCTGGACGCGGCTATCGGTGGGCAAACAGATACTGTGATAATTTGTCATTGTGTGCGTGCATTTGGGTACGTGCATTAGTTTGTTCTATCTCTTATCTCTACCCTTGAAGAAGGTCAGTACTTCCTGTTTAATATAAGGGAGCAAATAAGACAGGAACAAATTAAATAAAAAAAAGAGCAAACCTGCCGACAAACTAATCTGAGCCACTGGCTGCAACAGCACTTTCTGTGTATGCAACTGGCAGACATCTTTTAATACAGACCTGTTCCCTGTTTGTGGCATGTTAGGTAAGCAAACTTGCCATGCATCAGTTAGTGGAGTGGTAACAAAGTCAGAAGTGTCTGAACAGCTTAACATGACATGATTGTTGAACATCTCATTCCAAAACTATAGGCAATAGCATGCTGATACAACAGTCTCTTTTAAAATAGAGACTATTTAATATTTAAATGATACATTTTATAATTAAATAATATGTTTAATTATTGGGGTTTCAGGCTTCCACACGATCTTGAAACCTGGTTACAGGGATTCACTCCCATTCAGCCACTAAAACATTAATGAGGTGCAACACTGATGGCTCACAGTCTGTGTTCAAGTTCACCCCAAACATGGTGGATCGGGTTGAGGTCACGGCTCTGTGCAGTTCTTCCACATATTGACCTTGCCATGTTGAAACAGAGGGGGACCTTCACCAAACAAAGTTGGAAGCACACGATTGTTGTATGCTGTGGCAATAACATTTCCCTTTACAGGAACTAGCCTAAACCATGAAAAACAGATGTGTCCACATACTTCTGGGCATATAGTGAACACAGTGAACCAAAATCATCTTCACATTACCCACACTAGATGGCAGCAGTAGACTCAGTAGGATAAACATGAAAGTATGGGTTGAGACGGTTAAATAGTTAAATATATGCTGGGAAATTACTGGTGTTATAACTGTAGAAGTATGTGATACATGATAGCAGTGCTACAGTCCATATGTACAACCCTGTAACCCACAAAAACAAAGAAAAAGTAGGAAGTTATTATGCCTAACGTATTTAATATGTGTCAATGAGTGACTGCCTCTAAGCCTAATCAAACTGGTTCGGTCATAACGGTTCATGACATTTGAAACAGTAATTTAACTTTATTTAATTTGTTCAGTGCTGAAGTTCATGATCAAATACCTGCAAAACTGATGACACTCATGAATTATAGCTGTCGCTTAGTGCTAATTAGCATATGTTAGTGTGCTAATCTTTGGTGCCCATTGAGCCTATTAGCTTCTAAACATCAGCATGTTAATGTTATGAGCATGGTGCCATAGTAGTATTAGTATTTAGCACACAACACCCCTGTGTCTAAATATAGCCTCTCAGAGCCGTCAGCGTGGCTGTAAACTCTTTTTAAATGGTTCATTTAGTCCAAGAAGAACAATTTTCACAACTCCTATATGAAATTACTGGTGTTATAACTGTTCCTCTGAGAAATTTTTAATCACCAAATTTGAAGGTTCATCAATGGTTTTCACTGGAGAGCGACAATATTCTCCTGCAAGTTGTGCCACATGAACTTTTACTTCCAAGCAGAGTTTGAATAAGCTCTTCTTTCACTCTTTAAACTGTCAGAGACTCACAACCTCGCTCAGGACTCTCCTCTCACATAGGGGGAAAAGATCTGCCCTACTTCTCATGCTCAGCATGAATCTTTTTGCTGCACATCTTCTTCATCATCTGTCTCATTCATTTCCCGCTTTCTTCCTCCTCTGCTCATTGTTCTTCCCTTCTTCCACTCAAGTACCATACTAAGCTTTTTCTGGCAGGGAGAGCTGGCAGATCTGGCAAGACACTGCCATGTGTTTTCTCTTACAGATGATAGGTTTTGCACACACAGCACACAAACACAGACTAACTGAAAAGACGTGGGAGTGGGAGTATTATTGTATCAGTGTGAGCACAGTGAAAGCTCCAATTCATTTAGGGCACTATCACATGTCTGCGCTTATCTGGAAGTTTTTATTTAGACCTCTTTCAGTCACTGAGTATCAGAAGTGCCAGAGAAACTGTATCTGTACTTACAGATTTACACAAATACAAGGTTTATTAAGATTATCGTGTGTCTGTTAACATCTCCAAACATTCATCCTCCTCAATCTTCATCCTTGCCATCACTTGTTACCATGGCAACACGCAGAAATCCTGCAGTGGAGAATGAAGGATGCTTGTTGGTCTGTCTGTATCAAAACACACATGTGAAGTTTAGCACACATTAGAATGACTGTGGGTTTTTTTTTTTATAAAGAGAGGAGTTGAGTTTCCTCTGCAGAAGGACGGAGAAAGTAGAGTAGGTTACCTCCCTCTACCCTCGCCTTCATTCTCTTGAACAGTTTTGGCTCAGTGAAATCTCTAGGGGACATGATGCATGCGCTTGCTTCCTTCTCCCACACAAAAACAGCATATTGCGAAAAATCATGACAATGGCTTTTCTTATCAGAGCAAGATAGTTGCCACGTTGGGTAAATTAAACAAATTGAGGTGATGCTGTGATGCTCAATTTCTATTCAGGTTTCAAGGGAAGGAACGTGACACCTAGTGCAATAGTGTGGCTCATTGATGTGTATTTAATAGTTTCTGGACAACAATGGAGCTCTATGGCACAGTGGAATAAGATACAATGAATTAAGCTTAATATACACAGACACTATTGTAGCATCAGCTCTTCATTGGTTTTAGTATTTTCATTCGATTTAATGACAATAAGGAAAATGTAAATTATCAGCAGAACCATAATTATTATGTCATTATTGTTTTATGTGTTGTCAGGTGACGCCAAGATGGCAATCAAAGAACCTCTGCAGCCTGATCATACTATAACAATACAACAGAGCCTTTTAAGTATCAGTTCACCCAAATTACAAACAAGAGTTTCCAGCCACGCCAGCAGCTCTGTGAGGCTCTACTTTGATTTAAATGTTAGTAAGTAATGTGTACCATCTTGGTAATTCATGGAAATCTATTAAATTGTATTCACTCAGAAACCATAATGTAAACCTCATGGTGGAGCTAGCAGAGACGTCTGGGGATAAAAATCAGTAGACTTTGTTCTCTGGGCACCATAGATATATCTGTTCTGTGCCGGTCCATTTGGATGAGATGTTTCAATCTTGATTAAAATGGTCGAGCAACTGACTGACTATCATTCCCATCCCTTGAGCCAAGTAGCTACTTAGGAGGTTACTCTGGATAACATAGTTTTCTTAGAACTCTTTATTCAGTAGAAAGTAGATCCAATGAACTTTTGCCAGGTCTGTGAAACATATAGTATGATAAATGAAAAATAAATGAAGGAGAAAATCCACTGTTGAGAGGGAAATCTTTATTGGGGGTTTGTACTTCATTCAGTTCAAATGTAAGGACATGAAAAAGACTAAAATGCTCTATGGAAGGCACAGCCACAGTAACAGCCAGAGAGATGACTGACTCCATCGTTGTGTTTACACACCAGCAGCAGCACCCAATCTAAGGCAGACATTTTGTCACAACAAACATGTGCTTTTAACTTCTTGCAGTTGGAAACTACATAATTGTGCAGATTTAGTATCACAGTTGGAATTCATGTATCTACGACTGCATATTTGTAATGTATTTATGTGCATCTGAATGTGTTGTAACTAGGCCTTACCCACCGCCTCCCTTTCACTTCTTGTAAAAGAAAGGATGGTCATAAACAAAGACAGCACCTTTGCTCTCCATTTTTGTTTGTTTCCTCCTGAAGTATAATTGAGAACCTTGCACTTATCGGAGGAACCAGAGAGAACTGAGTGAAACCTTTCTGTAGATGCATCTGTCTATATACAGATTTTGTCTAGCTGCACATCTAAGCACAAGGAGAGGAGCAGTGAGAAACATACAGGCAAAGAACTGGTTATATCAGCCACATCCCATTTCTTTCTTTACATCCTCGGCATACTTTTGCACTCAAAGTTTCCTATGATTACTATGTTTTTGAAGCATTCAGTGACAATGAAAGCCTTATTTACAGCAAAAAACATGTAAATCAGTAACATCCCTTTATCTGATGTGTGTTATGCTTTATAGTTCGAAAGAGAGCAGGAGATGAAAGCAGCGCAATAGAGCCAGCAGGACATTTAGCAGGAGAAGGTTAGATATTGTAAGTCATGAGTTATAGCATTCGACATGTTTGTTACACCAGTAGTTACCACAGATAGGCACAACTAATAACAGTAATCACCCTGATATTTCTCAGGTACAGCTTGTGTAAATTTGACTGGAAGTGAAACAAATAATGTGCAACCACACTATGATTCATTCAGTAAGCAACAGTCATTGTAAATCCTAATCTCCAGTAAAAAGCCCAGTAACAAGAGTTTTAATGATAATAATACAAAATAAAAACACCTGTAGTGCTTTGGTGCCATGACTTCCAGTTTTTCAGCTTCACTTTCCATCACACATCCATCCAGACAAATTCACAAGTACACACACACACAGGCACACATACATATGCAAAAAAAACCCAGCTACCTACAGTATCTATCAATAGTTTGAAGCTTTGTTACAGACAGTGAAGTCCAGCTGTGCTTTCTCAGTATTCCCAGAGGGTGGCGCTGTCCAGGGAGTCGGCGCTGGCCTTTAGCCCTCCAGCATGGTCTCCTTTAAGGTACTTCCCCCCCACAGCACAAATGGCCATCTTGTTGAGGTCACAGAACTCAAACAGGAACTGGACAGGCGTTGGGCTGCTGCACACCACCGCTGTGTCGTCTCCAACACACCAATACTTCCCCTGGGAGTCTGGACAAACAACACATACTTAATGAAGCCTGACTCACACACAGTGCATAAAGCGCTGGATGCCATGTTTATGTATTCAGTGTGACAGGTTAAAGGACCAGTGTGTGGGATTTAGTGGCATCTAGCGGTGAAGTTGCAGACTGCAACTAACTGAACACTGCTCACGTCTATATTTTACGACTTGGAAATGAGAACAGGGGAGGTGTGTTGGGGAGACTGCGGCAGCCTCAAGGGCTAGTATCATGCAATGACACCACAACAGTCCTGTAAACTCATTATCTTTTTCAACGATTGCCTACCTTTAAGGGAGTAAGCACCGTTGTTGAACTCCAGCTGGAAAACATCGTATGATGCTCGGTTGGAGTCCAGGGTCGCCATTCCGGCTTTACGAGCCCCGATGAAACCATGCTCCCCACGAAGGACGATGATTGGACGGTTGATCAGCTTCATCAGGAACTGTTCTGCCTCCCCTGATGAGACAGGCTGATTAGGGCTGTGTCAAACAGCTGTGGGCCTTGTTTCTAGAAAGTCTGGTTTAATCTTGAAGCTCAGATAATCATAGCCCAAAGACATACATGGGTTCTAGGATTATAAACTTAAAGATGATTTTGAGAAATTGGGTTCTTGCTGTGTTATTTTTCCTCTTTAGGGATGGACAGAGTACCTGCATTGTCAACAGTAGCGGCTAGCTGCCCGTTCTTCTTAGCGACCACATATTTGCCGTTAGCTGCACGCACACACACACGACCCTCATGCCACTCCAGTTCGAAGAAACAGTTGGCCGACCTGTGACACACACATTAACAAACTCAGTGACGGTGAAGAATGGGTGTGTGAAGTCAGGTGTGTGTGATTTTCAACGTGTGTGTGTGTGTGTGTGTGTGTGTGTGTGTGGTTACTTGGTGGAAGCAGTGGACTGAAGTCCTCCACTTGCTGACAGAGTCCAGTATTTGCCGGCAGCGGTTCTGAAGGCACACTTCCTGTCTTCACGGCTCATCTCCATCTGGAAGACTTCCTGGTCTCCTTCCTCGTCCTGATTGGCTGACAGGTCCATGCCTAGAAAAGTGGGGCAGTCTGCTGTCAGCTTTCATTTGTCTCTGGAGGTTTTCCTCCTTGTCTGAAACTCTGCAACCCTCTAATTTATGAAGTTCCCCAGATAGACTCTTAAAGGGACAGAACACCCTGAACTCTCTGTGCCCAGCTGTTAAAGGTGTGTATTATGATACCCACACACTGTAGAGGGGATGTTCCAGTCCTGAAAGGGACTGAGTAAGGGGAGGGGAGTTACGGTGAAAATAATAGCGGAACAGCAAAAATGATCAGTCAAAAACGCAACTTGTCCTGTGAGTGCATTGCATTCTGGTCTAATGAAGATACTGTGGACAAATTAACATCTCTGCTTCGCCCATGGTAAATATCTGAACTGTAGACTTGAGATTTCCCTCTATAAAGACTTGATATGAGACTTTAAACCATTTAAATCTCAAGTGTTAAACTGTGGAATGTAAAAATATAAATAACAAATAAGACTTGCATAACCAAATTTTTGGGGGGGCTTTTTGTAAATTTAAATATTTATTGTTAGGCCTATGCATTAAAATAAGAGAAACACTGACATATCATCACCTTATAAAAGTTTATAAAGTTAGCAAACAGTTGCCCTTTTACACATCCAGCAGATATGCAGCAACATTAACATTCATTTGGAGTCAGGTTTGAAATTCCCATCACTTTAAGCTCTGTTTTGGTCTACACCAACTCCTGAGGGAAATATCTTTAGCTGTTAAATACACCACTATATTCCGCAGCCATTTTTACATGTAATAGTAGGGTAAACACAGGTGTTACCAGTGATATTAATTAGTGTTCTGTTCCATTCAGGTCAGACAGAGTCAGGGTGCTGCTATTGTGCACGTTGGCTCACTGGAAAGACCGGAACAGAACCTTAATTAGCATCACTGGTAACACTTGTGTCTACCCTACTATCTCATGTAAAAATGGCTGCTGTGAAGAAGGTCTATAACTGTCTGTGTCCCTTTTGGTGCTGAACAGGTAGCGTACATCGGATTATCAGAGCTTTGTCACTAAAAACAGCTGCTTGCTGCCTCTGAAGACAACGCTGATGAAAAGATGTGGGCTCCCCCTTGTTCAAAACATATCAGGAAATCAATGAATGCCTGTAAGCTGGCGAGCTAGACGGCTTGTTCAAGTCAAGCCATGTGAGGATATTCATGATTATCCCGATTATCACCATCATGGAAATTCGCCATGATACATTTATCTTTGTGGTTTTCATCACGATAATGTTGTCCCATCCCTAACTACGAGACACACCTTTTACATTACATTCATACACTGATTACATTCATTTGACCCATTTTTTAACAAAATCAGAGACTGGAAAGCATCTTGATCTGAAATAAAGACTTGAAACTTGACTCAGACGTCTCACAATGACTTAAAATCAGCTATGGATTTCTCCACCGAGGAGTTCAGAAAAAAAGCTTTTGCTCTTCATTAAGAGGACACAAGACTGACACAAAGACCTAATTTTTACCGTTCAGCTACTGGCTAACAAAATGCCTGTGCAGACCAACACCGGGTGGTCTTTTAAAAATGTTTGAATGCATACATCTCCTTGCTCTACTCCATGTGTGTTACTCCTCTGTCTTAAATGGCCACAACTTCAATAAAAGACCAGGTCACATGTCAGGGCCCTACATTGACCTCATTTAAACAAAGATGATCTTCCTTCTGCTTCCACAATCTATCTGTCCTGGAATTCACGCACACACACACATGCTATTTCTGCATGATTAAACTATATTGACACTAAACTACTGTCAATGATCAGTCCCATGTGCCCAGCAGCACAGTGTGAGACAGAGTGGCAACTAGACAAAGAGGTTTCATGTGGCACAAAGATCCACATTCAGCAAGGACTGTCTGAGTCACACCTCCCTCTTTGTAGCCTATTTTCTCTGCCTCTCCTCCATTTTATGTCCTTTTGTCTCCTAAATAAATCCCTCCTCGTTTTCTGTGTATCCTCCGTCTATTCTGAGATAAATAATGATGGATAGCCTAACTGTAGACTGAAGCTGACCCTGAACCAGCAGCCACAATGCAGGGGTAGAATTACTGCAGAAAAATGTTAAGCTTAGGCAGAGACTGGCCAAAAAAGAGGGAGGAGGTGGGGGAGAGAAAGTGAGAGCATGATAATGAAAAACACATGGTGTGAGGAAAATGAAGTAACAGGAGTCTCTAATTCTGTTCTGCTCTCTGTCACACACACACACACACACACACACACACACACACACACACACACACACACACACACACACAATCACGCAACAGCTGCCTCTGGTGTGTGCCCAGTTATGCAGTGACTTCATCTGTACGGTGAAATGGGATTTTTCTCTCTCTCTCTCTCTCTCTCTCTCTCTCTCTCTCTCTCTCTCTCTCTCCCTCCCTCCCTCCCCTCCCTCCCTCCCTCTCTGGCTCTGTGTGACTGCAGAGCCTCACCTTGCCTCGTGGAGACGTTTCTCTCGTTGCCTGCAGTCAGCACGACCTGCGCGTGGCTGCGCTCCAGGCCAAACAGTTCATCCTTCCCCACCCGGGTGCTTTTCCCAGACTTCATTGTGCCGGTGGGGCCCACGGGCGCCAGGTAGCGGCCGTTGCAGTCGCGGAATGCCACTTTTCCGGAGCGGAACTCCAGCATGTAGCCGGTATCCTTGTCCGTGGTAGTGGACAGGCTGCCGTCATTGCGCAAGAAGCGGTTGTTCGAGGTCTCCAGGTGGTAGCGCTGGTCACGGTAGACCAGGGTCACGAGAGAGTCGAAGCCCCAGGGGATGTCGCGGTTTATGGACACCTCTTGCCGCTCCCCCTGCGCGCTCAGGTGGGCGAAGCGTTTGCGCGCAAAGCTGTACAGGTTGACCTGCGGGTGCACAGCCAGGTGCACGCTCCATTTCTCTGCCGGGGAGGCTGTCTGCGCAAAGCAGGTGATCCGGTCCTCGCTGCCGCCGAGGTACCGGCCATAGGGCTCGGACTGCAGAGACCACCGCCCGTCTTCGTGCGCGGTGATGACGAAGCGGCAGTCCCGGCCGCGCGTCTCGCTGTCCGCGGTAACGTTGCCGTCTTTGTCCGTGGCGAGGTAGCGGCCCAGGTGGGAGTGGAGGAACACGACGCTGCCGTCCTCCCCGGTCTGCTCCAGTGTCCAGGTCTGCTTCTTCTTCAGGCTGCTGGCCGAGGCGTTGATTTTGAAGCCGAAAGTCTCCGCAGTCAGATACTTCCCCGCGCTGTTGATGAGCCCCAAAGGGATCTGCAGCATGTCCCCGTCGGCACCGTTTGCGGACATGATTGCCGTGTGTCAAGAAAGGGGAAAAGAAGAGAGATGCTGTGCTTGTTTAGAGTAGGACAGAGGGAGTGAATGTGGGGGTGTCTGAGGGAGGGACAGAGAGAGAGAGAGAGAGAGAGAGGGAGAGAGAGCTGCTCTTTGCTGACTGATGATGATGAGTGTCCCCTGACTGCAAATCCAGACTGCCTCGCTGGAGCTGCAGGAGTTGCAGGACTGGGAGTTTTGTTTTATAACGGCAGCACACGCCCCAGATACAGGCAGAGGAGCTGGAGGGAGATAACTGCAATTTTGTCAAACCACCCCACCCCTGTTCACCTACACACACACACACACACACACACAGCCACACACACACACAGCCATTATATAGTATCATCCTGACCATTACTGTATTAAAATGATAGTAATAACTAATTCTCCTCCACATTTCCCCCTACTTTCCCTCCTTCTGCTCACCCCCAGTTCCACATGGATAGAGCCATTCACCAGCTGACAGAACAGTGTTTGTCCTCTGGGCTGTGTGTGTGTGTGTGTGTGTGTGTGTGTGTGTGTGTGTGTGTGTGTGTGTGCGTGCGCTGCGATGGCTATGAAGATATTGAGGTAAAGTTTATCAGATCTAGCTGATTTACATGAGGCCTAAAGCACTTTTGTGTACTTTTGTTCTGTGGGTTTTCCAGGTGTGTACTATAAGCCCCCTTACAATTGAGTTACATAGACAATAGTGTGCTTTCAACTTTGTGTGCAAGAGTTTAAGGAAGGCCCTTTACTTTTTTAACATAATGCCCTCATATACAATAAAGAAATAGTTCCCGAGTTTGGTGTGCGGAGAGTCCTTACCAATCCAACACCTCTGTGATGGAAGAGATAGAAATACACCAGACTACACAAGGTCTCCCCGCCTGCCTCTTGTCTCTTTCTCTCTCCTCTCTTTGCCTTTAATTGCCCCTGGTGACATCTTGTCATGGTAACGTATGTATGTTGTAGGGTGAGAGGGTATGTCTGTTATAACGTTTTTCTCCCTCCCCCCTTCTTTCTCTCTTTGCCTTACACACACAAACTCTACAGTGTATGATGATGCACACTATACCACCAACCACAAAACATGTCAGCATTGCATTAGAAGCCCCGGTGAGTTTTTCTATAGTTTTACTATATTCGCAGCAGTGCAAGCAATGAAAAATATTGTGTTTTGAAATACATGCATGGAAATCAGACGTCCACAGTGTGTGTTTCCGTTATTAGCTTCAGTTGTTTCCTGGCCTTGTGATTCTACCCGTTTCCACCTGCTGGTCTGGTCAGGCCTGCCTGCCTCTTCCGTCCTCCTCCCCTGGGCTCTGTCATGACTCCTGCCTGCACATCCACCTTTATTTATACTGGAGAGAGTATTACTGGGTGTGTGCTTATCCTTTCCTCACACCTAATACAATAATATTAGCAAGGTAATGAATATCCCCATGAGAAGCCAATTTATCCAGTTAAGCCTTTTAGAGCTGTTCTGTTTCTTCCCCCCGCGGCAGCTCTTAACAATGAATGTGATTATGTTGATATGGTGTTTTGACTGTACTGAAATATCTGATTAGGAGTTATCTGCCTCGTTGGAATAATGCAGGTGGAGTGGTGCTTAACATACTTAACCACACTGTTGTGTCCATCCTCCTCAACCTACAAACAAATTACTTTGTGTATTCTCTGGAGGGTCAGAACTCCTCCGTAAAACTAAAATAAGTTGCACACTGTGGAAACAAAGCATACTTTCTGCCTGTTTTTCTGTTAGTGGAAATGCTACACAGGTCAAAGATGGGAAGGTTCCTTCAGAGCAGGTTTATTTGCATAAGTTTGCATGTAAATGTTTTCATCAAGTTGTCAGTATATGCAAATTATTGTTTTAAAAAGCCAGACAGAGAAGAGGCCTGTTTAACGTACAGAGGCAGATCATTCCATAATTTAGGAGCAGACACAGCAAAGGCACGGTCCCCTCTGAGCTTCCGCTTAGTTTAGGCACACTCAGGAGCAGCTGATCATCTGACCTGAGAGAGCGGACGGGTATATTGGGGTGTAGAAGCTCAGAGAGGGATATGTGGAGAGTGTGTGTCAATCAACTGAAACTTCTTAAGCGACAATAGTGATGATTTACTAACTGTTTAAGTCACATATAAAGTGAAAATAACTAAAGCCTGGTAAGAGCTTAGTAACTTTTTGCTTTCAGGTCAGTGCAAATTGAACACTTTGTTTTTTTATGGTGGTCTAGAACGGCTGTGCTTGCAATTCTTTATTTGAATGCCTTTATCTCGAGATCACAAGTTCATTATTCGTATCTCAAGAAAACAAAGGGGGGATTTCTCGAGATAACAAGATAATTCATCACGAGAAAACAAGTTTCATTTATTCAAGAAGAGAAAAATGTGTGTCTGGTTTATTTGATCACACCTGATTTCAGCATTCAAGATCACTGTCATGACTGTTGGGGAAGATTCATAACTGAACTTAAAAGAGTTGTTACCAGAATGTACATCTACTGAGAGTTTAAAATGTTTATTTCCTGGCAATGTGATGCAATACTGACAAAATATATCAAAATGAGATTTATTAAATGAGCTCAAAGATCCCTGCAATGTCCAGATTCTTTTCATGCATTCTTTCCGTATGAAAATTTAACATTAACTGTCATTTTGAGGAATGTCATTCCTCCATGCAATGTCCATTATGTTGAACCAATGCAACAAATTCAGGCTCGCATAGCACTCCTAATCTCTGATAAACATTATAAGAAATAAGAGAAAACAACCTTTTGTTTTCTCGTGATAACGGGTTGATTATCTGGTTATCTTGAGATAACAAAGCTTGGATTCTTGAGATAACAAAATAATTAACTCATTATCTCGAGATAAAAGCATTTGAAAAAAATAATGGCATGGCCATTCTCAGCATCTGTAGTTTATGACCGCTATCCAGACAAAATAAACAATTCTACCTCATTGCTTTGGGCTCAGGTAAGATCAAGTATTTGACATTACTTCTGATGATTTGATTAATTATATTTTAAAAAGGTAATTTAATAATTCAAATACTTGTCAATTGCAGCCCTTGCATGTCAACTGGACAGTCCAAACTAGAAAAAGGGGTAGCAACAGAGAAAAGCATCCCATGACCCCAATTTGACCAAATCCTTGATGAATGAGTTTAAAGCCTGAATGCAAGAGCTGATTGAAACATTTAATTTGTCTTTATAGATCAGTGTATGGATAAAATATCACCTGTAGAGGAGCGATACAAAACACCTTGTAGCCTACAATTAGTCAGTGACGTAATGAGGAAGGACACGGGGGATGGAGGAGCATGTACTGAATAATAAAATGTTTTAATAAAACATGGACTAATTAATTTTAGAGAGAAGAATGATGGGTGTGGAACTGACAGCTCAAACAGGTCCGGGCTCTGAACAGGACTGGAGTTTGGGAGTAGGACTTGGCCTTTGCTTGGAGAATCTGGTGGCGGACAGGACATGAAGACTGGGCTGGGACTGAGATTGTGGAGGAAATGTGGAGGTGGGGCAAACAGCAAAGATTTGCTTTGGGCTGCTCGATGCTGGATACCACTGAACCCAGACAACATCGCCCCCACCTGGGCCTGCAGGGAACAACAGCAAGGATGTGGATCTTATGATAGGAGAGAAACTTGTTATCAAACCCAAATACAAACCGAGACTAAATGATAGACTTTGGGTGTTTTTCCTCACCAGCTCAAGAGGAGAGTCACACTCTGCCTTCCACCGCAGGCAGATTATCAGTGTGTAGGAACTTGGCTTGGGAACTGGACGGTTGCTAGTTCAAGTCCCACAAACCACAGTATTGAGTGTGGACTGGTAGCTGAAGAAGTGTGGGTTACCTCCTGTGAGCAAGACACCTAACCCCTAACTGTTCCCCGGGCACCTACAGCTGCCCACTACTCCTAATGTATATAGTACTGTATATAGGATGGCTCAAATGCAGAGGAGAAGTTTCATTTTTATGTTTGTAAAGGATGTATAAACTATGACAATGCCTTTATCCCTTGAGCAAGGCACATATTCCACTTCTTTGATGTCCTCAACACCATATAGGCCTTCTTCACAGCAGACATTTAGACTTGTCACAGAAGGAAAATGTTAAAATGTTAAGCTCATTAAGCTCTGTTTTATTCAGGTGTTCCAGTAAACCATGAAAGTGAACCAGCATGCACAATACCAGGACCAAGAAACTAAAGCAAATAATTCATTTTATTATTTACACCTGTGTTTTTTCTACTGTGACTGTGTCAAAGTGTCTTCCATGGAAAGTATCTGTCAATGTAAATGAACAGTGTTATGATTTTATGTAGTCTACTGACATCTTTATTGTATATATTCATTTAATGAATTGTGGTTTACATTATATTAATTCTGTAAGTTATATCATAGTTGTGATATAGTTTAATTGGTGGGTGTGGAGACAGGACTGTCAACCAGTGAAACCAGCAATAAAACTGTAAATAATACTTAAATAAAAGCAGTAAAAAAAAAGGGCAGGATGTTCACTGTGTTGTGTAAATATAAACATAATTTGCTCTAAATGGGCTAAAACAGCAACAAATCTGGCATTGACATTAAAAAATAATAATAATAATTCATTTTAGGAGTATTTGATTCTACCTCAGCCTTCCTCTAAATTTAAAGAGTTTAAATTACTGAAATTCAGTTATGACTAAAGTTATGGCACATCTGCAGACCACACTAAATCCTTGCTGCTGTCCTTCCAGGTTGTCTGACCTCTAGGAAACATGATGCAGTGCAGTTGAAGCTCACTAGGTGGCAGACATGGTGTCTTTGCAACATTTTACACACAACACATCCAGTACAGCATATGGCCTACATGCACAGACAAAGGCTTTCTTCCATATAGTCGGCAACAATGAAAAGAGAGACGTAACGCTGGGTAGGAGAGCACCTGAAGGAAGATTTTATGTGTGTGGTGATTGGGCTTGTGTGATTTTTCCACATTAGGTAAGTTACACAGAAATAGAAACCAAATCGACAATACAACTGAAACTCACACTTTCCACATTATTAGGTGTTGATTTTGCAGTAACAACTGAGGACACAAGCGTTGATTGGAGTGTTGTTTGGTAGGTGTGGACCTTTTATAAAACACTTTTTTTTTTTTACTGTGATGACAATGACAAGTTAAATTTGTATTAAAAGCTCATTGATGAAATCATGTTTGTTCAGTGTCATATTCCCATCATCTCTGTGGATATGGTCAAAAGAAATGATCGATTGTGTTCCAGTAAAGCGCTCTCTAGCCAGAAGTCACTTCTCTGGCATTAAAAAACAACAGTTAAACCAGTTAGAAGAAACTGTATGTCTTAGATGAGATCTGCGATGGGTTTGTTTGCCCATGAACAAAACTATGCTGGTTTGCCTGCTTTGCGGCTCTGGGGGTCCACCACCTGTGTAAACAGTGTGGATGAGAATATGATACAGTAACAACAGGCCACTGAGTTCTCTACAGAGTGTAGGAGAAGAGGAGAGTGTGAAGAACGATGCAAAAGGAGAGAATTAGAGAGTGGAAGAAGTTCATTCACATTTCTATTCATCCACATATACTGTACATGCCCGAATGTAAACAGCAATGCAGACCTTACCTGTGCTGACATCCCTTCTCTGACTTTATTTAACTCCCTGTTTCTACATGAAAAGGATGCTGCTACTTTATATTGGTTTTTAGGACAAGAGATCCATGCAGTCATAACATACTCTGAGTATCATTGCTTGAACCTCTCTTTATTAGTTTGTATTATGCTGCTATTTCTTACCTTCCAGAGGACCAAAAGGGAAGCTGGAGTGATGAGAAATGCAGCATGGAAAGCAAGATCCTGGAAGTAGAAATGAATGAGAACAGAAGATGAACATCAAGTAGCAGATAATCAGGAGGAAGGAAAAAACAGAGGGAAGATTTACACGCAGGAAATTTGATTCCAAACTCAAGCTTTGCTGAAAAATTATTAACTAACTATTACAATATGTCGAATAAGATACTGCATTTGATATGTATTTCAGAATATACTGAGATTATAAAATAGGGGGGAAAATGCAGGAAGATTTAAAGCTATTAGGATACGATCTTTGGTTTGGTAAATAAGTTGTCACCTATGTATACAAACTACTAAGTATTTTTTCCATGCAGGTTATGGTTTTTTTTATCATGTTATATAACGTTACTGTACAACATATCGATCTGCTGTGGTCAGAAGCCAACAAGCAGAATGGGGAAACACTGGATGAGTCCCAAAGTCTCCTTTACCTTCCCCTATGCTCGTCTCTTTCCGTGCTGCTCATTGGAGGAAAACACTTTAATGCCCTCCTTTTAGCACCGCTCCACCAATGAGCATAAGTGAGGAAATCAGTGAGACGCAAGGAGGGATGGGAACTCTTTACACTCATCCCTGTGCTGCAGCTGAGTTACCAGCTCTGTCAAGCTAATCAAAGCTGAAAATGCACAACCGGCTTACATTTTCAAAATAAGAATTTTATTGAAAAACGCCTGGTCATATTCTTTAAAATCATACATATATTTGCCCTATTTCGAAACACACTCGATGAAAAATATGTAATAAACTATAACATACCGAACTAAACGCAACTTGACACGTTTGTGTAGTTTTTTTATTTCCTCTTCATGCTTATATTTTGAAGGCGAACCTCACGTAGTTTCCGGTTCGACTGTGACTTTTTCCATCTAGCTTAACGCAGCTCATTAACAGCTGCCTGGTTGCTAGACGACTCTATCTGCAACACTGATGTGAAAACAGCAACCCCCCCCTTCTCCGTGGAAAGAAAACAACATTTTAACGGGGTTTTTTTTCGGAAGCTATGGTCAACAGTGTCTTTCTTTTTTAAAACGTGGAGAAGCCGCTTGTGTTGTGGGGCGGAAATACGAGTGGTGTGGCACACAGCTAGCGTCTCTTTTGTAGCCCCATGTTTTTGTTTTTCACCAAGTAACGTTAGGAAGAAAAAAGAGGGGGCAACCTGAAGTGCGCTGTGTGAAAAGAAAAATGAGAGGATTAAACACGGACAAAGTCAAGTTTTCCAACTTAACGTAACATTTGCTTGCCAGCTATGTTTAGTTCAGCGGCTAAGATGTCTCTGGAGGCGAGTGATGTTCAAACTGATGAAGACTATGAAGAGCTGGTGAGTCCTTTAGCTTTGGTGCACTGTGTCCCTTCATGCTGTAAGTTAGTTATTTATTTTTTAAGCCTGTTGTGGTGATATTTATCACAGCTTATGTCAGTTTTCTTTTCCTGATGTGTTTCATGGATATTTCATATTGTATTCAATGTATAACAATAACAGTACACAACAGCTGATAAACTGTACACAATGATAATAACTGCAGGAAGGTGATACATTTTGAGCAGATTATTTCCTGTGAATATTGATCAGAGGTTAGTTTTCCTGATATTTTGGGGAATTTTTACAATACTGTCTGTAATATGTAGTTTTTTCTATTTTTAGACAATCAAAATTCCTATAAATATTTGCTTTTTTTGGATAAATTATGTGTTTTCTTCTCATTGTTCTGTTTGTTTGAACTTTTCTTATGCAGGATAAGGTTGTTTAACAAAAGGTATACATATCTTGTGTTCAGATCATCTAAAATAAATATCTAAACTATAAAAATAATAATTTCTATTTAGTTTTATACACAGCACAGAATGAAATGCCAAACTATTGGCCCACTTTTCTGTTTGTAAAAAAGTTTTCTTACACCCCTTGAATTTAAAGAAGGTCTTGTGACCCCGTTTAAGTTTGGGCAATCCCTAGTGGGGGGGAACCAATGATTTATGGCAATTGTTCCCAACACTTTTACAACCATTAAAGGTGCGTAAGATAAAGTGATGTTTACTTGACTTAGTTTGAATGAGAACATATCAGTTAAATCCTTCTTGTGTATTTGTCTATTTTCTCATTTTAAAGACTTTCAGAGATTTGTCTTTTCACATGTATTAAACAAGAAAAAAACAATCATAAGAAAACAATTGAATTGTTTTATTTGCTAAAACTTATAAACTTATAAACTCTATATTCTGGCAGTAGTACAGGTGAGCTGTGAAAAAATCAGGTTCCTCTGGTTTGTTGTAGGGCTCATAATAGCATTTCCACCAGGTCTGGATAAAAAAAACCAACTAATTGAAACCAGGAAAGATAGTTAATTTTTGAGGCTGTAAGATACAGACACTTTGGGACTCTGGTAATGAGCCTTCAACCCTTTCTCTCCTCTGATTGGTTGCTTTTGTCCAGGCCCGGGGAATTCTTGTCGTTAGGAACGTTAGGACGAGCCAGTAACCCGAGTAACCGGATTTTTTTTTCACAGATGATCTGTCTCATGTACTTGTAAAAGTTAGCTGCAGCTTTAATCACTGTAATCATACATCCTCTTAGATTTATCAATGAACCCCTACAGGTTCAATCACTCAGGTTGGGAACAATTGGTTTATAAGGGTTAACTTAGTGGACACAAATTAAACATAGACTAAACATTTAAAACTCAAACTTGCATTTTTAAATCGCAGATAAATGTTTTTTCTCTCTCTCACTGACACACACTAGGTTGAGGATGGCTTCTCTTTCTCTGCCGATATTCTGGAAAAGGTAAACAAATGATCTGTTAATGATGAATTTCATCTGTGGCAATGCATGTAGTTTATTGTTATACCCTTGTTTTTCTGTTTGGGCTAATGTGTGATAGTTATTGACCGATATTGGTTGTTCAATAGCCGATGCTGATATTTCGAGAACAGGGCTGCCAATGGCCGTCATGTATAATTATGTTCTATTCTATAGCAATTACAGGCATATGTTTACAGCAGGATGCATGAGAGTTAAAGTACAGGACTCAAAACCAACTTTTGCCTTATGGATTTAGTTTGATTAATAAACCTTTGCTCTGCTTTATCGCCTTTTATTTGTTCAATATCAGAGTACAAGGAGAAAGAGACCTGGCAAACCTCCTCCCTCTCCAAGTAAGACATGCTCAACTGCTCTGTCGGAAACTTTTGCAGATACTGTAACAAATCCGCTTTCCAAATTCCACGATTGTTTATATGCAGTATGTATATTTGTAGGGTCTCCATACCTCTCCAGTATGAATGTGAACCCCAGAAGAGTAGCAGTGGCAGCCTGGAGACTTCCAAGGGCCTCCCTGGGGGACACCAGAGGGGACACACCTGGGGAGAGTGGTTCAGCTCGCCTCACATCCCTCAGTAACGGCCATGGTAGGCACCGTACAAACATACAGCTGAAGCTCTCCTCGGGAGGGATGGCTTTGTAGGTGTCCGGCTCAGCACTGCTGACTTTGGGAAACTGATGATAAGCAGCTCTGCAAGTGTTACAACAATATTACATTTGGCTTTGTCTTTCTGGGATTTCAGTAAAAGAAAATCAGTTCTCTACTTTTTAAAGGTACAACAACCTTGTACATATTTTGGTTTTACAAAGTTTTTATGCCATTACATTGTTATAACATGTTAGCAAATACACTTAGTCGCCAGTTTATTTTGCACACAGAGCTAAAACTAAGCAGTCTAATACAGCAGTTCTGCATTCAATTCTACCTTTATGAAGGTTATAATGTTAATGTTTTGTTGAAACTGTTTTAGAGGGGTGTTGATGGTGTATGATCACTATACATCATTGCATTATACTGACAGGTGTTTTTGTTATTTAGCCTGCGCTCATTGATATAAATGGGCTGGACAAAATAATAGAATCACTACAGTGTGTTTATTAGCGTTCATCACCTGCCTGCTTCTGGAAATTAATCATTAATAGTGGAATTTGCTGGCTGCTCAGATTAAAGAGCTGAAATATGCTTAAAAACTCCGTAGAGTTGTAGATGATCTATGGCTTTGTTACTTCATCATTTCTGTACTTCACTATTGCGTTATGCATTCTTGTTATTTTATCTTTTGTTATACCAAAAATTGGACTAGGGGAGCCTGAGGGAGCGTCTTCTCAAGGGGTGTTAAATTCACAAGTCAGATGGAGTATTGATTTTTTGTTGGGAAATATCTTGAACCTCTCCCTGTCTGCTTCTTTTTCAGATGCATCCCAGACGCTGAGATCAGAGTACGATGTCACACCAGAGCTTCTTAAACAGACCTTGAGCATGAAGAAACACAAACATCTCAACTCTGGATCCAATGGTGAGAGAATGTATAGGTGTGTCAGAAAGTGGAGACGGGCGAAGTTGGACGTCAGATTTTGTGCTAAACAGAGTGGATATGTTGATGAGAATGTGAGTGACTGTGTTTGTATGATTATGTACCATCTCCCTTCTTGTCCCTGTGTGTATCAGGGTTCACCTTCAGCACAGGTGACTGCAAAGGAAAGGAGGACATGTATGATGAGATCATTCGCCTCAAGAAGGTAAAAGAGATACAGAATGCATATTGTGTTCAGCTTGCTCACGAATTTATGTTAATGCATTCAGGAAGAAACCCCCACTGATGGATCACATTGTGCATCAGGGTAGTGCTGTCTGTCGTAGTGAGGCGGGAGATTTTTCTTCTGCAGGAGAGTGTAACATGACGTGTGCATTTCAGGTCTGCTTAAATGGCCTTGAACAAGGCATTGAATGTCTACCAGCTCCAGTGTGCTGTTCTGTCGCTGACTCAGATTTTTTTTTGTCTGCAGAAGGCAAAAGGGGGGTTTAGACACTTTTTTTCCCCCTACACAGATTAAAGCTTTATTTAGATTTGGCACCTCAGGATGTCCATATGCTCTCTGTATGTTGAACTTTCTTCATGTGTGATTAATCACTGGTGCTGTTCTGTGCAGAGTCTCCAGGCGCAGAAGTCTGACAACCAGCAAATGAAAGCCAAACTACGCCGCCTGGAGGAAGATAATGCTAAAAGAGAGAAACAGATAGAAGAACTGTTGGATCCCACTAAAGTATGATCACTTAATTGCTTTAATTTTTGTGTTAAGAACTTTGAACAATAGACATATTTTAAAACCCTTTTCCCCCCCTAAAGGGATCTGAATATACTCGTAGTTTGGTGGATAAGAAAAAAGAAGGGAGTGTGGTAAGTATATACAGTCTGTTGATGAACATACCAGAGATTATTTTTAGGTTTGATCTTAGACAGATTTTGTCAAATGGATTATTTCCATCAAGGTCCTCAATGGGTTGAAACAAAGAATCCTGAAGCTGGAGCAGCAGTGTAGAGAGAAAGAAAATGCCTTAAGGTAAAACACTCTCTCACCTTTTAATAAGTCCATTTTGATTCTGTGTGAAGCAGCATAATCTTCAGGTGATTCTCTCTTTTCTTCCAGTAAACTACAAAGTGAGCTGAGAACCACCAACCTGGAGGAGCTGAAGATCACAGTAGAAACCTACTTTGATGAGGTAAAATATATGCCTCCAGATACAAAATGCCTGCTTTTCCACCTGAATGTTAAAGTAAAACATATTTTGACATGTTACCAGATACAGATTTTATACGGATACAGGAGAACACCTGAAGCAACAACCAAAGGAATGAGAAAAAAAAACGTCTACTTTTATAGTTACAGTTACAGTTATACAGGAACTTAGTTGAAGTGACCATCCTATGAGACAACAATACCAGCATTGGGCCCAAGCCAATTTGAGTTTGAGACCCCTGTTGTTATAAAAGATGTTTTCATCACGTTTACTTTGGTTGCAGAGAACAAGCTCAGCTATGGAAAAGGAACTCAACTTGTAAAGTGTATGTTTGTGTGCCTCATCTTTCAGATCCAGAGGCTGAGGATGCTTCTAGAAGCTGCAGAGAAAAGGTATGCATCTGCTGCTACTGCTTTCAGCCGATACAGTAAGCTGGAATAAACTTGTGTTTGTGTCGGGTCATCAGATGTGGGTCCAGTCCAATGCTTAGGTATAAATGTGATCCTGGGCTTCTATCTTATACTGGTAATAGCTTTTTAATTACTATAGAGTTTCTATTGAATAATTATAGGATAACTGTATCCCTTTAGTTGATTTTGGCTGTAACTTCGTGTCCTCAACTGTTCTTTATCTTATGAGTACTTGAGTAGGTTGTTGGGTGACTCATGGTCTTTTCATGAGGCTACCAAATCATCAACAGAAATCCTGTAAATATATCGTCCCTTGCTTGCAATGTCACATTGGAATTACAGTGTAAATGTTGCAGATGTCACTTCACAGAACTGAAATTGGACAATGGTTTTTAACAAATATAGGTTTATTGATCAGGCACAAAGGATCAAATCAGTCACTTTCCTTCTCCTTCACCTACATTTAGGGAGGGAGAGTGGATTAAAGGAGTCCTTTAATCTGAAACGAGTTGTTAGAGACTTGGATGTCCTGGATGCCCACAGAGATCATTTAAAGGTTGCAGGATTTGTGGTGAATGTTCAAAAATACTCTCATCCCTGCATTTATTATCTCTGTCTTTCTCCCTCTACAGTAGCCGAGCAGAGAGTAAATGCTCCCAGAGACAGCAGAAAGCTTTAAACTCTGTGGTTCATCGTCTTTCTGAGAACCTGAAGCAGGTCCAACAGGAGAATACAGCGCTCAGAGAGGAGCTCAACACTGACAGTCCTGCAGGAGGAATCAAAGGTCTTTTCTCACACTACAAACCCACGCTGACACCCTTGTCCCAGTGCTCCTAAAACAGATTAAAAGACATTTACCTTATTTATTCCATTCATCAATTTCTAATGTTACTGCTGTACCTCTTCTAGATGTGACACTTTTTACTCAGGTCACTCCAGCATTATTGGTTTACTTTCTTCCTTGTTCTGCTGTGCATTTGCAGTGCATGTGCAGAGTTTGAGGTTAGGTTAAGTGTCATCTTACTTAGAGAAATATACTCACATTTATTGATTGAATGAGTTGATAGTTGATTTGTGATTTACCACATAACAATCTTGGTATAAACGGTATTAACTATTGCTAAATTTGTATTAATTTGTGTACAGTTCCTTGTGTTTACTCTCTCTCTCTCTCTCTCTCTCTCTCTCTCTCTATATATATATATATATAGAGTGCTATATAAAGAGCACTGCAAACTAAAATAAGAAAATAACATAAATGATGAAAATAAATATGTGGAATCAATTACAGAAATGAATGAAACATAATGACTAATCATTCATCAATAGCAAACAATAGCTAAATATGAGGAAATGTAGCGCTTTCAAAGTCCTATAACAGTCGTTTAATTAATTTTATATAGTTAAAATGGTTGTAAAGATTTATCATCTAAAGTTGCATTAATTCCAAACCCTGCAGTAAAGGATTAAACACCATTGTGTTATTGTATTCTCTCTCCAAGGTTACAGAGAGTGGAGTAAACAGAGACTGTTGAGAAGGCTGTTGGAGGTGGAGAAGGTGAGATAAAACTGTAACTAGTTGCCCATGTAAACACATGCAGTCATCTGTGTCGGATCGTCTTACACAGATAGCAGCTTCATCACAGACCAACTCCTCTCTCCTCCTATCAGAGGCTGGAGGGCAGCAGAAAACACACCCAGTCAGCAAAGAGCGGTGGACGGTTGGATCGGGAGGTCCAGGCCACTCCCACCGAGATTCTGGGCTTTACCATGGCAACAGAGGCAGTGGTCTCTGTGGGAACAGTCACTGAGGAAGGGGAGGAGGTTTCTGATCTGAGAGAACGCCTCAGCCAATTGGAGAAGGAGAGGGCGGAGCTTGAAGAGACTCTGTCAAGTAAAGAGTGAGTGAGCAGCAACCGGAGGCCACTCGGTTCACACACAGCCTTTATAAATAATACCCAGTGTATCCATCTTTTTAAGCTACAATAAATGTTCATTATCTAAATTCATGACATACACCAGAGGGAGAAAACAATTTAAAGTTGGTTTACCAGACTATAAGTGGAGCTGCACCTTATTATTACATCAGTGACTGTTGCTATAGGCATAAAGCCATTGCATTTTGTACTTGAGACTGAATCTGTGTTGTGTTTGTGTTTTCAGTTATGAGTTGAGACAGTTGAGGACAGAAAGAGAAGAACTGGAGAAAGAGACAGAACGGTGGAGAACTGAGCAGACAACAGTATGGGAAAAGGAGAGAGAGCAGCATAAGTATGTTTTAGTTTTGACGTGCCACTGAAATGATTCAACCTATCATCTATTTATAAACATATGTCTACTATTTATGAGCTTGAGATTTATAAGATTTTAAAAGTTCTGCTTGTTTTTACCAAAATGCATCCATATACATGTACATATTCTTTGAATGTATGGTGTCACTTAAAAGGACTGTCACTGACTGCTGTTGGATTTACATCTGAAACAGTCAATTTCTACTAGTTGTTCCAAATGCACAGATCACAGTTGATGCCTGTCATACAGATGCTTTGTAGTTGATTCAAAAATGTCCCAGCAAACACAGTTGGCATCATCATAAAGATTCACTGGAGAATTGTCTATATGTAAATAATAATCTATATCTATATCTATATCTAAATATATAACAGCCAGACAAGAAACAGTGAAAGAGATTTGGCAGTGTGGGCGATGGTCAAATAAGTATTATAAAGGAATTATTAAGAAGATGTAGTTTACAGATGTAGTTTGCTCTTACAGACTAACCACTAGTCTTCCAGTACTGCCAGCTGGAAAGACAGCTTTTTTTAACAGCTGGTTTAACCTAAACAAAATAACAAGTCTAGTCAGTTGGCAAAGAAACTGATATTAATTAATATCTAATATCCAAGATGTGTTAACTAGTGCTGTAACTACCTAAAATCAAATATGATGAGTGTGACAAATTAGCTCCCTCTCAGAAAATTAAATGTATATTCATCTCAAAACCGAAGTTATTGGTTTGGCAAGCCACAGATAACAATTGTTATTGTTAACTCCACTACCTCCGACTCAACTATGGCTGTCGAGTGTTTGCATTGTTTATGTATTATTCAGGCATGTGAGTTTGTGCTTCTTAGACAGGAGTTGGACCAGTTGTGGATGAGGATCCAAACTCTGGAAGATGGAAGTAAACCGGCACCAGCTGAGCTCTGCTCTCTCTCTGGAACATCACCAGAGGACAAGGACAGTCAGACTGGAGCATGTCTAGAAGAGGGAGGAGAGAGGGACGCTGGAGGTAAAGAACAGAGGGAGGGGGAAGGAGATGAAGAGTTGGGTACAGATGCTGAGCAGAAGGAAGAAGAGAAAGCAGCATTGGTCATCCAGACAAACTGGAGGGAGCACAGAAATAGGGTATGTAACACACTGCAGTTATGTAAAAGAAGCTATTTGTGTGTGAGGAAAAATATTATATAAAAAATGTCCAGACACTTTGTCTCAGGTTTCCTCTTTCTGTCTTCATCTCTCTGCATTCTATCTTAAGGACATTGTGATGTTGCAGTCAGCATTAAGGGGCCACCTCCTCAGACAATCACAGCTCAAGGACCTGCTGAAAGACACACAGAATAAGGTTACACACACACACACACACACACACACACACACACACACACACACTCATTCTCATCCTCAATCTGTAAAGCACCAAAAAACATATCAGAATCGCCATATTCAAGTGTTTTTTGTGCATCATTTGAATCTTAGTATCAATATCACATTCATTCTTTAAACTATTGGCACATGTTAAATAGAGAAAAAAAATATTAATAGATATGCTTAAATAATTCTTAAGACCAGTTTGTAATTCTGGGTTCACAGTATTACACAACAGTTTGCACTTACAGTCCACTAAGTAGTCAAGTCAATTTTATTTGTATAGCCCACTATCACAGGTCATACATTTGTCTTAAGGGGTTCTGCAATCTGTACAGCATATGACACCCTCTATCCTTAGACACTGTTTGAATAAAGAAAAACTACCCCCAAAACCCTTTAACATTGGAAAGACGGTGGATGAAACGGTGGTAGAGCCACAGAGGAGGGGTCCCTCTTCTAGGACTGAGTAGATGTTGAGGGTACAGAATATACCAAGATAGTGAATTTACAGTATGTATAATCAGGATAAAAATATGGATTGATTGTAAACGTGTAGAAAACATATACACGGGAAGCAGCGTCATGGCATTGAAAGAGAGTAAAGGATGTGAAAATGAAAATTTAATTGTACATTCACATGTATGCCCGGAACAATACTGCTAGACATCATTATAGACGGACTCAAGCTGAAATACACAAGATGACTAAAAAGCATTTTCTTCATCCCCATCTGTCTCATCTCATACATGTTTTCCTGCCTCGTCCCTTATACGTCTTTTTCCATTTTGCTTGGTCTTTTCCTCATCTCCTCTTTTCAGGCTGTAGAAGCGACAACCCGCAGTGATGTTGTGTCCTCTGTAGACGGGGAGGTGGATGTGGTTGCCTTGACGATGGTACAGTCTGCATTCAGGGGACACCTGGCTCGCTGTAGTCTTGCAATAGAGAGGTGACTTATGTTTACACAGAAAAATGTTAAAAGACCAGATCCAGTCAAACATACAGTGCATTCTGCTACATTATGTGTGTGTGTGTGTGTGTGTGTGTGTGTGTGTGTGTGTGTGTGTGTGTGTGTGTGTGTGTGTGTGTGTGTGTGTGTGTGTGTGTGTAAATTAGCTCAGGGTTCTCTGCGCCTTCTCTAATGGCAAACAATTTGCCCATGCTGGTACCAAGAAGAGCTCGCTCAACACACACACCCAGCAGAACAGGTGAGGTTCACACAGACTTTTTTAAAGTATACATGAACAAACAAACAAACAATGAGAAAACAAACAAACAACATGACTTACAGTCATTATGAACAGAATAGGGTCACTTGTGTTTTGGCTGCTGATAGGAGACTTCTTTACGCTATACAACCAGAGTGTTTGTTGAGTATGCAGCACTGTGGCATTGCCCCGCTCTCAACCTCAATATTGCTCGTTATGTCTACCCTGACGCCTTTTATGAGTAGTGATGGATCTCACTGGCACACTGATCTAATTCCAGGGTGCCTGTCTCCTGTGCCCCAGACAGAGCTTTGACAGCCTCTTATCAAAGACAGATGAGGATACTCCGCAGCCCTGTGATACCAGTAATGTTGCTGCCTCACATAACCCCTAAATTTGCCACTGTTCGAGAGCCCTGTCCTACGTTTCTGCGTAACCACCACCTTTCCACATCACTTTCCCCTCCATCTCGGTGACTTTCTAATAGGCTGACAGCTGATGGGTGCATTGAGCGGAGCAGCGTTGTCAGCGTTTTATTTTCCTGCATGCTTACAAGACTACCCCTGCATTTGATGTGCAGTGGGATTCACTGAGAGATTTTGGACTGTGCCAGTTTTAGCTTTTGTTCCTGATGTTTGGCTTTTCGGCTTCTTTCTTACGTTTTGCAAGAATACGTTTGTTACAGTTTGGGTTAAAAACATGCCAACACAAAAAGGATATATATGTGGAATATGAATTAAAATAATACTTTAATTCAAACATGACATGGCAAGGTCCACATTTTGGTGCTTACTGTTGAAGGTCCGGTGTGTAACATTAAGGAGGATCTATTAGCAGAAATGGAATAGAGCTATGTTTTCATTAGTGTATAATGACCTGAATATAGGAGTCGTTGTGGTTTTGTTTCCTTAAAATGAGCCGCCGGTCTCCTTTCATAGAAACTGCCATGTTAAACCGCCATGTTTCTACAGTATCCCAGAACTGACAAACCAAACACTTTGCCCCATAGTTTCTCCTGCACATTCCCAGGTCATCAAATGTAGACGATAGCTGTGTACAGTTCAACTTCACCACTAGACGCCACTAAATCCTACACACAGTACCATAGCTGCATTACCTATGCATATATTTGTGAGGATGTGTCTGAATTGTGCCTTAATGGCTGGTTACTGAATGTGTTATTTTGTTGCCAAGGTGCTGCATCCTTCCATAAAGATGATGAAAAGCAGGGTGAAGAAGAAGAACCCTGGCTCACCTCTAACACTCACTCCTCCAGGATGACACCCATAACAGGTTAGAGAGAGATGACACATGAAATTACAAAAACTCACCAGATCTTTGGTTCAGCCACAGTTTTATATGTATAAATACTTCATACTAAAAAACGATTTGTTCTACCTTGATGCAATAAAGGACTTCTAATTCTACTGAATGCACCTTCTATCACGTGTTGAATTAATTAATAAATTGAATGATGTCTATGCGATTAAGCACAATTATCCCTGTATATCTCCTGCAGACCAAACAGAGCTTCATTGCACAGCTGAGTCTGGTGGCACCGCTGCAGTTGATTCGGATGACTCTGATGACATAATCGTGTCTCCATCCCGTCCTCTAAGAAGCAGAGAAGTCTTAATCTTATAGACCTTCTGGGTTGTGTGTGTGTGTGTGTGTGTGTGTGTGTGTGTGTGTGTGTGTGTGTGTGTGTGTGCTGTGTAAGTGTGAGGGAAGAATTTCTGCCTGTGTTTCTACTCAGAGCCTGTATGTCAGAGACTTGCACAGTCATACGTACCAAATCATTATGGTTTGGGTTCTTACTGAACCTGCAAATGATAGCTGGGATATTCCAGTATTCGTCAGGATAACATTGAACATACACAATATTTGCTGTCTGCTGAATTGTCGCCTGTATAAGCGCATTTTGTTTCTACAGTAATAACCAGAATATTCTGGCAAGTTGGGTGCAGGGTATTTTATGACAGGAAGTTAAGAGGCACATAAACACCTCACTTTGATCATGCTCTTATTTAGGATAATGTCAAAATACAATATGTAGATGCAGTGACGTATTGACACGAGACTATAGGATATTCTCTTTCAGCGTAGAAGAAAGCACTCACTCAAACATGAAATGGACATCGCCTTTAATTCTAAGCTATTATTCTTGTGGTTTATCATTTCAGCCAAATTTGAATTAGTCCTATGTTTTCTCAATGATTGTTTTGTTTGCCAAAGTGCCTACTGCATGAATATTCAAATTAAAATTGTTAATAAATGTATTCATTTCTCTTAACCCAACTGGCCCAAGTGAGCCACATCACTATAAATTCCTCTGGACTTCACAGGCTTGAAATGATTAATGAAATATATTTCTACACGACTGATTTGTAACACTTAAATGTCATTACACTTAATTTTGTCATGTGTGCTTAAATGATGGCTGATTCCGAGATATGATTCTCAACCGATGCACTATTGAGTTAAACTGTGAATAAATTATAGATCAGTATGCTGCAATACTAAAACACACGGTCAGAACAGTGGAGGATACACAGGGAGTATGTCTAATGCCAATAATGTTTGTGCTCTGAACCAGACAAATGATAACCCAGAGGGAGGTCAATAAAGAGAATGGACGAGAGCAGTTTTCTCCACATGATGTGTGTAACTTAATTTCTGAGACATTCAATAAAATGCTGTTTTTATAATAAAACCTCTTGTGTCTGTTAAGAAAAGCGATGGTGGATATGTATATTTACTATACAGTGTACAATTCTGAGGAACATTTCCAAGGTTCATTTATCCTTTATACTTCACTACACTAACGCTTCAGAAGGAATTATTGTACTTTTTTACTCTACACGTATTGACAGCTATAGTTACTAGCTCCTCTTTAGATTATAAACGTTAGGTAAATCATAAACCTATGAAAAACAGTACACTGTTGAAGATTAAACAAGCTGTTTCCAACATTTACATATACTCCAAGCAACATCAACCCTAGTGTTAATAGTGCACACCATAATAACTTATTTTATCTATTTATTTAACAGAATACGGTGATAATATAAAAACACATTCACATTAAATCCTAAAGATAGAAGCAAATACCCATAATGGTGTGGGAGCATCCAGGTTTTCGTGATGAACTGCGCATGCGTACAGGTGAACATGTTAAACTTCTGGCATCCAGCTTTAAGTGAAAGGTGTCTCCATCTTATATATATATATATATATATACTGTCAATGGTCTCCACTGAAAAATTCTAATTCTTTTTTCTTTAAAAATGCCAAGCGGAACAAAACAAACCAACAATTCCACCGTCGGAACTTAACAGTGTAACACGTCGATCGGAAGTAAACAGCCGCCATTCGCGTTACCCGCATGGATTCATTCAGTTCACACAAAGTGGTTTTCGTCCATCAGTAGAACTTCTTTGTAAGTCAACAACAATGTATTCAGTCGAGCGTTTCAGAGGGTTTGTCAACGAGCGACTCGCCGCTGCTGTGGAGGAAATAATGGGAGTGTTTAAAAGAACAGTGTCAGAGTACGAGGAGGAGATCAGCCGGCAGAACAGACTGCTGCACATAGCCTGGAAACCCGAAATAAAGATACACAGGATAGGTGTGTACAGATTAATCACTGGAATTACAGAAAACAAAAGGAATAGATTCTAATCCTGATAATTAGTGCTAATTTGCTCGTATTGTTTCCCTTATAATCACAGTAGTATCTTATCCCTGTTGTTCTGTCCCTCCAGAGCTCCCACAGCAACATGTCTATGAGGAGGAGGAGGAGGAGGAGGAGGAGAAGGTTCAGCTCTGTCACCAAGAGAGGAGCTCCAGTCTGGACCCAGAGCCTCCACAGTTTAAAGAGGAGCAGGAGGAGCTCGTACTGAAGCAGGAGACTGATACCTTTATGTTGACTGCTACTTATGAAGAAGATGATCAGACTTTGTGCCTGCGTCCCGGTGAAACTGTGTGTGCAACCGAGAAGGAGTCCGTAGTCGTCACATCACTAAGAAGCAGCTCCGTGGTATCCGAAGGAAAAAGTGACTCTTGTGTAGCTGAGAGACGAAATCAGAAAGGGGGCAAGCGTGGAGATTCAGGATCGACTAGACACGGGGAACCAAAAGCAAAGAAAAAACGTAACAAAACAAGAAGTCACACTAACAATGTAAATAACTCTCAATGTAATATCCACACAGGTAAAAAGCCCATAGTATGCGACACGTGTGGGAGAACTTTTATGTTTAAGTCCCAATGGTACATACACCAGAGAATCCACACAGGTGAGAAGCCATATTCCTGCAGCTTCTGTGGCCGAGGATTCAGTCAGAAGAACTCACTGAACACTCACAGGAGAATGCACACAGGTGAGAAGCCATATTCCTGCAAAATCTGTGGGAGAACCTTCAGTGATCCATCAGGCGTGAGTTATCATAATAAACTGCACGCAGGGGAGAGGCCATATGCGTGCAAAGTGTGCGGGAGTGCTTTCATAAGTCGCTCGGACATGGTGATCCACCTTAGAGTACACACGGGTGAGAGGCCGTACATTTGCAACATATGCGGGAAAAGTTACGCCCGGAAGCCGTGCTTGAAAAGGCACAGCAGAACTCATGCGGGGGAAATGCAGCAGGTTTAATAGTGACTTGACAGTCTGATGTGTCTCGATTGGGAAAGCATGTAAGGTCACGTACGAGCAAGTAGCTTTGTTCTTTTGTGCGAGACCATTCAGTTATAGTGGTTCGATAGTCAAAACACAGAAGAAACCGCATAATTGAGCAGTTGTGGGAACTTGGGAGTTTTACTCAAATCACAAACCTGAAAGCAGGATCAATACACACAGCAGAGAAACCTTGAGCTTAAGTGTCCATCCATTCATTATCGCGGCGGCAGGTCGTGCCAGACGTATCCAGACGACCTTTCCCAGGCCAGATGAGATGTATGATCCTTCCAGCGGGTTCCGGGTGTCCTCCCAGTTGGACATGCCTGGACCAACCTCCTATGGAAGGCACCCAGGAGGCATCCTGATCAGATGGTGGAACCACCTCAGCTGGACCTCAGTTCCTTCTGGCTACGTTCAGGCTTCAGGCCAAAGCGAGCCGAATCTGGATCACATGTTTTCATTATAGTATGAACAGCATAAATCACATGGGATCTGATGTTTTCAATTCAGATTCAGGCCACTTTCATACGTGATCCAAGTCAAAATACAGATCTGATTTCTTTTACAGTGGGACCTCAGTGTGAACAGACATATCAGAACTCATGTAACTTATTGACTGACATTCATCATGCGGCCCACTTCGGGACACTGAAATCTGATATTGGCCACATTTAAAAAGCAAAGCGAACAACCAATCTGAGCAATAAATCTGAGTTGAGTGTTGAGGCTTGCAGTTTGAACAGAGCCTTTGATGCGGAGAAGCAGCAGCTCCCTCCGGATGTCCGAGCTCCTCACCCTGAGCCCGGCTGCCCTATGGAGCAAAGATGAGATGTCAATATTTTGATGTAAAGATATCCTTCATATAACTATAACAATAATAAGTTAACAATAACTGTTAACTTATATATTCTTGTGCTCTATGAACCTCCTAGAACCCTTAGTACATCTGGGACTAGCTTACTGATTTGTTCCAAGAACCAAATATGGTGAAACATCATTCTGTGATCATGCAACACAAGTAAACTCTGTCCACTTTAAAGTCAAAGCTAAAACAAATGTCCTATTTAACACTGCTTATTCTAGCCAGTAATGGCAAAAAAACTAGCTTAGTTTAGCTTGTAAGCAGCCTTAATGTGTGTTACATAAATTAGTTTTAAATAAAAAAATTTTAATTGTGCCTCTAAATGTGGGAATATTTAGTTTTTGTATTTTCAACAGATTAAAACTTCACTTGTTCTTCAAATTGGAAATCTTTTCTCTTTGCTGTACTTTTATTACCCTGTAAAAGCTAATTGAATTGCCCTGTTGTATGAAATGAGGTAAACAAATAAAGTTGCCTTGCCCATTATTACTTACTGTTATTCATATTTCCATGGCAACAGTATTAACTTGAAACAAGCAGATGTGAAATGTTAGTTGCACAGTGAAAGTAGTGGCTGTTCAAGTAACGGTGTGATGTTGATGGTGTTTGTCTCTTTATGAAGCATCTTGGAATCACAAGTTTAACAAGGAATTCATGTCCATGTACCTCAAGTAGTATTTGATAGTTTTATATGAAGCCTCCAACACATCATCTGAGTGAGTAACATCACTGCTTTACATTACCATAAGAACTCATATTAAAGGTCCAGTGTGTAACATTTGGTAGAAATTGAATGTAAGGTTTGTTTTCATTAGTGTAATAATCACCTGAAGATAGGAATCGTGAACCATATTTCTACAGTAGCTCAGAACGGACAAACACTGGCTCGAGTGTCACAGCCACCTTAGTTTCGGCTGAGTTGTATTCAAATGTTTGCAATCTGCAACTTCACCACTAAGATGACACTAAATCCTACACACTGGTCTTTTAAATGTGAACATGCCTTCTTTTTTCTATTTTTATTTTTGCTTGATAAATAATGACAAGGGTCCAGGTTGAGCTATATTTTGATACTGTATATAGCTGCTGGAGGTTAAGTAAATGTAAAAGTAATTGTAATCTGAACAGTGGAGAAAAATTGGGACGCATGTTGCAATACTCTTAGGCATTTGTTTGTTTAGGCATCCAGTGTGAATAAAACCACATTATTTGCAGTGTTCCAAGTAACTTTACCAAAAAGGCACAGGATTATAAGGCGTTAATTCAATGGTTGTGGAGTATACCTACTTATGGTATGACGGTCTTGGGTATCCACTAAAATATATTCTAGGTTTTTATGCCTTTATTAGATAGGACAGATACAGCTTGACAGGAAAGGGGAGATAAAGAGAGAAAGGGGATGACATACAGCAAAGGGCTGCAGGTTGGAATTGAACCCGGGGCTTCTGCAGCAAGGATTTACCCCAGGGTATTCGGTGGTGTTCTGCAAGCTGATTTCTCCCCCCTAGAATGGCGAAGGCATGACATAGTTGTTCAATTTTTCATGAGTGGATGAAAAAAGGAATACTGAACTCAAAATGCATAAATATGTAGTCGTATCAACCGTCTCTGGGCCAGTATTTATTGCCAAATCTGCACCTCTCCTGTGTCTAATGTTAGTTACATAATGATCTATCCTCCCTGAAGGCCAGCAGCAGAGGTTAAGCAACAGTGTGCAAATACTACTGGAATTAATGATTTATGTCCACCTGAGTACCCTTACTTCTTATTGAGTACAACTCTGATGTCACCAAGGTCTGGACCACAGTGTTTTTTTCCAAGGAATATACAATAAAAGATGTGAAATAATGGCCTAAAAATCACAACTCTAATGCGTTGATACCCCCCCAAACCCCTGTAGCAAGTTCAGTTTTTGCAGAAATACTGGTGAGGTACTTCTAAACGCCTGCGTCACTGCGCTTCCATGTAAACACATAACCACATTGTTATAATAATTAAAAAAAACATTAGGGGTTATGTTGTGTTTAAGGGTTAGGGCTGTGGTGCATTAGGGTGCTGGCACCTTTTTTTTTTGGTCCAACTCAGGCACTGTACTGGCCCATATTTTGGGTGAACTAAATATAATAATTATAATACATGGTGTTTAAAATATTTTGGGGGGAGCATAAATTAAAGAGTATACCCACTTAGCCAGACACCACCACACCACTGGGTACATTTCACTCTAACCACACAGCTTGAGAAAAAAGAAGCTCTCCAGCCTACATGTACTACCATCATTTCAACGTTAGGGGGCGCCCTCTTTGCGCGTTTGCTCTCCCTCCCTCCCTCTCTGTCTCCCTCTCTCTCTCTCTCCCTCACACACACACACACACACACACACACACATACATTTGCGGAGCCGGAGCTGCCGCAAAGCCCCGTCCTCCAGGGCTTTTTAAACACCGTGTTTGCTTCACGCTCCAACAATATCATCCAATTGAAGAGCCGCAGCGTTGGACGCACTGAACCGACGGTCATCGTGGGAACGGGCGCCGAGGAGCGCACACCCGTTATGGTCTAACGGAGGGAGAATAACGAACATCGTAGAAAACTGTGAATATATATATATAAATATATATGCAGATACTGGGTTGCGGGTCAACGAGTTTAACCCTTAATTTGCCTTAACGTCGTTGCTCTCGGGGGGGAGGTACTCAGTTAAAAAACAACAACAACAACAACAACAACGAGAACAACAACCAGGCGTCTCGGTGAAATGTGACCGTTATATTCCGTTACTTTCGATGTGGTTGGGGCTGCAGCCGAGTCGGTCGTTGCAGCTAGCAGCTCGGTGCGGCCGCGTTGATGCAGCAGGCTGTGGGGTTCAAATCCACCACCGGATCTGGGAAGACAATAGGTGAAATATACGCCGGCCCTGGACTCCCCAAGACTACACCGAAACGAGAGTCGTCTGCATCCGCTTTGGCTTCACTAGGTAGGTTGTAACACGGTTCCTACTAACCCCCCCACCACCACCTCCAAACACGGAGGCTTTGATGTCCACAGACACGAAGCCCCGAAGCGAATTCTTGCCGTTTCTCCTCCTCGTTGCCTTGACGACTGTGTGAGACTGCGGTAGTTTTTAACGGACAAAGCGGCGTTAATGCTAGCTAATCCGGGCAACAATTTATTGACTCTACGGATAAGAACAAACAAAAGCGTTGGGGCTTGAATATGTGAGGATATCACCCGCGACTGGGGTTGACCTACATGTGTTGGGTACAGTAAAGTGTAATAAATAATAATAATAAAGGAGTTGTGGCCGTGTGTGTGTGTGTGTGGGGGGGGGGGTTGATATAACGGCCATTTCTTCCTCCACAACCACAGTTTGTCTCACGAAGCCTGTGTTTTTGCCGTATGGGCGTAAATTGGGTGAAGCGAGGTAGCTGTCAGCCATGCTATTGTCGGGCTGTGCTTCGTGTACAGTATGTTCAGATACAGTAAGAGCTCACAGGTTTGATATCTGCTTCAATTTGGCGATTTAAAAATGACATTTTAGGACTAATATTCCCTCTGTAGCTATATTTAATGCTTTGTTTGTGATTGAGGTGGGAATGACAGCCAGGTGTGATGTTTAATGACACTAATGTTTTTATGATACATTGCATATTAGAAGGCAGTAGTTCTTAATACATCAGCAACTGTGAAGGGAAACAACCCAAAATGATCATATTTATCCAATTCATTATGAGAGACTGAATTTTTTAAAGCAAACTGAAGTGAATGTCATATTGCAGTATCCTTTTTGACCCCCACAAAAACAGCATAATGCACAGGTTTGTCACTGATAGGGTAAAGACAGATCTAAGTAATAAAAAAGGGAAATTACTATGTGAAAGTTATAGGACATGATCTTAATAAAAACAAGAGTGCGTTCTATGTATTGGCATGTTTTATGTCTCATCCCTGTTGGTGACTAATCACCGATAACTCATCACATCGGTCTTATGATAATGTCAGTCATCTGTAATTACTCCACTCAGTAGAAGGAGGTTTTTGAAGCTATGATGGTAAACAGTATCAGCAGGAAGGACTGCGGATACTGAATCATTTTGCTTAATTTGTTTGGTGAAAAGGCACCAATACGGCCGATTTCTTGCTCTGCCTGTCACGACAGGTAGTGTGAATTGTGCATTAAGTCATTGCCGTGCCCTGTTAACCCACAACGGTCGTGAATTTCTCTGCAGTGTCCGCGTGAGGAATCCGAGTTAAGAGAGTGAAGTGACAGCCGGCAGGTAGCTGTATCAGGATGGCGGCCGTAGTGAACTACTCTCCGCCTTGGTGGGTGAACCTGCTTCACCGGTTGCCCCATTTCAACTTGGAGTTCCAGGTTGTGAGCAGTGACTTTAGACCGGAGGATTCAGAGTACCAGAAGGTAAGACAAGTACGGGGGAATAATTACCTCCCACTCAGAATTCATCATCCCACCTCCTGCCACCTGCCCACACTGTAATTTCACAGCAGAGTGGCCAAGTGGTGACTGAGGCTGTCCTGCAACTAGAGTTGTGGATTCCCTCCCTGCATCGATCAATGCTGTGTGTGTGTGTGTGTGTGAGAGAGACTGTCATTGAATCAAGACACTGATCCACTCCATTATTGGTATGGATAAATGTTGTGCAGAAACTATTAATCGATTGGTCAGGTGGTTCCCAACCCTAGGAGGTCAGGACCCATTATGGCGGCAATATAAATCTGAGGAAATTGCAAGATTAATAGCAAGATGGGAAAGAAAAAAGAGCATTTCTTCTCCACAAAAGAGTCTTGCCTCTTAGGAAAATATTTAAAATATGAGAAGGAAACATCACTCCTTCCATAAACTGCTGCAACATCCTAGACATATGAAATCTGTGATGAGGGGTAGTGAGTAGGCATTGCTTGCCTGCCTTTCCAAAGGTCATAAGACAAGAAGCGTAGCAATCTGTGGTTTACTCAATTGACAGAAAATTATCTGCAAATATTTTGATAATAGATTACAAGTTTGAGTAATTTATAAAGCCAGAATGCCAAATATCCTCTGGTTCCCGTTCCCTAAATTTGAGGATTTTCTGCTTGTACATCATTAAAAATGTAATACCAACAGGCTCTGGACTGGATTGGTTGGAGAAAACAATCCATTTGAAGACACCTTCTTTGGAAACTTATGATGATGATTTTCATGTTCAGGCATGAAAACAATCAGAATCAGTTAAAAGAATAAAACTAATTGCAGTCGTTCTGTGATAAAACACTGTCTGAGTCAGCAGCGCTGCCTCAGAGAGGAGCTCAATCTCAAAGAGGGGCTTTGGCCCAGTTTTGCTGCATTTCATTTGAATCCTCAAACAAGGTGACTTTCAGGTCTCTGCACCAGAAAACACAGCGGACCCACATAAAACCAAGGCACCTCGTTTAGAGCCCCACATTTCATGCGCCGCAGTCAACCCCATAATGTAGTTTGCTGACATGTTCGGGGAGAGAAGGGAGGGCGTGCAAGTTCAAGAGCTGAGCGTGGGAAGGCACCCACGGCCATGGACAAGGGAGGGAGATGGGAACTGGAGAGAGAAGCAGGGAGGGAGGAGGAGTGAGTAAGATAAAAAGAGACTGATTGGAGGCGAAAGGAGAGAGAGAAGGCTCGATGAGCCATGGGAGGTGCTTCTAAATTGCCAAATAGCCACTTCCTGCGAGCTATTCAATGTTCAACTAAGGGCCTTTGTGTGTGTGTGTGTGTGTGTGTGTGTGTGTGTGTGTGTGTGTGTGTCAATGTGTGTTACCACTGGAATTTTAAGGACCCCTCTTTTTTAGACTAATTACATCCCGACATATTTTCGCAGACGGGGCTGTTTCTATGTCACTGAGCAATCTGCACTCTGATCATATGTTTGTTTGTACATTATTAATATGTACAGTAGCTGTGCATATTGTTCTGTATAGTATATATGTCACATGCAGCATATTCACATTCTGTGTCAGTGCGTATTTAGCACTTAGTGTTGTTTGTCGAGGTGAGGTCACAGATCTCCCCCAGGGGTTGTGTGTGTTATTGTGTGTGTATGTGAGGGAATATAGGGGTTCTATTCAGGGTGAAATTGTTAATTCTGGCTAGACGGGGGAAGGGATAGAGGGTGAGAAGAACAAGAAGAAGGAGGTTGAATTGGATTCGGGGAAGGAGGGAGGGAGGGAGGGAGTGAGTGAGGGAAAGAGGGGGTAGAGAGAGTGGGAAGGGGAGGGCTGTAGTCTGTTGTGAAAGAATGCTCTCTTTCTTTCTTTCACTCTTTCACTGAAGCCCGTCTTTAGATTGGCTCAGTATATCTGTCTCAAAGGCTTTCATGCATCCACTCATCCAGCTGAGAAACGCACAAACACACACACACACACACAAACAAGGTCCTCCACAGTGTCCTTTAGTCCGTCACCACAACACAACACACACTCACACTGTGTCACACACTCACAACACAATAGAGAGAGATTCTTCTGTGTAGTGTTTTTCTTTCTGATGTGATTTGGCACAGGTTCATTTGTATTCAGCTCTTGAGGTCTGAAGTTGCTCAGAACTTTCTTCTTGCACAGTGTCTTTCACTCACTCACTCACTCACTCACTCACTCATGTTCTTGTCCTCCCCTATTCAGAAGTTTTTTCTCTTACACAAACTAAATAAATACAACTGTTCAGCATTCATTCACAAGAGCAGTTGGTCTCTGATGACTTTGACTGTATCGGGGATGCTGACTCCGTGGCTTTCTGCAAGAAAACTTTTATTATTTTTTTTTCCTGAGGAGTTGAAATAGGAGCTCTTATCCTGAGGTTCTACAACGCATTGGGATAGCTTGTGTGTCTATCTGAGTGTGTGTGCGTGCGTTCTTCTGTTTGTATTATGGTAGAATCGCAGAGTCAGCTACCAGCCACAGTTAAACAGCTGCAGAACATTACAGAGGAATCATGTGACCTGTAATAACACACACATATATTCCCAGCTGTGGAAAGTAAGACCGTAATTGGTATTTTGAATAGTGTGCTACAGTTTGCACAGTGGAAGACATTATTGAATCATAGCATTTTGAAAAGGATCACAGTGGATCAAACACCAAAGGTGCCACTCTTGAATCTTTTTTTAAAGTGTTTAAAGATCAAAACACAAAGGCCGTTTTCTGAATATAGATTTTGCCGTTAGTGTTTTGGTTGCAGAATGAGCCTGAGGTCAGTCACCGCCGCAGGAAAGAAGTTGAGAGGATAGAAGGCAAGGCCAGACTAGAGAGGAGCACACAGGCAGGGAGAGTGCAAGGACAACTTACTGAAGTGGAAGTGATTGATCCTGTCAGCTTAGACACACATTCACAGGCGCGCGCACACACACACACACACACACACACACACACACACACACACACACACACACACACACTGAAATGGACAGATTGAAAGTAGATCACTGTGCCTGGGCGTTTAACATTTAGCCCCTCCTCCAGCCTGCAAGCTGATCTCCAGCAGCGTAGATGTGCACATACACACACTTACATCTAAGTACACACACACACACAGCGAAGCTCACCATGCTTATTAGTAGCTAATTGATCCATGCTTAATCTGCTCTGATGGTTTGTCAGCCCGACAGCTAAGCTAGGGACCATTATACGCAGAGGGAGAAGAGTGAAGTGGCTGCAGAGACCTGGTCCTCAGTCAGATTTAATATTAAGCCCATATACAGTTTAACATTAAGCCCGTATACCAGACATTAGCAGTCGTGACTCAGTTGTTCTTGCTTTATATGCACATGATTAGTTGAATTTTAGTGTCAAGTAGTTGTTAAAATCAAGCATAAATGAGAGACAGTCAGCTTCTCAAATGTAAGCATGCCCTGCTTGTCTTCATTTTTTGGTAGTCAGATAAAAAACAAGCAATCTGAAGACATCGTGTTTTTTTTTTTACGAAATTGTGATGGGAACTGTATTCACTCAAAGAATAAAAAAGTTTTGATTAATGGACTAAAACAGTCTTATAGGGCTGCAGCCAACAGTTCCATTATTGATTAATTAATTAGATTATTTTCTTGATGATCCATTTGAAATAATGCTGATTTTAATATCCCAAAGCTAAAAGTTATGTTGTTTTAACGAATCAGTTTAATTTCATATATGACAGAAAAAATGCTTGATTATCTAGGCTAGTGTCCAGTTAGTTTTCTGTTGATATACTTATCGATTGACAAACTGTTTCAGCTCTACAATTCAATTCATAATGCAAATATCACACTTTCTCTATCATATCACTTTCCTCGTTATCCCTGTATCTGTGTCATCCCGTCATCGTTGTTGTAGCGTGATTTATGATGGATGGCTGTCATGGAAACATCCATTGTTATATAGCGTGAGATTTCATTCTCATTCTGCAAAGCTTAATGCATCTTACTCTATATGGTTTAAGCCCTAACGATAAATTTAAAGGCACAAGAGATCAAACAATGCATTAGTGGACCACTGTACGCCTTAATCATAGCACAACGTCTCTAGCACTAAGCCAGCAGATAATAACATAGGATAATACCAGAGAAAAGGAATCTACAGAGCTTATCTCCCCCCCTCCTATCCCATCAGGATCTTTACCTCCCATCCTCTGCTCATCTTCTTTAACCTGTTGGAGAAAAGCAGTCTGGGAAAAAGCAATCAACTGATTTCCTCCCACTCAGCCCTGCTTTACCAACTGCTTTCCCATGAGAAAGCAATACCGCCGTATTCCTTTCTGATTGTTGTGAACATTGTAACTCAGGTTGTAATGGCAGAGAGCAAGAGTCACTTTAGTGTGAACATTTTAAGTTAATTGTAATTCTTGTAATTCACCTCACCTAGCTGTAGGCTTAGAGACCTCATACAATAGAAGCACACTGATGCCTCAGCAGGGACTCAGATTTGTAGTTTGAACTGCTGTTCAAAAATTAGCCCTCCTTTCTCCCTTCAGATGTCACATTACACCACTGCAGATCACATCCTATCATGTTTCATATTGTACTGTGGTGTTCTAGTGACCCACTGGCCTGCTCAGATTGGCCTCAGCCTTCCAGATCTGATACGGTGCCCTTTGCTGGCCTGGTTATACATCTGCCACAGTTCACACTTTACTTGGAAATGCTGACCTTATTAGGCTGCATTGTTTTTCATTGTGAAAAGAGATTTGTGCCTTTGAAGACAAGCTAGTGTCAGCGTATCAGCTGGCTCTGGTGTGACTGGTTACTCCGAACAATTATTTCTTTGATGTTTCTGCTTTTGGAGAATTTCCTTGGAAAAACAACAAGCAAAATCAGGCCACAGGGATAAGAAGACATTTCAGATAAACAACAGATTACATTCCCAAATTGTTGGAGATATATCAGTGTTTATGTTTTAGCTATTGTAGCAACAATCCTCTTGGGATCGCAGTGTGGGTCAGTTGGTTGGTTGGGTCCACCACTTCGGTCTGTTATAGCTCAACGACTATGAGATGGTCTCTACAGGATGCACGGTAACAACTTTGGTGATCCCTTTTGGTTTATGGCTAAATGCCTTGACAACTAATGACACCCCCATTAGCTTCAGCTGTACGATGTTTGCATGCTATCACACTGCAATGGTGAACCTGGGAAACATCATCATATTAGCATTTTTGTACATCCGGCTGTAGACTCTTAGTGTTGTTAATCCTAGAGCAGGGGTTCCCAACATTATTTGCTTGTGATCCTTCAAAATGAAATATTGTCAACCCATCATCAATGACTGTATATGTCTACTGACTGTGACCAGTTGACCAGTTCTGTTTAGCTTTTTCCCTCATTCCGTCCTCCCTAAATAAAGAATTAATAAAAGAACAAAAGATTAGTGGAAAATCTGAAAAAAATCTAAATGATTTTGTATGGCAGAAATGTTTTTCTTCATTAGCTAGCAACCCCACAGATTTATCTCGGTGTGTCCTGACCTTCAGGTTGCCCCAGAATATTAATGTTTACAAGATCACATTACTGATATATTTTAAGAAACAAAAATCATCATATTTAATGCGTTGTTAAAGATGATGTCAGTTTTGGCACATAGACACTATAATACATGTGCTTATTTACAGTAGAGGTGCATAAATTGCCTCAGGGTGAGGAAATTGTTGGCTGGCAGTGAGGAAAAATTGAGGTCAGCACAAGAAATCAGCAGTTAAGAAGCCTGAGAAGCCAGGAAGTCTGTGAGGATCTTAGAGGTGGAGACAGATTTTGTTATCATCCTCGGAGGAGTCCCCAGAATCACACTGTTGCTGTTTCTGACCGAGCAGAACTGCGGCAGAAATCCTTTGTCTATTGTAAGTAGTCCAGCAGGTGGAGATTTTGGTTCTCCAGGAACGTGCCTTTGTCTCTCCACGGTCCTGCAGTGCAATGACTTTTCCAGACACTCCAGAGGGGAAAAACTAACATTGCTCTGTGTGTGTGTGTGTGTGTGTCTGTGTGTGTGTGTGTGTGTGTGTGAGCTAAAAAAAGATTTCATCAGTTCCAGGCAAATTGCTGTAAGAGCCCCCATCTCTGTCTTTATCCATCTCTCCCTTTTTAGTGTTCAGTTCAGTCATCTTCTTTCACATCTTCTTCCTTTTCTTTCTCTCCGGTCTCTTTTTTTTGTTTCAAATTTACCCCACCCCCCCCCACTTCCTTCTGTCTGCCCCCAACACCCCTTCATTCTTTTACACTTCAAAGCTTTTAGAGGGTGTGTGATCTGTGTGGTGGGTCTCTAGCGCACACAGCTCCCCAACAGCATCGCTTCCGCTCACTCCATGGAGGTGTGCGTGTTTGATGGTGTGCAAATGTGTTTTTCATGGTATCCATCAAACACCCCTTTTAACAGACACTATTTTCCTGCCTCAAATAGCTGGAGAGAGGAACACAATTTGTGTATCTGCGTGCGTCTGTCTACACAGGAAAACCATGTGGTCTGTCTATGTATCTGGTTTCTGCTCCTATCAGCTAATTTGCTTCCTGTATATTTAACCCAGTTCCTAAATCTTCCCCTTCCCTGTGATAAGGACAACTCTCAAACTCAATACATTTGTGTACTGAATCAACCAAGTTCAAAGTATAACATAAATCCTGTTATGAAATCATACATTTCTTGTTCTCCCCAGTCCATTTTGCTGCTCGGCGCCGTGGCGTTGCTGTGTCTGGGCCTGGACCTCCTCTTCCTCCTGTTCTACTCATTCTGGCTTTGCTGCCGGCGACGCAAGAGTGACGATTCCTCGCACTCCCATTCGCACTCCCAGCAGCCCAGTGCTGACTGCTGCTGCACCGCCTGGTGCGTCATCATCGCCACACTTGTCTGCAGGTGAGAGGGTTATCCCCATAAGAGTAACACCTCCATATACTAATGATAAAGTCACGTGTATTTAAAGAAAGTTTAAGCCCCTTTTCCCCTGCAACCACAGGGGAAAATATTTGTGTTATTAAGAATGCTTGAGTGAGTAAATGTTGATATATTTAACCATTCTCCTCCAATTAAAGGATTTGCCCTCTAGCCTACACTGGAGACTGTAGCTATTTTCACTGGGGATTAATATGGGAGTTTTCTGGCTCTGTACATTAGAGCCTGTTGCTGTACATCTGTAGACCATCACTAAAAATACACAAGACAGACACTATGTTTGAGTCACACAATTACCCATGTTAACTGCATGTACGCTCATTGTACTGTAAATGTCTTTTAATTCATGGTCATGTTTCCTTCTACCTGTTTTTACGATTCTTTTTACCGTCGGCTATGGTTGAAATGTTGGTATGCTGAAAAATGTGATAAAGGCTGATGGAAAGAGCTTCTGCTTCTTCTGCTGCAGACAAAGCGCCCATTTCACTGTTACATGCTAGGCCCAGATGGGCACTATTGTTTTATGTCACTCCTGTCTCTATCACCATAGCAGCTGATAAAAAGACTGCATTTAAAGGTGGATTATGACAGACATATTCATTCTAGAAAAGGAAATGGCATAGCTTGGAAATAGCAATGAAATGCAATGATATTCTAGAGTTACTGGAGCTTAATTAATTAATGATTAACTTCCTGACCCCTTTTTCGTGCAAACATGCACTGATTCACATTTTATTCAACAGAAATGTGCTGAAAACCTGTCCAACATTTTAATAATTAACCATAACCAGTCTGTCTGATCTACTGTAAACTGCATATTGCAATTATGGTGTGAAACCATAATATTTTGAACTCAGTAAAAAGGTGATATACTCCTCTGTTAGTTTGGAGAAGAAGGGGATGATAAACAGTTTGATAATGTCAAAAATGTACTACAGGGTTTTCACTAAACAGCTGCCATATGTACCGTACATAATGACGACGAGGTAAATCTACCTACCTTCAGACCACTCGTTCTCGTTTGAACGAGAAAGCCCATGTGGTGTAATTGGGAGCCAGCCAGGTGGTTATGCTCCACTGTTTGTGTTTATCTGACCCTAAAAGGTGTGTGTACACTCGGAGATCTTTCCCCTAAGTGACCCAGCAGCTGGGTAGAGTGCATTTCGACCACAGATACTGAGGCTGTGTGGACTCTTTTTGGTACACGAATGCACACACTCTCTCAACACTTTTCTGCTTATCCTCTCCTGACATTTTGGACCTCTCTACCCCCTTTCCTCATCTCTGTTAGTCCCCCTCTGCTATTTATTATTTCTTTCTGTTCTGCCTTCTCCCTGTCCTAGAAAGGTTGCCATGGAGACAGAAGCAGATTTGATGCAGAGACGAGAAATGAATTATACAGTCAGGGGGAGCTATGTCTGTGTCTGTCTGTGTGTGTGTGTGTTCGCGTGACTCAGTGCTGAAGAGTGTTTTTGCAGGTTTTAATATTTTATGATTAGCTATAATATTTCTTATTGAATATTTGATCTGAGTGTATGTGTGTGTGGTGTGTGTGTGTGTGTGTGTGTGTGTGTGTCTGGGGGGGAGGGGAGGCGCGCTCTCGTGTTTCTTTGTCCACAATTTAATATGACATCATATGTTATTTTTGGAACAACCCCAACCACATGTGGACTTCCTCCATTTGTGTGCAGGTGCAGTGTGTTTTTAGAAGCTGTATCTTGTATTAGGTTGTTTACTATTGTGCTATGCGGTGCTGAAAGGATGAGTCAATTAATGGATTACTTAAGCTGCAGAGAATCAAATAATTTTTATAGTCAATTATTAAAAAAGCCCACATTCCAGCATTTGCCAGAATAAATAAAATATTTTCAGTACATAATTAGAAGATGTGACCAGGAGCATTTTTCTCAGTTTTTCGGACATTTCATAATAAGAATGATTCCTTTTTTAATCTAAAAAGTGATTGATTACTAAATAACAAACATAATTGTGGGTAAATCAATACAACTTTTTCCAATTCAGAGTATCTGCCATATCTGCTACTCCAACACCAGTGCTCACTCCCCAAATTTAAAATCTATACATCACACTGCTTTGAACTCATTGTAATACTCAGTAAGGTGAGATGAGGCCAGGGGATGTCTGTTGCACCAACAACTGACTCTGCAGACTGACAGCTCTAACACTGAATTTTATTATTACAATGATATAGAAACTAGTTCAAGTTATAATTCTTAAGATTTGGCGACCACTGTGATTACTGGTGGTGCAAGTAAGGAATAAATAATGAGTAGTGATCAAAGCACGGGAATGCTAATTAAAGTCAGTGTGAGAGCCAACACAGATTGGATTGGTGCATACCTAAAAATAATCATCAGTATGCTACCCTAGTCTTATATCGCTGGTAATATTTACATTTATATTTATATTTATATGGGACAGCAGGTTGTGTATTCAGGATGCACTATGTATAAAATAAGACATATCATATTGGCTGTACCATTAATTGGATGCATGTATTTTGGATTTAGGTGAATCATTTTGGTTTGGACTTGAACTCATCGTGGACCCGGTTTTGACTGAATACAGACAGACATTTACTATCTCATCTACTGAGCTCCAGCTGAGTGCATTTTAGTGTGCCCATCTAGGTTCTGCAAATCATTTTTAGTGTTAAGATGTCAGTCCATTTCAGCTGAAAATGGACTGAAGCAGTGACTAAACGGACACTCTTATCTTTCTGAGTTAGCATCCTTCAGAACAGGTTGCTGGTCCTAAAATAAAAAGATGTATCAGTAATTTACAGTACGCATGTTTTTCTATTTTGGAGCTTTTTTTTTAATCAGAGCTAAGCTGGCCAGTGTTTGCTGTCATTTATTTGACGTCTAAACTTTTGCCTCACTGTCTTTTATGTCTCATATCCTAAGCAGTTGCTTAATGAAGTTATGAAATCCCCTGATAGGAGCAGCAGGTATTAAACCAGCAAGATAAAACCCACTGGAGAGAGGAGGACAGAGGAGAGGATGGATGAAGGGAACTGGAGAGAAGAAGAGCATGAGTAAACAGGAGTGAAGGGAGATGATTTACAGTTAAAACTGAGATGACATGGAGTCTGGAGTAAGATGGTGAGGGGCAGGGATTGGTGGGGAAACAGATAAGAGAAGGTATTTTAATAAACATACAGATCACATACCAGTAAATGTGTCTCCGTTCCTGTATTCATCTTTATTTTATTCCTCTTGTCAAGCCTGTTTCCCTCTGTATCTGTTGTTTTATGTCACATGTACACATAAAGTCCACTGTAAAGCTCTAAACCACGCACACACATACTTACACAATGTGTGTGTAAACCCGCTGTAACATGGGGCTGCTCAAGATCTAATGGTCTAGAATGAATTGCCTTAACAATGGCCATAAATTTCCCTCTACAAATCTGTCTGGTGTTAGTGTGCAGACAGAGCCATCATCAATACAGTACAGTCATACACACACATGCACACATACAGTACACAAAGAGAAAGGCTTACAGGCTGAGGGTGAGGGAGGGGCTATGTGGAGGGGGGAGAAGGGGTTAGATGTTATGAAGAAGAAAGTGTTAAGGAGATTTCTTTGGAGGTGGTGGGGCTAGTGGTGGTGTTGGGTGGGCGATTTGTGATTTGAACATGATTAAGGAGGGTTGGGAATAAAGGGTGTTAGGGCAAAGAACCTCAGATATTGTAGCATGTGTCATGTGTGAATGTGGATGCAGGGCTGCAGAAGGATCATATTATGTGCGGTCTGGTGACCCAATTATTGTGTAGACTCTGTGTGTGTGTGTGTGTGTGTGTGTGTGTGTGTGTGTGTGTGTGTGTTAATCATTCCTAGTAGTCCTGTGCTTGCCTGAGGCCTGGGGGTGACACCAAATCAAAGAACATAGAGCTCAGCGCCGCCTGTTGCTGGTTAACAATGGAACTGCACTTAATAACTTCACTGTCTTAGCTGTGGTTTTGTTGTGTGTGTTTGTGTGTGACTGAGAGAAAGGCAGAAATCATTGAACTCATTCATCTATATTGATTAATTTGATGCCATCTGATGCTTGAATTAGTCATTGTGTTAACACTTGGCACTTCCTGTTTTCTGCCTCCCAGTGCTGGCATCGCTGTAGGATTCTATGGGAATGGGGAGTCGAGTGATGGAGCCAATCGTTTGGCATACTCCCTCCGTCATGCCAACCGCACCGTATCTGGGGTGGAGAAACTGGTGAGTTACCTGCATGGTTACCAAACACGCATGGTTACACTTTTTTCTCATAATCCAATAAAAAAATTCAAAAAATTCAAATGAATGTCTCTTTTTCTGTGAATGTGCAGGTGTCAGACAGCGCCTTAGCCTTAAACCAGACAGTGGAGGAGAGCTTGGTCCAGTTGGAGACAGCCTTCCAGGAGCAGACAGACTACGTGTCCATCGTCCAAAAGCTGCAGGGACAACTGGACGAGTTGGTGAGGCTGATGGTGGATGTTCCCTTCTGGACCAATACTGACATTTCCCTGGAGGACTTGGCCCGCAAAACGGAGGCTTTCGACTTTTACAGGTCGGTACTAACAAGTAATGGTGTGTGTTTTGTAATGCAAATGTGTTGGCTGGATCAAACTAAAACTGAGCTTTAGTAGAAGAGTCCAAAATGCTTTTAAAAAACGCAAGTGATCAGATTGTGGTATATGTGAAATGTCCTACATGGTGTATGTTAAAGGATTAATAAGCTCAGTCTCAAAAGACCTACCACCCTCTCTTGGTGTATTGAAAAATGGAATATCCTTTGTTTGTATGAAACATGAAGTCATTTTGTATATGTGCAGGTGGTTGGGGTACCTTGGCCTGCTGCTGTTTGATGTACTCATTTGTCTTCTGGTGCTCTTCGGCCTCATACGCAACTCTAGAGGCACTCTGATTGGGTAAGGTACTTCACGTCATAGCCCAAAAGTTGCTCCTATTGGACGAATCAAATCCTTTCTAGACTCTGAAACTGTGTCTGTTAACGCTGTGTAATGCATGCCATGTTGGTAAGCTGAGACTTGACATAAAAAATATGTAATTTTTTGTCCTTCAGAGTGTGTCTGCTTGGGGTTCTGACTCTGATAATCAGCTGGGGGTCTCTCGGTCTGGAACTGGCTGTCGCTGCTGTAAGTGTAACCATGGCAACATCGCAGAGCTCTCTGGCTCTGCAATGATGTAATCTTTTCCCCACTGCTCGAGCGAGCGTTTTCAGTGTGGATGTTACTGTAGCCCGATGTGTCATGTGTGCTTACCCTCTTACAGTCAGCCAGCGATTTCTGCGTTTCCCCGGATACCTATGTCACCAGGGTAACCAAGGAAAACGCTGTCATCAACCAAGGTACGCAGACAAGAACATACAGAACCAGTGAACTGGTAGAAGCCATTTTTCTGGTGTTTGTGCGTGAAAACAGTGTTTCCAAACCTTGTGGGCTTGTGAAAACAAAGCAGTGTCTACATGCAAACTCACAAGTTAAAGTCCATTTGTTGTGAGCAGCTCAACCAAAGACTATTTTTTACTTCTCAGGGTATTTTACTTTAATATCTTTAGAGGCTGAGATGATTGGTCAATGGACTGCTCCTAGGCAGATACTGTAGGTTGACAAATAAGCAGAAACGTCTTGAATAAACTGTAGTTTCCACCCTGACAGTTGAATCTCACCCTGACAATGTTGCTTCTATTTTAAGACACAAGTGTGTGCGTTTGTGTTTGTACGAGTGTGTATCCAAGGGGATTGTGTTTGACTGACACTCTGGTATCTAAAAGCTCTTCCCCTCTCTCTCTGCTGACTGCAATGCATCAGCAATCCCGCACCCCATCTCACTCTTCCTCCTGTCTGTCCCAGATGTAAAAAAAAAGAAAAATTCAGAGCACACTTTTGCTTTTTCACTTAGGATCATTATCTGATTTGTTCTCTCTCTTCATCCTTTTATATCCCTCTTTACCTCTCAATTGCTCCCTTTCTTCCTCTCCCTCCCTCGCTTCCCTCTTTTCACTCATCTAATGAGTTCTGTTGTCTGTCAGTTGTTTCCGCTCTGTAGAGCACAGATGTTGCCTCTGTAACACACACACACACACACACACACACACACACAGACACACACAGTAATGCTGCTAACATGCCTCCATAGAGAGATACTGGGCTTAGAAAGTCTTGTTATATACAGTCAGAGTGTTTGTCTTTCCTTCATTAAACTGCATATTTTCAGTGTGTGTATTATTATTCTGTTGATATGTATTCCTTGGTACATTCCCAGATATCCTGCAGTATTACCTGACGTGCAGCTCTGGCCAAATTAACCCCTTCCAGCAGGTAACATCACCCTCTTGTTGGAGTTCATCTTTTGCTTTTTATAGAATAGGCTTCTCCTGGTTTAAGCAATTAAATAACCAAAAGATGTGTTTGTGTTTGTGTGTTTCTTTCGCTGGTCTCTCTCTGTATGTTTGGTAGAGGCTGTCAGGGAGTCACAAAGCATTGGTGGAGATGCAAGATGATGTGGCAGAGCTACTGAGATCAGCAACACGTGATTATGCCAACACCAAGGTTTGTGTGCTTGTGTGTGCAATGATCTGTAGGTCTTTATCGTCACAGATGAGTGGATTTGCATTAGTGGGAGCGCGATAAAAGTGGCAGTTACAAAAGTGCCAGCGCAGACGTGTTTATCTGGTGCGTGTGGATGTACTAGAAGGTGGATATCTATATTTGAGCATGTGAAAACCTTTGCTTTGTGTGTGCAGGGGAGTCTCGAGCAAATCCAGTCTGTGCTGAATTCCACCGAGGTTGGTCTTCACCAGCTGACTGCTCTGGTCGACTGCCGCAGCCTACACATGGTGAGTCACTTTGTGTGCTGTGTTAGAGAGGAAAAAAGTCCTCAAATCCAAGACTTCCTTAACAACTGAACTCCTCTCCTCTTTCTTCTCCCCGTAGGACTATGTTCAGGCGTTGACTGGACTGTGTTATGACGGGGTGGAGGGTCTCATTTACCTGGTTCTCTTCTCCTTTGTCACTGCTCTGATGTTCTCCTCCATTGTGTGCAGTGTGCCACATACCTGGCCTGGCAAGAGGTAACACACACACACACAGTCTCTCTTACAAACACACACGAGACCTACACAAGCTTTTACATTCCTACACCTATCTTCTTAGTTAATCTGTACACTAACAGCTAACATGTTACTAGTTCTAACGTCTTAATTGTCTAACTAAATTCATCTTATGACCTGAACACAGTGGAAAGACCCATAAAGAATCTATTCGGTGCCCATGCATGTCATTCTTTAAGTGTATTTGCCTCCTGAGCTGTTGTATCCTACGTCTTCCTGCCTGTCTTTGCATCCATCCAGTTTTCTCTGCAAGTTTTGTTTATTTTATTGTTTGCCGTTAGCACTGCCAGTCTGGCTGATTGTTTGTTTCTATGTTTGTACATATCCCTCATTTTCTTTTCTCCGCTGTGGACTTGGAGCACCATTGTTGTGTTAGATTGTGTATCACCACGTTTTTTTTTCTGTGCCCCACTTCCTCCTTCTGTTCCGTCCCTTCCTCCTCTCTCCCTGTCCTGATTTGGAAATGCTTTGGGCTTCAGCGAATGATGGTGGATATTGAGGAAATTAAACGACCCTATGGTCTGATAAACGGCCCGCTCAAATAGCCAAACAACCAAATTATTTTTTGTTAAAATCAGTGGAAAAGAGCTCTAGAATGTACATGCAGTGACAGATTTCACTCCGGTGAATGATTTGAATAGTGAAACACTGCTGTGCCATAATAGTGGTGTTTTACGCTTGTTTGTTGGGTGTGAATTACCAGCAATGCTAAAGTATGGCCCAGCAGGTATTAAACAATAATCCATAACGTCCCCGAATTCAGCAAGAATAACTGCTCATGGGGTTGGTTGCTTACTCAGGCCGACTGTCCTGCAAGTGCTGAGTCTGTTTGATGGGCCACACAGTTTAGCTCTTTTTGGGTTGCCTGGGTGAAACACCTCCATCTGGTGGCCAGTCAATGAAGTAACCTCTCTTGTGCCTTTGGTCTCTGTTAACACCAGCTCCCTCTCTCTTTACTTCTTTGAAACCAGCTTGATGGGACTGCTAGCATGTTGACAGCTGGTATAGACTTTCCAAAAACAACAAAGAAAAAAACAAAAAAGTCACAATAATAGGGTCTGCATATGCACATTTACATGTACTTTGTGGTTGACATTGTAGAAGCCAGTACATTTCTGTAGCCAGAGATCCAACTTCCAAATCAGCACATATCTTATTTGATGCCTCATTCTGTTACGTTGCTGGCCGTTTTACATTTTTGACCATTTTATGTCTGAAAATGGTTTGCCCAAACCAGCCATATTATCTCCTTTTTTCCTGATGTTTTTGCTTTAAGTTTCATGGAGCACTCAGTGATGCATGAAGTACCTTAAAGAAAATAGATTTTTGAAAATTTGATTTTGTGAGGACAATTTTAAATGGACAGTAATTACCAGGTGTGAATCCTCTAGAGAGGTTGGCTGCATGAAGAAAAAATTACTGCATGTTTCTACGTATTAAGAGAACTCTAAGGAATATCGAAGAGTCTACTATCTTCATACAGTTTAATATTGTGTAACCTCACACAGCAACAAAAAACTGCTTCATGGGTCCACTCTGGGCTGTGTAGTAATATTAGAAACCTGTACTGTACTTGTAGTGGATCTGTATAATAGATGAATGCTGCCCATGTTCCTTTTCTTCTTGTTCAGCTGCTTTGGGGCTGACGGCATGGCCTTACCCAGTCTTTTGTATCAGGGGACGCCACATAGTACAAGTACACCTTCCCCTCTCCTAACCTCCTCTTCAACCACTTGTTTACACTCTGTTGTCTCTCTCGGATCTCCCTCCCCTCTACCTTTTCCCCTCCTATCCATCATGCCCTCTCGTGCCCTGCCCCTACCCTGACCAATTGAAGGACGGATGAGGAAGACGGAGAGGACGAGTCGGGTGCCTCACGGGGCGGTGTGCACGATAACCTGTACCGCGTTCACATGCCCAGTCTCTACAGCTGTGGCTCCAGCTACGGTAGCGAAGCTAGCCTGCCCGCTACAGCCCACACTGTCAGCAATGCCCCCGTCACTGAATACATGTGAGTTAGCACCCACCGCTAGCTAGAGGCTAGCAGGATCAATACACTGCCTGCCATAGGTAGCTGATGCTTGTCCCCCGTGACCCAGACTAGCCGCATAGCAACGCTCACTGCCTGCAATACGATAAGGTAGAATAGCTAGTGTTTTTGCTATGTATGGCTCGCATGTCCTTTGTGACCCTCTGTCAGCAATATTAGTTAGAACCCTTCACTAGCTTTCCCTTTGATGCTGATAGAAAAATGGCTACCTGCTGTATCAGCCAGCCTGCCTGTTTCAGTCCACAAAAACCCTATAATTCAGGTCTGCACTTGCCATATGTTAATAATTTCACCCTGCTTGCTACATGTTACAGTTTGCCACAGGACTGCTTGTTCTGAATACACTAAAAATATAGAAGAGAAATAAGCATATATTTCTCCAGTCTGCCACTGCTTGCTACTATTTTAGGCTACTCAAGTATGTGATTTTTGCTGCCAAGGAAATAACTGTAACTGCAGCAAGAAATAAGATAATAGACAAAACATGTATTCTGAAAGTTGTGGCATTTTGACTTTTTTGGACCATCAAAGGACCATGTGTTTCATGTTTTGGGCTAATCAACAAACCCTGTATGCTTAACAATAATGATGACAATTTGCCAAAGCATACATACATAGCTTTTTAGAGTGATTCATTTCCTTCCATGTAGCCAGAGAGTCAGTTTTGGTTCATACCAGAATGCTATTACACTTAGTCAGACACAAAATAAGTACTGCCCCACAGTGAGTGTTTGGTCATATTTGCTTTGTAGTCAAAGTTAAGCTGTCATTGAATGATTTTACAGTTTCTAGCATATATCTTTCCTTGTTGTGCTTGTGAAATTTCACATTCAAAAACAAGAGTCAGACTACCAGCTGCCTGTTTCAAGGACCAGTTTCATTTAATCCTAATAAATTAGTTCAGTAACTTGCAGTAGACCTATACTTAATAAATTAATGAACTTAATACATATGGCTGTAATGTAAACGATATATTTATAGTTAATGGACCAAAACATAGAAAACCATTTATTTGTCCTTCATGTATAAAGTGCTTATATTTTATTTTAAATGGAAACAGCTTTAAATACTACAATGATTAATGTGTTTATATCAAGCTACCTGGGTGAAATTACATAGTTTAAAAGCTTTGGACTGTTTCAGGTACTTTTGATTTATTTTTCTTGTGGGGACTATGGTGTTCTCCCATTCATATCTACCTAAGGTTTGTAGGTGTCTGACTGTTATCATTTATCATCAGTGATCATTTGCACTGTTGTAGTTAATATACCAGAGATCAAGGACATAGCTACTATTTGGCTTTCTATTAAATTGTGCTTCTAAGGGAAATTTAAAGCTTAATGAACTAATATTTTATGTTTAAAGTCTTATTTTTTTATCCTTTAATAGCTGAAATGTTGGTTTAAAAATCACCAATATATATTTTTTTAAATATGCACCTAAGGCTGGTTTCCTGTGGGCCCCCACACGGATAAAAGTACTATTTTATTGAGCCAGTGTCCCACTGTGGGACTAACTGTTTGTCTTTTGTGCATTGTTAAGAAAAAACATTAACTATGTTGGACTGTGGCAGAGGTGTTTAACCCCTGGCTCTATGGTACCATCAAGCTTAAGTCCCTGACTTGTTATTATTACTGAGGCCATTTGTCAGAGAGTCATTAAGTTGTAATCGAATAGGAGCAGACCACAGATCAGCAACAGATCAACAACTGAGCCCCAGTGGCAGGGTGACCACATGCAGTAACCTCTGATTCTATAATGCAGGAGCCAGAACGCAAACTTTCAGAACCCTCGGTGTGAGAACACCCCCCTGATTGGCAGGGAGTCCCCTCCACCCTCTGTAAGTGCACATTTTCTAGAACACACTCTCCCTCCACTATCTTCCAATACCCACAGTGCAGCTGGGAAATACTCAAAACCGCAGTACCCACAGAGATGGCATTTTACAATTTCAGAATGTAATGAAGGAAGCATGGTGTTGATAAATGTACTTGTATCTTATGTCTGATGCTAGTGTGGATATTGGAAGGTAGTCCCCTATCCCTACACCACTGCAAGTGTACTCTGTGCTCAAACTAGAGCGTGATCATGGATCGCCTTTTAAGAAGGTCATTTTGGCAGCCTGGGATACCTGGAAGTTTGAAGCCTGTTGTTAGTAGGATTTGCACTTGCATCAAAAGAGAGGCTTGTCTCTTTTGATAAGTGTAATTGTTTGGTCATGTTAGACACAAAGTTGTCCTCTATTTCTGATGTAAAAAGTCTGGTGTTGGTTTCTCTGTGGCTGTCACTGCCATGTGAGGAGAACTTGTAGACCAGCTCAGAGACATTATTGAGAGAACCTCAATATTTAGAACTGTAGTGAACCAAGCTTTTTCTTCAATACCAAAAGACATAATTCTGCCAGTCTTGCAGATGTCTGAACTGCACCTCTCGTTTTAACTATTTACCCTAAACAAGTTGACTATTCTGGCTTTGACAAGGTGCTGCTGGGCCTGTACTTGTGGATGTTGTACCATGAAGTATCAACTGTATACATTTGGGGCTACAATACCGTGGACTGACAAAATTAAACCAACAAATCCAGCATTATTACTTCTGAACACCTTTTAGGATACATCCCTTTCTGCGTACTTATGCAGTGAAGCTGAAAATGTTTGACAGTTCTGCCCCTGAGTAAACTCGAGCCCAAACCTCTAAAATTCCTGCTCCCCCTGTTCCCACAGTGTGTCTATGTGTGCATTTTCTTGTCGAGGTGTATGTGTCCTCTGTTTCTGTGCCCCTTCACCCTTCACCATTAAACAGTCACAGGAGCACATGTTTCCCACCTCCACTGTTGAACCGTAGCAGCCACCAAAATGGCCACGATTCATCATTCTTAGGCAGGGCTGTCGACGGGGCCGCCGTCCTGTGCCAGAGTGCTCACCTGTCATCAGCGTCTGCAGTGATGTGGAAACCGGAGAACCTCCGACAGTAACTAGCTAGACGCTCACAAGAGACCACTAACTCATACCAGGCTAACCTACTACATCAGAACTAGAGCACTAACTACAAACCACTGACAAAATGGACCACATCTGCTAATTTACAATAACATCATCCAGACTTAATCAGCTGTTATATAATGAATGACTGTTGTAATCAAACCCCCGGCTGTCCAAATGACTGGTCAAAGTATTTCTGCTGTAGCTATTTCTGTTTGTTTGCCCCATCTATCTATCTATCTATCTATCTATCTATCTATCTATCTATCTATCTATCTATCTATCTATCTATCTATCTATCTATCTATCTATCTATCTATCTATCTACCTATCTATCTATCTATCTATCTATCTATCTATCTATCTATCTATCTATCACATTTCCTGATATGATGTACATGATTTCACTGTTGTTTCTATATGACTCTCTCCTTATGTGTCAATACGGCTTGATTGTGATCCATACGTTTTCCTCTTGTTGTCTTTTTTTCCATATTCTAATTGTTTCCCACTTCAATTTCTCCCTCTGGTTCTCTTCTTTCCCGACATTTTTTCCCTCTTTGCTCTTTCTCTAAACCCCTTCGTCCTTTTTTTCCCCCCTCGCTGTCCTCCATCTCTCCAGTACACCTCCAGTATGAGAGCAAAGTACCTGGCCACCAACCGACCGGACCAGAACCGACGCTCCGTTCCCAACGACCAACTGGACCCGGCTAGCCGGCCTAACCCCGCAGCCCGACCACAGTCCTCAGTGCACTAGAAACCAGTTCCGCACCTGTCCACCCCAGTACTGCCTGAATCCAGTTCTCACAGCCAATAACAAGATCCAACGCGACGCTCACCAGAGCTTAAAAGCACCAACAGGACCACAGTTTGTCAAGGAACTACACCGACACCGACCGGTTCACCAGAAACAACACACCAAGCCAGGACTCATCAACCAAGCACCTCAACAAAGGACTGCACTTTGAAGGTCAACCTCTACTTCTCACCCACAATTACCAAAAAGGAAAAATCCCAGAAGATCATAAGTTCTACTCCTCTGCTTAGAGGACACACACCCCGAGCTGCTCGTTTCCACCACTGCCGTGATGGATCAGCCCATATACCCACAATGCACAGCAGTTAAAGCGCCTTGGCTCCGTCTCCAGTTTGTTCTTCCACTCTTCAATGCTCTCCTCCTCCACTGGGATCCACACAGTGCCCTCCAGTGGGATCAGCTACGCCACTCTCACAATCCAATCCCGTCACACTCTGACACTCAGACCACACACACACACACAGCCAAGCCCACACACACATGCATACACACACTGTACAGAGCTGTAAATAGTAAACATGTGCTTTACTCTGATTTCATGAAAAGTAGACTGTTGAATCATAACTTGTAAATGTGGTGTGCTGCGTGTTTATCATGGAAGTTTTTTGCTGTATCTCTCAAACACACGCACACACACACACACACACACACACACACACACACATACACATACACACACACGCACACACACACACACACACACACACACACACACACACACAAATCGGCGGACACATCTGTATAAATAATAAGCCAGTGAATCAGAAAGCCATGTTTATAGGTAGAAACAGTACCAACACATCCATATTCTCTTTAGCTTAACATTGTCGTCTAACTAAGACTTGAATCGTGAGCTTGAAAAGTGTGTCCATGTCTCTCTCCATATTTGTTTACGTGCACATACAGTACAGGCGTCGATTGATGCATTTCGAATATGAGCCAGGAATCCTGTTGGGGAATAACTGTTTGGAATTTTGGGGAATTGGAGCGTGAGACGAGGGGCATGAGAAGGCTCAACCTGTGCCAAAAAACTCTGAATAATGAGGGATGCCTGATTCTGTCCTCTTCTCCAACTGCCTCCAGATGTGTCGGAAAAAGGGAAGAAAAACTCACTTGGAATGTTTTCCCTCCGACTGTAAATACTATGGGAATGGGAAAGACACTTGAAAAAAACGGTGGACAGAAATGGAATAAGACTGAGTGAAAATTTGCGACCACACATTTGCCAGGTGCTATGTAAGCCAGTCGAGGTCACAGAAGACGATCAGGACTTGAGGAGGGACGGACGTTTTTAATTCCTTTAATATTTTGTTTTGTTTTCATTCAGGGATGTGATCAGGAATATTAAAAGCAGTAAAAAATAAAACAGCTTTCCATCATTACTGAGTGGAAGTTAGGTTCCCGAAAACCTGAAAAAAAAAAACATGTCCCTGATTAATAATGTTATGTAAAAGTGTTTAAATTCACAGAAAGTTGGTGTTTTTTATGTTTTATCATAAGCTGAAATTCTGGATGTGATACTGTGACCAACTGTAGTATTTTTTTTTTTCTTCTTCTGTACTGTTTCTTTCTTCCTGTGCTTTCATTTTCTTAACTGCTGACCTTGGATCAACCTTTAGCCACGAGTCTTTTTTTTTTCTTTCTTTTTCTTTTTTTTTTTTTTTTACCCACAAGCACAAATTCTCTTCAAGGTGACTTTGCGAGACGGAGAAGTAAAACACACTGCCTGGGACACTGCCAGTGGTTTTTCCTCCCACTCTAAAACTCTCTGTACAGTGTATAAAAACTGTATTCGTGAACCCGTGTGTGTGACATCACTGCAGCGTGATTGGCTATTGCTCTATCTCAGTGTTACTGTGTGTAAGTACAGTGATCGGTGTGTCTGACTGGCAGCAAGCAAAGGCCAGCTTATCTAGCCTGAGTCATTTCTACACAGACGCCACGCATGCCCTCATATACACACATTGAAACCTGAAACACACACACACACACACACACACACACACACACACACACACACAAATACATGCTGTACAGACATTCACTACACACGCCACAGTTTCTTATAAAAATCTATCTTTCCCTACTTTTTTCCTGTTTACATGCACTTCTAGAGCTGTAGTAACTACACACCCTGCCACAGCTTTGACATCACACTGAAACCATTTGCATTATGGGTGATGTAGTAGGTAGAAACCTGGAATCTAGTAATTAGCTGAGTGAGCAGAGCCCTAACATTCAAACACCCTCCAACCACCCTTCCTGTACAGCATTTTAATATGTTATTATTAATCAATGACCACTTCTCGTATTAGCGAGACAATCTTACATGTGTGATTTTACTAGAATGAAAATGTCCATGTTATGGTAACAATGCTACCTATGGTCTAGTACTTTACAGTGTTTTTTGCACGATCGATGCAAACGATGTTAAGATCTGTGGGACTAGTCACTGATTAATGGCCTTTCATAATGTTTTTAAACTCTTACAACACTCTTCATATCACAACATGTTTTTTTATTTTTCTCTGTCTTGTAAAAATCAGACTTTAAAGATAAAATAATAGCTAGCTGTTTTGTAGGAGAATAAAGGCAAGAGCAGCGTTTTTCCTCTCTTATTAATGGTGAATGACTCTCTGTCTTGCAATGTTTTAATAAAACTATTCCAGTGTAGTTTGCACACCTGACCTAAAGTTGTATTTGAATTCCTGTGCAGTGCTTTCTGCGATTTGACCAATCTAATACGGTATGTCTTGATGGAAAAAGGTCCACGCTCATGTTTAAGAGTCAGTAATGTTTGCGTGTATGTGTGGTATTTACAGGACTTCAAATACACCTCTGTCCAGATGTGACGGACAAACAATGTTTTCTATGGCTGTTTTTATTTTCTGATGGTTTAACTAAGATATTAATGATGTACATGTCAAAACTGTGGTAATGATATCATTCAGCCTGGAATAAATGTTTTAAAAAAATAAATTAAAGCAACTTTAACGTACTGAATAAGACTGTGGGTTCTTTTCGATGTGAATGAAGGAAACAGAAACAGAGAGGTGTCTGTGTTGTGTTAATGGTTTCCTTGACACAACTGGCAGTGTCTTATCAAGGCCTAGTGCACTTAAATGTTCTAGAAAATAAACAGTAACAAATACTGTATGTTTTCACTGTCGCTTGATAGATTATGAAGCAATATCCGAATCTGTCAGGTCTGCAACATCTCAGCTCTCAGAAACTGAAAACACAGCACAATGTCAATATACGAATACATGATACGTCAAAGTACAATATTACCAACAAAATGTGCTTAAATCCTTGTGCGAAGGCATATATACATATATATACATACACATGCACACACCCACCCACACACACACACACACGTATGTCAGCTGTGAAACTGATGTGTTTTACTTAATAAGTTGTGTTTTATAAGTATTGTTTTTCATTATAACCTCTAGATGCTCATAGTTTATTAATAAAGTTTCAACAGATTTCATGGGGAAAAAAGTCAAGGTGACCAAAGACAGTATATGTGGTATATGTTTTGGACTCTTCAGCCTTCAGTCTTCAGCCTTTGTCTGTTTCACATAAGTACTGTATTACGTTTTGAAGCACAGTCAAAAGGGAAAGCATTAAAATGAACCCCTAGCTGACAGAAAGACGTCACGTTTGATCAGAAGAACATCAAACCTATGTGGAATTCCTCCTAGGAAAGATCTTCTATAATTGACTGTCACTAACTCACTAATGCTATGTAGCTATGTTATAATTGGAAGTGTGATACCAGGAATTTATATCATCAACCAACGCAGGACTTCACTATATGAACTGTCGTTTATCATTTCCACCTCGTGGTCTTTTAGTGCAAGTACACAATTCCAGAACGAAGCTCTACTGTACACCCAGACTTCTGTAATGTGTGCATAAGTAATGGATCTAATGAGGATCAAGTTAATGAATATGTGAATCCAGGTGATGCAGGTTACTGCCAGTGAAAATAGGAGTCTCAGTTATATCTGACTATCGATCCAACCACAACACCAACAACACAACAGTGAAAACCAGAACACTACATCTTTCACCTAAATGCACTTTTTCATGGGTGGATATAGATTTTTCAATATTAGAAATATAAATACATTCTGTATTCTTTCAATCAAAATATTCAGATTACTCCTCCAAAGACAGTATATTTAAATTTCCTCTATCACTGAACATTGACAAAAAACCCTAACTAATGTCAAAGTATATCTAGCTTTAAGTTACATCCATTCAAAAACTACACATCCAACTGTTCTCAAAGAAATCCTGTTAATGGAGAACAAATATAATCCAGTAGACTCTACTGGAATGGTCTAATCTTACAGTTTTTATATTAACTAAGAACAATGACATTTTGGAAATTGTATTTTTTGAGGAAAAAGATGACTAAAGTTTTGTTTATGTGGTATCTGTGCTGATATATCAGTTGAGCTGATATATCATCTAGCTGAGCTAGAACAAATATCAAAGGGGGGCATGAGGCTTTTAGCAGGAAAGCACTAAATTACTGACAAGTGTCAATATAGTTGTGCATAGTGAGAGTGAATTCACAAAAACACCGCATTCTCGTCGCTTTCCCAATAATTTCACTGAAAATACAAAGACAAATCACTTAGGTGTTAACAAATGCAAAGACACACACATTTTACATTGACCAAAATCATTCCACAAGCAGCTCATCTTAGGTACAAGGCAGCAAAAAAACATCTCTTCTTACTCCAAAACAGGTTCATGGGGTAGGCGTGGGGACTCACCTGTTTAGGCCCATCTACTAAATCATGGCTCAACAGCACCTTCAGCCCAGCAGGATGTTGCATGACCCCATTCTAGCTTTACATTGGATTTATATTTACCACAGTCATGAGCAAACATTGACATGCTTTTATAGAAGTGAGGGGGCACAGTGAATGAAGATAGCTGAAAACATTTGGTGTAAATGGTGTACTGGAAAAGAGTTGTGTGACATGTCACCCGTGGAAGATCTGTGAAACTTCAAATGGATGCTTTAAAGATGTAATTTCCAGTAAAAAAAAAGTGTGCAGATTCATGTTAGACTCCCATCTAGAAGTTGTCAAAAAAGTCACACATGCAGCGCTTCTACTATAACTAATACACTGATACAAATGTCCCAAAAGAGCAAATTTTGCCACATATTGAAAATGTGTTTCATTCGGTCTTTGCTGTCAAAACTGCACCTCTGGCAGCACATGTGTTGTTGTGCTGTTTAAAGGCAACAGAGTCAGACATAACTCAGACACTCATGTATCACAGCAGCTGTCTGGAAACACACACACACACACACACACACACACACACACACACACACACACACACACACACACACACACACACACACACACACACACACACACACACACACACACACACACACACACACACACACACACAGCAAATGGGCTCAGTCAAATAAAAATATGTTAAGCAAGTGCAACTCTTCAAATTATGAGCTGGCTTTCTGTGCACCATGAGTCAGCATTCAAAGCTTTTCACAGCGCTAATCATGCCCGTCATGCTATTTCTGGAGGTGGTAACCTACTTTTTATATGTGCAGAAACAACATTAAGAAAAAGAGGGCAGGTGGTTAAGCAATTAATTATCTACAGTACATTTATGTTGTTATGAGTTAAAAATAAAAAGACAAGCATGGAAAATTATGTATTCTAGATATGAGGGATACTGGATATCACAGGTCAGATGTTGCACTTTCACCTGTTTTTAGTTTGGTTTATTGACAATTTTCTTATATATTTATTAAAAACAATAGCTCCAACTTTGTTAGGGATAGGATGATAAAGTCCTGGGTGTATTTCAATCTTTGTCCTTGGTGTTTACACAGTCCACGGGCCTTTACAAAGAACACTGAAATAAAATCTGAACAAGCATTATAATAGGGGTGTAAGTCTGTCAACACTTCAATATGCTACTAAATAAACCAGTTTGAATAAACCAAACTATTTTTCACTCTTTGCAGTAACACGTGCAGCCAGCAGGTGTCACAGTCCACTCAGAATCATGTTCTCACAGATTCACCACTGTGCATTAGTTTGTGGTCCCCATGGTGCACACAGTCCGACATCTCTCAGTTCACAGTGGGAGGGAGGCCATGACACACACACACACACACACACACACACACACACACACACACACACACACACACACACACACACACACACACACACACACTCTGAGGCATGCAGTGGGCTAATGTTTTTCCTTTATCTCTCCAGGGCCATGTGTATGGCTCGATCAGATAAGAGGACTGCTGTTGTTTCTGTGTCTGTGTGTGTTTGTAGGCGGTTGAGTTTTGTGGGGTTACCGGTTGCAGGAGGGGGGGTCTCCAGACAGGAGCCCACCAGCTCATTACACAAGGTCTGAGGTGAAAGGGCTCTTACATTTAAAATCCCAGAAAATGTCCATCTCAGAAACACAATCAAGTATTTGACTAAAAACTGTTTTTATTAGGTTCAACCATAATGTCTACATACAGTCCAGATACTGGAGAAAGCATGTACGCTTCAGAAGCAACGGTTCATCATATACATTCGTTTAACAAGGGACAGAATTTAACTTAATGACTTTCAGTCAGTTGTAACAACTGCTTTCAATGCACAGAAAGATAGAAGACGACCCAACATGAGTCATTTGTCAATAAAACCTCAATGGGGATATCTTTGTTACACCGCTACTGTATAACGTTTCAAATCCTTAACAATGGTAATCCACCCATTTAAATGGATACAACCAGGTGATCGCCACCTTTTAGGAAAAATATTTGGTATAACAGAGGCCTTACTAGATGAGGAAACGGCAAGCCTCGTTTTGTATGAGGGTAACTAAGTCTGCACCTCTAAAGCTACCTAATTAACATGTTATGGCTTCTTTGTTTAACCTGTACACAAACTGAAGTTTAAAAACCACGTAAAAGTGTAAAAAGTGGTTTTACAAAGGAGTTATATCGGATAGAAAGACATGGTTAGCTGTTTCCCGTTGGCTAAACTAACTGGTAGCTCCATATATAGCGTACAGTGGTATCACTCATCTCATCTAACTCTAATCAAGAAAATCAATGAGTGCATTTCCCAAAACGTGGATTTTCTTCTTCTAATATCTTGTTTGTGTCATATGATGAATTGCAAACAGCAGAAATAAAACAATGCGAGAGAGAGAAAAGATAATACTGAACACAGAAGAGAACTTCAGATAAAGAGTCTGGAGTCTCTAAAACCATCGAAATCCTTCCTGATGCTTTTTGCCACATCATGCTGAAATTAATGTTCCTTCTGCATTTCTGTGTTGATCACTTCATGTTTTGAATCCAAACTGTTTAACACTGGAGCCTGTAGGGGTGCAGATGGGCAATCAAATAACATATTTCATATATCACATCTTTCACAGCTGAGAAATTGGAGCCAAGACACAGGAAATGTACAAGATTGTGAGGGAAAAGCATTGAACAGCATCAGTTTAGAGTCTCTTTGAGCGGATCCAACTCCTGTACTATTAATATAGGACTGTATGTGATGGTGGAAAAGTGGGATTACAGCAATAAATCTACATTCAAATCCGTCTCATCTTTAGCCATGGCGGTTCACATTCACGGCCTTTGGTCCTTCTCTGACTTTCCATCCAGCACCACAAACATGTCAGTATTTCCACTTATCCAACACTGCAGTTAAGGATAATTCCGATTTATTACAACTTGGCCATCATTTGTCTTCTCTATAATAACACTGCACTCAACAGGTTAATTGCTACGATGGAGGTAATCGTACGAATGTGGTAAGATCTCTTAAAAAAAAAAAAGACGTTTCGAAGGGGCAAGAAACTCCCCGATTAGTCAAACAGTGAGTTTATGGTGGTTTAGAGATGACTTACTGGTTCAACTTTGACGAGAGATGGATGAAAAGATTATTACCACTCTCATGTCTGTTCTTTAAACATGAAGCTACAGCTGGTTGGCTTAACTTAGCACAAAGATGGGGACGGCGACACGTCTAGCTTTGCTCTTTGAAAAAAGGTAACAACATGTATCTTGTAGCCACTCTAAAGCTCTCTAATTTAACATGTTACATCTTATTTGTTTAAGTCCTTACAAAAACAGTCAGGTGGTCTGACTGCCACGCCCCATCTGACTTAGCTGTAGCTATGTTGCTGTGTTCCCGGTTAGGTTGGGGAGTACAGTGTTATCAAAACTGAAAGAAAATGATGAAACAAGCTACAGAAAGCTGATGGATGTTGAGCTTAGACAGCTGAGCCTTAGATAGAGACTCTGCTCTACATTTGGAGCTGTCCACCGCACAGAGGATGAACCCTTTTGCCACCCTCAGGTCAAACTTTAGATCTTCAGGATCTAAGAACAGCAAAGTTGTCTCTCCATTTTTCCATCCATCGAGGAAGTTTGGTCTCTTTCTCTTGCTGCCTTTTGACACCAAACAGAGTTCAGGTGTCAAACTAATAAAACTGTAGTTCTACCTAAAAAGTCAGTCTGCTACTCAGACCGCTGTTGGATGGAGGAAAACGTTTACGTCCACGTTTCAGAGCCAGAAGAGGGCAGCAGTAAGACTCTTGGATGTCTGCAATGATTTCCTCCTCGAACAGAGAACATTGAGTTTAGTCACACGTTTACTCTTTCTCCTCCATCAGTCTCCCTGTGTCCCTGGATGGGTTGTTAAAGCCGCCGGGGGCTGGGGCACCAAGGAGTGTCTGGGTACAGCAGACAATGGACCGACCTGAACCTGAGAAGGAGAGGGAAATGAGTGTCACAATGCCTGGAAGCTGTCCACTGGGGATTTCAAAATAAGACTGTGAATACGACACACACACACACACACACACACACACACACACACACACACACACACACACACACACACACACACACACACACACACACACACACACACACACACACACACACACACACACACACACACACACACACACACACACACACAATGAACAAAGCCAGGAAACTTGTCGTAGTAGTAAAACATTCACAACAAGAAGTGCTTACATAAAGGAGAATTGTAGTACACATGTTTTAAACTAAAGCTTTTCCTGGAACAGACAAAAAATACAATATACAGTGTGTACTATTGATTGTTTGAAAAGATCTTTTACAATTAACCCATCAAGCTTATCTCATTACCTCTAGCCCTCCCTCCCACCCTCTAGGCACACTGCCATCACTGTCTATTGACAAGGTACAGAAATAATGACAATTAGCCCAATTCAATACACAATGACACCATTACTGACTGAAGGAAGCAGAAGCAAAAGAAAGAAGGGAAGGGGATATATAAAAAATAAACCCCCTTATTGTCAGGAAGATAAGATTAGTTTGTGTTTTATCCTTTGTATTGTGATGTAATATGACTCCTGTACTGTAAATATTCACAGAAGAAAGAACATTTTGTGACAGAAAACCCCCAAAAGACCGCTTTTATTTTGGCCTGCAGACAATGGCTAAATCAAAGTTTTGATTTTTTTTCTTCATTAGCTACTCAGTGGTGAGGATTTGCTGCTTTTCTTTGTCTTATGTGATAATAAAGTGAATGTCTTTGCTTTCTGGTTAGTGGTAAAAACACAACAAACAATTTGATGGCATCCCCTCAGGCTACAACAGTCATTTCTCACCATTTCATGACCAAACAATGAATGGGTTAATCATAAAATAATAGTTAGCCCCAGATGTTCCTTCCTACATACACACAGATATTTTACCTCGTGGGATCTTCGTTTATTGAAAATGCTCCTTTCAGGTTGACAGTGTTTCTGCTGCTTTCCACTGTGCCGTAGCTGAGCGTCACCTAAAGAGGGGACAGCAAAAAGAAAACACAGCTGTTTAGACAGCTGGCAGATCAGTATGTCTGTTTGTGGGTGTGGGTGTGTAAGTGTGTGTGTGTGTGTGTGGGTGTGTGTGTGTACCTGGCTGTGTATGTCTGACACTAGCCCCAGGTTCTCCAGGTGAGAGTGGAACAACGCTGAACGGATGAGGCTCACGCCCAGCAGCGCCTCCACGATGTAACCAACGGTGCAGTCGTCCGGGAGACGAATGTGCTCAGCTGTCACCATGAAAGTGCCATCACTAGACAGAGAAAGAAGTAAAGAGCATAAGAAAGGAGGAGGTCTGACGATATGACTAACATGTCATTTATCTAAGTGAAGATTTACCTCGCCCAGGGTTTCATCTTGAGAGCGAGGCCGTGGCTCAGACAGAATCCTGCTCCTCCTGTGGCGAACCAGAAACGCACCTGCTTCTGCACCCAAACACACATAAATTATGAATAAAGGAGCTGTAATACATCACTGTATGTTGTGCTGCAGCGCTGGGACCAGTAAGGGAAAAACCAGTGTAGATCTCACTCTGTGGGTAGCTGATCCCAGGAGACAAGTGAACATTTCTTTAATCACATTTAATGTTTCTTGTGCAACTTAAAGAATATTTTTTAAGAAGCTAGAGGCTATCCAGGGACTGAGATCAAGATGCATATTTTAGCAGCGGAGCAGGGAGTATATATGTTATTATTTATTCATTATCATTTTTTTACTGGTGCAATAGCCCAACCGGTCAAGGCAGACGGCCGCCCACATAGAGCCGGGGTCTGCCCGAGGTCTCTGCCTCGTAGAAGTTTTTTTCTTGCCACCGCCGCCAAGAGCTTGGTCATGGTGGGAACTGTTGGGCCTCTGTAAATCATATTATAAAAAAGGAGTACGGTGTGACCTGCTCTATTTAAAAAGCATCCTGAGAACCATTTTTAACAATCAAAAATTAAAACGGCAATAAAAGACTATTTTAATTAATAATTAATAATAAATAGGGGAATGTTTACCATGTCAGTGGTTCCGAGCCTCTCCGTGGCCTCTATTGGGCGCTCGAGGCTCGGCCGGCCAATGTAAACGTCCTGTGTGTGACTGAACTGAGACAAGAGCTTCAGGAGGGAGCCGACGTTCACGTAGTTATCATCGTCGACGTGACAGAACCACCTACAACAGACGAGGAGGAGAGTTAGTAAAAAGTTGTTTGTGTGTGTTTGTAACAAGAGTGTGTGTGTGTGTGGAGTGTGTCTTACTTCTTGCCGGAGTTAATAAAGGTGTCATATTCCAGAGCCATTTTACAGGAGAGGGCCTGACGATTGTGGGCTGCTGAACAGTTGGTGTTGATCAGGTGAGCTCCTGATAAACAATAACAAAACAAAAAAATCAATGACCAACCCGGACGCAGAAACACTTTAAAAGAAGTAAAGAAATATGTAGGATATGTATATGTATATGTATGTAGGAAAGTAACAATATATGGTGAGACGGTTAAATCACGATACAAATATGTGAAGATTAAAAATGGTGAAATGAAAAATGAATTGTGGTATCAAGGGTTAAAAAGGAAATATACATTGTTTTGTTTTCATTGTTTGTTTATGCCCTAACGTCATACATTCAAAAGTTCCAAAAACAAAATTACATAACTCAATAAAGAAAATATATTTTGTAGATTTTTGTCTAAGAAATAAAGGAATCTTATATTTTGTCTTCAATCTCATTTTGTTCAAACAAATAGCGAGAAAATGTTATCGAATCCTGTACCGTGAACTGTATTGAATCATGAGTTTAATGTGTATTGTTAGATCCCTAGGAAGATGTTTATTTGATTAACCTACTTTGACTCAAAGCAGTTTCATTCCCATTACAACCCGACTGCATGAAAACACCCTAATAAATATCCTCATTACACATTTTTATTGCACTGAGTTGTACAGTGTGTCCGACAGTGAGAAGAATACCTCATTGAAAGTAAAACAATTCCATGAGTAAGATGAGGAACAGCCTGTTGACTGAACTGAAATGACTTCCTGCGTTTCATGGAAACACAGTATTGCCCAGTCAGCAGCCTGGTTCCTGGTTTCCTGCTCGCAGACTGCAGATAACACTGCTGCTACTCAGCGAAACTGCTCTGTGAGTGCGTGTGTGTACGTGTGTGTGTGCAACTCACCCATCCTTTCCCTCAGCTTCTCGTCCTCTCCATCAGTGAACACGTACGTCTGTGGAAAAAAATCACAAACACACACAGTTCTTGTTATTCCAGCAGCCTGCAGTGGCCAGCAGGGGGGAAAAAACACCATCATACAGAAGCTTTCACTGCTCCACCATCATTGTTCATGGATTATTGTTTATGATCTCAGGTGAGACTACACCTGTTTCCTCAGGCCACACACACACACACACACACACACACACACACACCCCCAACACGCACAGCAGCAGCAAGCAAGGCTGATGTTGGATGGAGGCCAAGACAAAGGTTAGCCTCTTGTCTATCAGCAGCAGAGCAGCTGGTCTCAACCCTGTAACTGTGTGTGTGTGTCTGTGTGTGTGTGTGTGTGTGTGTGTGTGTGTGTGTGTGTGTGTGTGTGTGTGTGTGTGTGTACGTGAGTGTTTATGTGATGAGTGACAGGGTTGAGGGTCACTGCGCACTCAGGAAGCCGTGCAGACCCCTCAACTTTCCACAGGAAGTAAATACAGGCCCTGGGTGCACATACTGAGCAGTCTGTAAATATTGCCTTGGCTCTGACAATGAGGTTAAACTGCTGAATCTCAGCTTCCATTTTGGGCTGTTTACATCCACACTGGGTGAAGACTGTAGGAGTTGCTGTCCTTTTTTATACATAGTCCCCAGATTTAAGGATAGTGCAGCAGGACAACATACATCACATACATATAGATAAAGTATCCAAAGAATTATAATAAGAATTAAAGTTGAGGCTTATGAGTCACTAGTTTTGTTTGTATTTGTAAGACCCAGTAAAATTGCAATTAAATTTAAAGCAATCAGTGACTGTTTGTGTTTTTGAAGTCTGTACAACGCTCCAACATAGATGCCAAGATGACTTCTGACTTGCAAATCAGCAGATCAATACTTAATGGCTCGCTGCAGTGCAGGCCTGGCAGAACATCAGCTGAGAAGATGCCAAACGTCTGCTTATGTTTGTGTACTTTAGCCTTCAATAACTGACTGCAAAGGACTTCACACTTGAATAAATATGACTTTTAAAGTTGTTTATTTACTTTCTGTCCCTTAAAAGGTGCTGTGTGTAACATTTAGGAGAATCTATTGGCAAAAATATTATATTTATAGGTATGTTTTCATTAGTGTATAATCACCTGAATATAGAAATTGCTGTGTTTTTGTGTTACCTCAGAATGAGCTATTAATATAGACGCCACGGTTCTCCTTCCATGTAGTCTGCCATATTTTTAGAGTAGCCCAGACGAGACAAACACTGGCTCTAGCAAGTCACGTTTTTCACGCAGTTCTCCTTCACCCTTGGAAGGGGAAGGTGGGAGTTGCGATCTGCAGCTACACTGGTAGATACCACAAAATCCTACACCGGACCTTTAACCTCATAGTCGTTTTATTTCGAATCCAATGTGCTTTAGTTCAGGAAAAATAACACAAAATGTGTCCTGGCACTTTCAGATTTCACTGAACACACTCCCTGAGTGTATAGACCCGCCACAGAGGGATTCCACTTTGCAACCTTCCTGCCAGGCAGCACAAATTCAATAATAAATCTTTGGTCCCAGTACACTGCCTGGTAGAAAAAACACAGAGTCCAGCCAGCTGTGAGTTTTTGTCAGTCTTTTTTTTTTTTTAAACTCTGAGCCTCTTAAACCTCTAGAGAGCGGTCAGCTTCTTGTTAGAGTGTGTGCCTGTGTCATACCAGTGTAGCTTGAGCCAAGCTGGGGAGGCAGGAGGAAGAGGGTGGGGGTGGGGGGACAGTGAGAAGAGAAAATGTGTTTTTTAGGGGGGTGGGTCGGTGGATTGCCAGGAGTTGAGCTTTACAACACAGGAAACAAAGACAACAACAACAAGTGAGGCTGAAGAAAGTTGTGTGTGTGTGTGTGTGTGTGTGTGTGTGTTCACTCTTGTGATCAGACACATTTTTAACTTCCCATGAGATATCTGGTGAGTTCCCAGGGCATCTGTGTTTGTAAAAGGTAACACTGTGAGAATGTGTGTGTGTAGCTGTATTTCCATTACTCAGCAGTCTTACAGTATAGAGGTGTGTCTGGGAAACAGGTAGAGTTACACACACCTGACCGTGAGAGCATAGGCAGGAATGCGTCAGACACACACACACACGCACACACACCAGCTGATTTCCCCTCCATAAGCTCTATTTACATGTCAACAGTCTCTGTGCAGCATGAGATGAGACTTGAACGAGTCCACTGAGGTTTAAATGGAAATCAGAACGACCACTATACGCTCCACAGCCGTGTCTGCATTCGATTACGAGCTTTGAAGCCGCTGGGTGCAGTTCACCACAGCCCCATGTGTTTTATAGCAACAGATACATCTTTGACTCACTCACCACTGTGATTCAGACCAAAACGCTGTCTGTTCATGCCATTTGATCTCAAATATTTATCTATGGAGGCTCTACAGATGAAACTCCCCCCCCCCAGTGCCCAACAGCTTTCTTTCAAATCCAGTAGTCATGTTAAAACTGCTCCAGATCACAGGACTGGTGCCTTAATAACAACAATCAGGGGCAGAAGAAGTAGTCAGATTTACAGCTGCTGTGATTAGTCGATTAATCAGAAAGTGTGCAAATAGTAATATTTTCTGGTTTTCTTACTCTTCTATGGGACTAAACTGAATATCTTTGGGTTTTAGGATAATAAAAAAAAAAGACATCTGAAGAGAGCACTTTGGACTCTGGGAACTTAACAGGCATTTTTAATGTGAGCCTACAGTTGATGTAAAATCTTTACAGCACAAATAACTACAGCTGTCTCATACATGTAGTAGTGTCTAAAAGTCAACATATCACTGTTTGTGGAATAGAAGTAGAAAGACTCTACAATTGTACTTTCCATCTCTGAAACAGCAAAGTGCTTTGAAATTTAACTTCAGCTATTATTTCAAAGCCATGACCAATCAGTTTTTATGATGCCTGAAGCTTTTATAATGCAGACTATAAGTCTCTGCATGGTGATGATAGCCCAAACTACAATTGAACAATTGTTTTGTGGCAGTCTCGAAACAAATCTGCATCTCATTGAGACTACTTGACGAAATCCAGGGCTCATTCATCCATCTGCAGTATAGCGTTTCCCCTTCATGTCCCCTGCCTGTATTATGTCAACACATTAACAGCAGTGTGGTCGGCCTGTTAGCCCTCAGATCTCCCTCTCATACATTACAAAGGCCTCTATCTCTGTTTTACGATTCACAGGCAGGCTGGATCAAAGAACCAGTGGAAACCAGTCACATTTCAGGGGGTCTATAACTTGCTTGCAGTTGCAGCAGGAGACGAGGGAAACCTTAATGCATGCCCAATTATTATTATTAGCCAGATAATGTGCATTTGAGTTGCTCTGACCTTAAATTATCAGCAAGGATTTGACATGAAAGAGACAGATTTCCCCTGCATGTGACCCTTCAGCAGCTAATAAAATCACACAAACACAAAATATCAATGATTTAAATTCAAAGTAGTCCTACAATATAGCACCCTGTTTATTCTCCTGTCTTATGGAGATGACTTAGATTTTCACATAATAACAATGTAAGGACATTTTTTGTTTACTTTCTGAAAAGTTTGGACCCACATTAACACTTAATATTGAAGCACGTGTCCTAACATAAACAAAAGTAGTGTTTTTGTTTATTTATTTAAGGTAAAATCTAATTTCTATGATTTTAACTGAATAAAATCCCGTAATTGTTCTGATCTCTATAGTTTTCCTCCTAAATAATTCTGCTGAATTGCTTCCAAGTATCATGCACCCTCTAATACCACGCCACTGGCTCACCTGTTGCATGTTTCTGGAGATCCAGGTGTCCAGCAGGAGCTCCAGTCTCTGCCGGTGATATCTCCCGGTGGTTTTCACCGCTATGAACAGGTCGGCCGGAGAGAGATGCTCTACCGGCCCGGGGGGAGCGCTTCCCCGCGGGGGGGCGCTTATCGCTCTCCTCTCCCGGGTCAGTTTCCTGAAATACGCCGAGAAAACTTTCCCGTTACCCGCTGCGGCTGGAGGCTCCACCGGGTCGCCGCTGCTCGGGTGCCCGACGGTGACGACCAGCATCCCGGTCACAAGCAGACAGGTGACCGCGGCGGCAGCAGCGCGGGGTCCTGCTGCTGGGCTGAAGGTGGTTATTGATCCGCCGGCGGGTTTCCACATTGTGACGGTGTGGAGGGTTTTACAGCTGCATTCATGGGCTGAGGAAAGTCTCACAAAGTGTTTACAACATCTCCACGGAGCAGACACAAGTATAAGCCGCCTAGTTTAGACTCCTTCCGTGGTTGACCTCCCACTGTGCCACCGGCTGCTTTATTGCACTGTGAAGTTATAAACTCCACCAGTGGGCCGGACGGTGCCTCGTTGAACCAATGGCCGGTTTGAGCGCTCGGTGTGGGCGGGGTTAACCAGAAAAAGAGGCGGCGAGGCCACTGGATGAACATCCACATGGCCGGTGACCTCTGGAAAACATGCAAACTAGTTTTTACTGTCTGTGTATATAGCTATAGCAATTTATGAAACAGAAGTTTTATAGGGTTTTACAGCAAGAAGAAAGGGGAAAAAAGGAGACAGTAAGACAATTTATAAAACAAAGATCATTTATGAGAAGCTGCAGAGGTCATAACTGAACACATACATGCATACTCTGATGCTTATAAACTGAAAGTAAAAGTTAAAAATCAAGATTTACCAGATTATCTTCTCTTTTCACCTTTAATATGTAAGATGCACTGAAAAATAATTTCCTTGGTGTAAACATGTAGCCTATGTGTGTGTGTGTATATATATATATAACTGTATTGTATTGGTTTGTTTTATTTTACTTATCATTTTCTATGGTATTCTATACATTTAATTATCTTTGGATTTGGATTTTATTGATGGGTGAACAATTAAAGTAAAAAAAAAAAAAACTTTAGTGTTTCTTAGCCTCTTGTACTCTACTGTAGGGATGAACACCATTCTTCCACAATAAATCTCCTCATTGGTTGTTCGGATTATGGTGCTGGAGAGTAGTGTCTAACATCTGGGCCCAAAATCTTTCATAGGACATTCAAAGCCACGGTTCACATCGTTTTCATACTCATTAAACTTCATTCAGTGAGCCCTCTCACCCTGTATGGAAGCAGCATTTGTTATGTTTATCAACTCATTTATTGTTGTTATTTTATGATTTGTCTGTATTTGTGTGTAATTTGGTGTGGTGGTATTATAAAGGCATCATTTTGAATCAGAGGGAGTCAACAGCATAGAAAACTATGATTCTTAAAGCATACACAGTGGTTATACTAGCCTATACTTCACTGCTAATGATGCACTCACAACCTTAATGATACTAAGATGATAAAATATGACTGAGATTGCAGGTTTTTAATGTAATATGTCAGATAATCCAGCACATCACAGATGTTTGGAGTTGCTGAAGATGAGAGCAGCAGTTTTCCTCGCTGGAAAGCAACGTGACTGCAGTTCCTCTGTGTGGAAGCCTGGCGGGTTATTCTCCAAGTGGACAGATGTTGAAGACGACCGTGACATCGGAGTGTGTGTAGTGGTGCCAACTGCACACACACACACACACACACACACACACACACACACACACACACACACACACACACACACACACACACAGAAGACAGACATGCCAAGCAGCCAGGTTGCCAGATCCACCAACAATCTGAGGAATGTTTCCTCTCTAATAATGTGCAGTTTGTCTGTGTTGTATAATCTGTGCTTATCCCTCCAGCAATGTCAGTCTAAAATTACATTTCAGACATTAAAATGCCACAACACAACTATGAGTCCATTTACAGCTTCCAGAGAGAACAAAATGCCATGAAGGCAGATAAGGATATTAAAGAGTAACTTGACACGTGGATGAAAGCCAGTTTTTATACCCTCTCAGGTTGAACCTGTAACCACACCCAACAGTGAAGTGAGTTTGTCTTTAAAGAATCACTAAAGACAGCATGAAGTCCTCCCAAAGGCTGTCATTCTTTATTCAAAATTCAAACTTTTGATCCAAAGAGGGAAAACATGAAATATTAAAACTGCAATGACCTGTTTGAACTTTTCAGTCTATAAGAGCAGCAGATGGTTTAAAGTAGTTTCCCTTGAGGTCCAGCAGAGGGCATTCTTAAAAATCACTATGAGTTTGACCTATTGGATGCCCTATTAACCTATCAGTTATAAATATAAACGGAGGAGGACACTAGTAAGCTGATCTGATAATCGCAACACAGAAGCATCTGAGAAGCATTGTGTGGATGTAGTTTGTGTTTAATATCGTAGATGGCAATATCACCAACAAAGACAAGGCTGTCTGGTGACTTTGTAAAAAGCAGCTGCCGTCTGCAACAACAGCAAATCTGAGGACTCATCTGCCAGCTTACCACGCAGTTAAAACCTTGTATACAACTTGCTATACAAGAAGCTTGTAAAATGACCATCGATGATATGATAGTAAGATTTACGTAATCCGCTGTTGTGGTTTTATGAAGAAGTTTTTCAGATTAATGACAGCAATGGAGCCACAACATAAAATCTCTCTCTGACCCTGGGTAGGGGTTAGATTTCATCCACAGAACTTTTCCATATTGGCTTATAATTCAGGCATGAAAGTTCATTCTTGGTGTAAGTGGACCGTGAATTGAACTAGAGAAATCCTAAAAGTGCTTTGAATTGAATCATAACCATTACTAAGCTTGCATGAAAGCAGTTCCCATTACAAATGAGCTAAATACACACGGATGAAGACCTTAAATGGTTTAAAGCTCTGGAAAATGTGAACCTTGAGTTTGTCAAACTATTTCCAAGATGAAGAGGGGTTTTTAATTCTTAAAATGTAAGCAAGTATGTATCGCTAGTTATCGTGAAACACCTTAAAGTGAAGTATCCAGGCATCATAACACATAGACAAGTGTATTAGCATGCTTCTCATTTTGTATCACAGCACACTAAATCTTCTCAATACTGAAACTCAGCACATACCAATATGACTCAACACTCATTCATCGTTTCCCCCTGAAACTGACTTATATTTGTGCAACAGACAGGAAAATTATGTGGTTTTTTTTGTTGTTTTTTTTGGTTAGGGGAATTTTCTGATCACATTATCTCACACAATCTAATCATCAGTTAGGCTGGAGCATCCTGTTGATCACAAAAAACAATCCAAAACAAAAAGACACGTTGAAGAAGATGAAAAAAGTATAGTTAAAAGTGCTTTTCCTGCAGATTTACTCAAAATGTTGCTGAGCTGGTGTGTTGCTTTTGGTTTATCTTTGTTTTACTTTGTTTTAAAAGTGCTGCTGCTTCTAGCAGTGAAACTTTTTTTTCTATTTCCCTACATATAAAACAACTGAATTCAAGTCTGTTTGGCTGAATCTGATGCGAAATAAATCTCCACAAGCAACCTGTTGCACAATTTTAAACATTTAGTATGAACAAGAGTCTACAGCCGCATCACTGGTTCTGTTTGTACTAAGGCATGGTGGAACTAAATGCTAACATTAGCATGCCAAAATGTTCACAGTGACAAATGTGCTAACATATGCTAATTAGCACAGCTGAATTACAAGTTATAATCCGTCTCTGTCGAGGACAAAACTTGTTTTGGTCAACAGACTCACTCACTCCAATGTATAGGTTTTGTACGGTGGCCATAAGAGCACAACACACTGCAATTTAAGAAAAAAATATGCAAATAGACCAAAAACAAGCAAATTAAGAAAACGTCTTGTGCAGAGGAGAGAGATAAGCCCCCTGCAGAGAAGCGCTCCCCTTTTACCTAAATCTCACAAATGCCCAGTATTTAGGTAAAATTATGCAAAGTGAAGCAGTTTCCATCTGTCTCTTGTGCTACTTGCTGCACTTCTGTATTTGGTTGTTTTCTCACTTTGCACTGCCGAACTCATGTAGCCTTTCAATAATCTACCACAACATTAACTGCAGCACCTATAGTTGCAATGCTCCCAGACCAGTACCACAGAACAAGTATTCAAAATGTCGAAATATCACAACATTTGTCTGAATTCTGCTTTTGTTAGAACACATTTCCAGTAATAGTGGTAAGATTAATCTGAATTGTGGCCCCCAAAAAAGGTTTTACATCTGTATTTCAGATGTCCTGCTCTGAATGACACATAGCAGAAACACTGCTGATAACTTAAGGAAACAGACACATATTCTGAATAAACAGGAGAAGAGAAAATCCAGACCTCTCATTGTTTCTCCTTCTCTCTGTCCTCCTCCTGTCTGTCTTTTTGTCATGAACATGTCTTTATTCCATCCCTTCAAAGACAAGAGCGGCTTACTGTGTTCACTTGCATCCTACTGGAGATCATGTGAAGCACAACAGCTGAACTGCACATGCACTTACACACAAGTTCCCCATGGCTTAAATTTCCTCTCAAACTATATCAGTGGAGCCACAGTGTGAGCTGAAGCTGTGTGTGTATCTGGAGAATGTTGTGGTTGTTGAATAGATGATTGAAGAATCTCTATTTATAGCCCTGTCAGAAGCTTTGTGTGTATGTGTGTTCTGCTCTTTCCCCCCTTTTGTCTGTGTGTTTAGAGCAAAATAATGGTCCTCTTTTGAGTCTGTGTGTGTGATACGTGCAACAGTAACATACAAGGACAGTCAAGCTCTTAATCCCCCTCTCTTTGATTTCTGCTACTCAAACCTCCGTCTTCTCCCCCGTTCGTCCTTTGTTTTCCCTCCCTCTTTGTGTTCTCCCCTCTTGTTTCATTTTGTCGTCAATATGTTGAAGGATTCAGAGTGCAAGGTCACAGTTTTCCAAGCCTGAAGTTGGGACTTTTCCCCCGGTTTCCTCTCACTCTCCAAACTGCACAAACAGGCAGAAAAAAGCTACGCATTCTTGAGTCCCTTTCAACTCAACGTTGAAATTAATCGAAGATCAACTGCTGCTTAAATGTGGTCTACCCTATGAAAGATGGAACTGTATCAGTGTGATTGCGAGTGGGAAGGAGAACAAACAACAAGGTTGTTTTCTTCTTTTCTTTTTGCCAGAGTGAGGGATCACTCTCAGACCACATCTAGAGGAGAGGAGGATGTAGTGGTGAGAGGGGTAAATTTTTTTATTGTGGCGTCAGTCACTGTTTCAGGGGATTCTGGTCCACAATGTGACATTGATTAAAGCTTTTCTGAGGATCAAGAAACAATTCATCTGCTTGTGCATTTGTTCTTGTGTTAAAAGGAATACTTAATTGAAAAGCTGTCTTTTTAGTAGACTTTAAAGGTTTCTTTGTAGCTTGTTTGCTTTGTGGAGGACAGAGTCAACTTGGATT